ATTCATTTACATTATTTTGAATAGTGCATTGCAATATTATATCAAAATTATTTTAATTTTTTTAAGTTTTAAATGATAATGTGGGACCAATATTATGAAAAAAAAATAGGTGTGAGGCTCATAGTAGAAAATATATATAAAGATAAGACTTAGTAAAAATGATAAATATGATTTTACCAAAAATGAAAAATATGAAATTTGTTATGAAATTGAAAATTTAATTTTAAAAATGTAAAAATAAATAAATTTTTTATGTTTTGAAAAATCACATGGGATTCATGATAAAAAATAATAGGTGTAGGATTTATACTAAAAAATAATGGTAAATATAAGATTTGTGATAAAAATATAGGTGTTGGATATGTAGTTAAATTACAAATTTAATTTAAGTGAAAGGTTAAAAAAAAAAACTCTTTCCATTCAAAAATATAAAATATTTTTAATTAAATCTCACCTCTCAATAAAGTAGTTACCTACTTTTTAATTAACCTTATCTTTTCATATTTACTTTATTAAATACCCTAAATAAATATAAAATCATTATCAACAGAGACACTTTTAAAAAAAGATAATGATTACATCTTAAAAGACTAAAAATGTTTTATATTTTTGAACAATTAACTTTTTAAAAAATACCTTATATTTTTGAATGGAAAGAATAAGTATTTTACTGATTATATTTTTTGAAAATTTAATTTTAATTATTTGGAGATGAAAACTCATAAAATAATAAATTATTATTTATATTTTGAAGTAAAATAAAATGACTTTTAATTCAATTATAAAGAAGATTCGTGGGGGCAAATAGTAAAAGAAATAGAGGTGAGACTCGGTGAAAATGGCAAACATGAAATTTGTAATGAGATTAAAAATTTAATTTAAAAATAAAAATATGAAAATTTAATATTTTAAAAATTATGTGGGATTCATAATAAAAATAATAGGTGTAGGATCCATACCAAAAAATGATGGTGGATATAAGACTTATATAATAAAAATAATAGGTACTAAATATGTAATGAAATTTATAAATTTAATTTAAATGAAAGATGAAAACTAAAATTTAAGTATTTAACTAACTGGATTTTTTAGAAATTTAATTTTCAATTATATGGGGATAAAATTACATAAAATAATAAAATATTATTTATATTTTGAGTAAATACAGTAAATATTAATTCTAAGGAACACTTGTATGAGTTCTAAAAATAGAAGAGAAGTATATGCGATTTTGGTAAAATAAAGAACGTATTAGTGTATTTTTCTCTCATAGTTTGAATATACAAAATAAAAAACTTAAAATAAATTGTGCGGAAACAAAACAAGTTGGCACATATTTTTCTTATTATGGACACATGTTATTCATATTTTCAATATGCACAATAATATATTTTTTTGTGCAGTTAAAAAAGGGAGACCCATTGAAAATGATGATGGATATAAGATTCATAATAAAAAAAATGATATTTATGATTTCTACAATAAAATTATAAACTTAATTTAGAAAACATATGAAAAAGTACATATCATACCTCATGAGATCTTTTTTTTTTTGAAAATTTAATTTTCTTAAACTAAGAAAATTATAAATAAAATAATCTATTGTTGTTATTTTTTAAAGCAGGTAATTCTAGTCGGCTCTACAAAATTTAGGGCCAGGCCTAACCAAATAAAGCATTTTTATATTTAAATCACGCTAACCCTAATATAACTTATATATATATTTTTTAAAAAATTAATTTACAGGTTCTTATAATTTTTTTTCAATTTTAAATTCAGTTTCTATAATTGTTTTATTTCAATTGATTTTTTGCAATTTGACCATTAGATTTGTTGATCCATGAATATTAAAATCCTTGAATTGTTACTTTTTAAAAAATAAAACTAAGCACTTTAAATAATTATATGATTTTAAAATTAATTGTGTAATTTTTGTAATTTAAAATTTATATAATCAGATTACATCTTTTAAATTATTTTTACATATATAGAGTTTTTATAAAAAAATAATAAAAAATATAAAAATTGTATTAAATCAAATTTTTTATGGACATCAAAAGTGTTTTTGTTTTGAAAAAAAATTAATCATTGATAATTTTAACCCTCATATGTAAACATGTATTAAACTATAATAGCTCGATTCAAACAACATAAATAACAAAGATCTAATTCAAAATTGAGAAAAACACTGAAGATTTGTAAATTAATTTTTTTATGATAAATTGTTTATATTTTGTAATATGTATAAGAGTAATACATTGTAAAATAAAAAATTTTCTTTAAATGATATTTTCCATGAGGCAACACTTTCTAAAATAAAATAGATCATTATTTATATTTTTATTATGCATTTACATGATAAATTTTAAAATATAATAAGTTGTTTTTTAGTTTAAATTTAAATAAAATAATGCAATATAAATGTACTAAATTCTTTTTATCCTTTAAATATTAAAACATCCCCATACATCACAAGAGAAATAGATCTAGTTACAAGTAACGTGATTATACCAATGGCAAGTTGCTTCAACAATAATGTCACCCCTCTGCGAGCATAAGATTCAGAGTTCAACTTCTACTTTAACACTTGAGTGTGTGAGTTATATGTTTATCGCTTAAAAAAAAAAAAGTAATGTGATTATTTTCATATTTTATATAATGCCTGAATTTCCATCTGCTAAAAGAAAATGCAATTTTAACAAGATAATGAAATTTAAATTTATCGAAGCAGGGTAGTGTCCAATCCAAGTTCTTTTCATTTCCCATCTATCCTCTTCCTGCCGTTATTATGTTTTGTTTCATTCATATTAATTTTAGTAATTTAAAATTATTTATTTATTTTTAAATGTTAACATATACTTTTTTGATTAAAAAATATAAGGTATTTTTTAAAGAGTTAAATGTTTAAAAATGTAAGGTATTTTTAGTCTTTCGAAATATAATCATTATCTTTTTTTAAAGTATCCTATTAATAATAACTTTATGTTTATTTTAGGGTGGTTAATAAGGGTAAATATGAAAAAATAGAATTAGTTTGAAAATAGGTAAATACTTTATTAAAAAATAAAATTCAATTAAAAATGCCTTATATTTTTAAACGGAAGGAGTAATTAATATTCTTATAAGATATTATCTCAATTCTAAATTATAAAATATTTTTGAAGAGATTTAATTTGGTATACTATAATATAAGACACTTTAATAAAATAAAGTTTTATTAATAATGCTTTTTTAATATTACTTTTTCTATTATATTCTCCCTCTTTAATATTTTTTCATTGACAGTGTATTATATAAAAGGTATTTTTAGAAGTTTATATTTTTATTTTAAAATTTAATAAGCTTTATTAATACGTATAATTTTATCTAAAAGTAATTTATAAATTTGGATTGAGGGAGTACTAAATTTAAACAATTTAAATCTGATAAGCATCATACAATTTAGAGGAAGAAGGGAGGAGACATTACATTAAGAGAGGATTTGAATTCAATAAGTGACATGAATTCGGTAACTCAATAAGCATCTTATATGATGCAATAATAATTATTTAATTTAATTAAATAGTTATAAGATATTTTATTATACAGTATTTGGAAAATATCAAATTTTAAATTTTTTGGAAGGACAATACACGTAAGAATTATTTTAATTGTAATGATCATTTTGAATGTTTGGAGAAAAATGTAATATAGTAATTTTAAATATTGATGAAATATAATTTGTATAATTGATATACTTATTGAATGGGTGTTCTTTGTTAAACTTTAGAGTTGACTTTCCTAATTCATTATTTTTACATTTAACTTATAAAATCATCTTAATTTACTCATAAACTCAAATTAAATAAAATTCAACTGAACTTGTGAGTTAACTCTTTGAATTTACCATTTTACGTTTTTAGTTTATACAATTATGTTAACTTACTCATAAATTTAGATTAAATGTGATCAATTAAACTTGTCAAACTTATTAATTTTTAATTGAGTTGAGCAAATTAGGTATATACGGCACAAAACTTGCTTCATAAAAGCATAAGGACATAGTTAAAAAACACAAATTCTCAAAAAGAAAAAATTAATATTAATAAAAAACAACAAAAATAAGTTTCCCTATTTTAAAATTTTTATGTTGAGCATAGATATATTTAATTTTAATTATTTATATTTAAAATATATTTAAATCAAATTATGCTCATATTTTATATTTTAATTATTTAATTATATATTTTTAATAGTCATTTATTAATAAAAATTTAAATTTACATTTTTATCACAAATCTACTTATGCTCACGAATTTGAGCACCTTGAGTGCACTTGTTATGTTTGGTGATTTTGGTAGGTGGCTTGAATTTCATTGTATTTTCATATTAATATATTATGTAGTATTTATGTTTTTCATATTAATAATACTCCTTACGTTTTAATTTATAAAATATTTTTAGATAAAATTATATATAAATAAAATTCATTAAATAAACTTTACATCCTTATTTTTTTAAAACAAAAATGTAATTTTTAAAAATATTTTTCATTTAATACTTCATTTATAAAAGATTAATGTTAAGAAAAAAGAGTATATAAAAAGAATAATATTTAAAAAGTATTATTAATGAATTTTATTTTTATCAAAAAATATTATATATTGAAATATTAAATTTTTTTAAAAATATTTTATAATTTGGGAGAGGGAGTATTATTCTCATATGTCTCCTACAGTCCTGCCTCCTCACTTGAGGTCCATTGCATTTCCTTTTTCATTGCGTTTCCATCGCAATTTTAAATCGTTTAAATGAAAATGCAACAGTACTATCAATTCATCAATTCAACGGTCTAACTTTGCTATTTAAGACCACCAAGTTGCTTCTTCACTCTGCATCTTTGTATTGCAGCCTGCCAAGCCTCTTACTCTCATATTCTCAGACATGGCGAGATCTGTGCCTCTAGTTCCTTCTTGTCGCCACTGGTATGTACCTTTTCGCCATCTCTTCATTCGATCCGTAGTCCTGTATGTTTTGCGTTCATAGTTTACTCTTCGTCCTCCTGCGATATGGTCTATAACGCTGCTGAATTCTAATGCTGTTCTTGTCTTTTTTTGATCAGAGATGGGCCGACGATGGTGTCAGAAGCGAGTACGTGCGAGTCGCAGAGCCATCGCTTCAAGGGGACGTGTGTGAGCAAATCTAACTGCGCCTCCGTTTGCCAGACCGAAGGCTTTCCCGACGGTCACTGCCGCGGCTTCCGTCTCCGATGCTTCTGCAGCAGACCGTGTTAAGGATGGGGTCCACACTTGTATTGGGATTCGGGGTCGAGGAAAAGTGACGCATCATCCATCACTTTTTCCTCTCACGAAGTCCATCGTGTCGTGTTTGTGTTTGAGAGTAATGTTATTTTGACCCTCTCCGTAGTTTGTCTGGTCTTAGATTTCACTGTGTTTTGAGGTTTCTCAGGTTAAGAATGGCTAATGTTGTGGAAGTGATGGATAATAATAATTAATAATGGACTCCTTTCCTTCGTCAACATGCAGTTCTCCGTTTGCCTCTACTTATTGCAGAATTAACGGATTATTACATCCATGGACGTGTCTTCATGTTTTGGCTAAATGAGCCATTCTTTCATGCTTGACCTTTTCTCCTCCTCCTCGTCTCAAATACAGGGCATTTTATGAAATTAAGCTTGAAGCTTTTAAAATCCAGGCCTTCTATTAATTTTTAGCACTAGATATGCGATGATTAGAGGATTAATCACACTTAAAGTTTGTCCTCTACCAAAATGCGGAACCAGTTTCATTAACCAATCAAATAAATGCGAGTCCTGTTTGGTGCCTGCGACGTTTCCTTCTTTAATGATACCTGAAGGATAAGAAGCTTCCGAACCCGACGGTTTCCGTTCGGACGCCGACGACTATGGCCGACATGCCAGCAGATAGCACATGCATGTCCGCCCTTTTTACTCAGACGAAGCTGTATTTGCTGCTGCGGTTGCACAGGCCTCTGGCTCTCTAGTCCACTCCAATCCTGCGCGTCAGTGTATGGGCCCTTTCATATGTACCTAGAAAATGGGGGAAATTTCTAAATAAAAATATGATAAAAAACTATTTTTACTTTTAAGTCGTAGGATTGAAAAAGGAATAAAGTCAAAAATAAAAATCATCTTGTTTGAGTTTAAAAAATAAAATATTTTTAAAATAATTAGATTTTTAAAATCAACCTTGATAAATTCTGACAAAAAAAAAAAGATCGAGCTCAAGTGACCCTCCAAATTCTTTTATTTTTTTTTATTTTAAAATGTACTGTTTGACAAATGAAAAAAAAAAACCTTAAACAATTAATCATTTCAAAATTTTTAGCTCTCTTCATCTCTCCACTCAATCTCTCCCCCTCACCTTCTCTTTTGTTTTAGCTGTCTCACTTCTCTCTGTCACTACTTTGCTCGCCCCTTGGCTCTCCATTTCCAAGCTTCCCTTTGACTAAGATGGCTTTGACAGTCTTGAATCCTTCATCCAATTTATAGACGCAGCCCTCATCTTACTTGATCTGAAATACGTCAAAGCGTTTGTTCTGCTGTGTGATGATTTGCCCTCTTTGAAGATTAACACTTGGGTTAACGTAGTGATGAGGAACAAACTTGAGTATCTGAAGCTAAGGATCCTTCTCTTAATGTCAGGAACAAACCTGAATGTTTAGCAATGCTGCTTTCTAATTGTGTTAGCCTCGAAGAATTGCTACTAGAGATTTCGCCTGTGCCTTTTGAGAATCTGAAGCCAAAGCTAGGCATTGGAAATGGAGCGATTGGAAGGCTTAATCATTTGGTTACTTCAAATGTTCCTGCATATCTATTATTAATCCGAATACATGCCCCCGTGTGTGGCGGAAAGATTATGAAAAATATTTATGTTTTTACGAAATTTAAAGGAATTATAAATTATCAGGCTTAATTTGAAACTCCCATCTTTCACATAAGCTTAGTCTAGCACGCGTTTTCTTTTATGTTGTACTCCTTGTCCTCAGTTATCTTTTTTTTTTTTTTTTCAATTCTTTATTGGTAATGTAAAACAATCCCTCAATTTGAAATACAGTCCAAATGCTTACTTGGATTTCTCATATAATCGATTATTTTGACTAAAATTATGATTTGGATAAAAAATATCCAAACACCCCAATCTACTCGTAAACAATTATTCGGGTTGTAACTGCGGAATGAGTTTTACGGAGTAGCATTTTTATATCAATTTTACTGTTATAATATTTGTTATCTGTCAAATTTAAACCCAATATCCATTCCCCACACATATCCTATAATGCTCCTTCTAATCTCCCATATAACGTGTTTTAGACTTTTTCTTTTTTTACGTACATTGAAAAAATTATTGGATTGTTTTATTTGTTTAAAAACATATCAATATTCTAATTATACTTTCATTAATTAAAAAGAATCTCATCATGCCTTATTCAAATTACAAGAAAACTATTAAAGTTATAGAAGTAAAAATAAAACAACATTTAATATTTTAATAAGACATCTTATAATTTAGATCTGCTTTTATTTTTAAAACACCTCATAGAGCAGGTGGAGTATGAAGGAAGTTTTCATCCCAACACAACAGGGGAAGCACGGAAGGCCTAAAAATGCTGCCTAGAATGGGCATTTAAAAATTTAAATAAAGGAAAAGAATAAGGATATTGGGTCAATAGATACATTTATCATTTAACTTTCTTGCTGTCAATATCATCAGGCTTAACAAGCCGGACAGGAGCTGCTGGTATTCTTACCCACCATTCCCTAACGCGCCTTAACCATCTCTCACTGCTTTGTTTCCTGCAAGGCATCTCCCTTGTGTATAACTCTACAAATACCACCAAAATCATGTGTTTGACAGGAACAAAAGCTACCACTGCAGCCATGAAAACCAACAATAATGCAACCTTCTCCGTCGCCTAAAGGAAAAACCCATAATTTATCGTGAGAAAGAATTCCTCCTATCAAAACTACATCAATCTCTTCAAAAATCATACATCTTATGATAGAGTTGAATCAGGTGTTTATTAAAAAAAAAAAAAAAACATGTTCAAGAATTATGACACTTAACTATGGAACGATTATTCCCTTACAAGTCATTCTACATATATGATACAATCACATTAACATTCAGCTTTTATCGAGATTCGGGTATATCATGGTTATGTTAACTTATTTCTTTTTAGGTGCGTGAAGGCTACTTGGATAGATTAGAATTTAGAAAGGTTAACTGTCCTAATCGAGATTAGTTCTAGTCTGATTTCCAAATCCTCCCAAGTTCTTAACGCTGAAAAAATAATACTTAGATGATCATAGATATCACGCAAAGAAATTGAATTTGAGTGCTTCATGTATCTGGAAAAAGCTCCTTCATTCAAAGTAGATTTGCATAATGCAGCCCAGATTAAGCAATACGTTATGCACATTAAAATAAAGCACAAAACTATATTAAAATGCACATTGTTATCCATCAAATTAATGTTGCCCAATGAAAATGGACCATGACTAGGATACTCACTTGTGGTAATAGAGCAAGTAGAAGAGCTCTTATTTTCAGGAGAGTAATATTTCCAGCTTGAATTAGTGATTCGACTTGGGCGATGGCTTCCTGTAATGTTAATAGTTGTTCTACTGCATTTCGATTTAGGGGAGATGTTACTCTAAAAGCTTCTGCTTGTCTTCCACTGTTGAAATGCCTACGCCAGAGCATAAGACCCGCAAAGGACACTAAAATGGATGGCAAAATGTACTGGGTCCACCCCCTGTACAATGAAATGCAATTTAAGACTATCATTATTGAAAGTCAACATTGTTTCATCTGAGCGGCAATGAACATTTTGGATGAAGTTAAAGCACTGCAAGTCAATCAATTCACCATTAACTACAGAAACCTTGTAGGAGTTTGTGGCAGTAACATGTGGAAGATTGAGTAACTATGTTAAGGTACAATAGTTCATAAAGATGCACTTTTTTAGGTCCACCATAGAGTTATCATTAAACCTTGTGATATTTACTTGTATTGTCGGGAACTGAGTATAATTCTCCCTAAAAAAAAGTATAATTCCCCCTAAAGTAAATGACTCAATAAAAGATCAACCAATGTTGTCAACGGTGCTCGCCTGCACAAAAAAGGCTCATCACCTCTCATGCCTTCAGTCAGGTGCCAAGAGGTGCCTTTTCAAACAATCCACAGTGTCAATCAATTGACCCTAATATCTGTGTGTGTGTGTGTGTAACCCCTATAGGGCAAATTATGTAGAGTTGCGTGTGGGTGTACTAATGATATTCAATTATGTAGAGTTACGTGCGGATGTGGAACCCTTTCTTACCAACGCTGAAGCTCTCAAGGAGAAATGAATAAAATAAACTCGCACGCACAACTGCTAGTATTGAGCACAACAGAGAAAGTTTTAGAACGAATTCTGATCAGCTCCACTATTACTTCCCTGAAGGATGTAAATTCACGGCTTCTTCGTCTCACTTGATTAGTTACTCTCTCAAATGCACCCTCTACAAGTTCTAGTGCTTTGATTTCAAAGACCATATAGCGTACATGCTCCAATTCATTTGGCATACTAGAGGCCTCTGCTGTTCTTTGAATGGCAAACAGCCATGAACTACCAACGTACATTAAGCAGTATTAGGCTACCTTGCTTGTATCCATCTGAAAACAACCTTCAGAATATATCCAACTTTTATTGAGTCAATTATGATGAGTACTTCCAATATAAAAAAACAACCTCATGAAAACCTTCAAAATCAATGTTAAATTGTGTTCAAAATAGAATGTCACAATGTTGACTGTTGAGGAAATCAAATACATTTCTAAACCTGGCCACCACAATTTTCAACAACATAACATTTTTAAGATGATGACATTGGCATTTATATCAAAAGCAACCAACAAACACGCATGCTCATGACCATATATGCTAGCATTCCAATAAAAAAATTACCGTAAAATCATGAAACTGGCAGCTAACAAAAATGTTCCTGATCTATAGAAGTCTTTCCATGAGGCCAAAAGCCGCAGACGACCAGCAGTTTCAATGAGAGGGAATAATAGTTCCTGCATGGAGTAGAAAGAGTTATCCATATCTAAAACAACAGACTTCTTTTATCTTCTCTCGTCTTCCAGAAAACACCTTGCATGGGCTCATGAGAAGCTAAACCAGTCAATGGTTAGTGAAACTCATTGAGCATGTCTAATGGATTATGTTTTCAAGGTATCCAACGAGGAATTTGAATTGGAGTTAGATATTAGGAGGGGGAAAAATAAAGAAATAAATAAGCTTTTGTTGTTATGAATATAAATTAATGCACCGCAAGAATTTTTCAGTTCTGAGTTTAAAGTTATAATTTGTGTATAATAAAACCATTCGAAGTCTTTAGTTTGCTCTTCTTTTTTTGAAATTAGAAGTATCTGTTGTTTCTGCCAATAAACATTCACGAAATGGAATTGAAAATCAAAATCAACCTTCATTACTGCAACATTAGTGTCAATGCCTTCAACCTTCACTTGGTCCACTGTTTCCTGTGCAGCTTGCGCCTTTCCTGTGTCAAGAATGGATTTTTTCACTGCCACTTCCAATGGAGTTGTCTCACCGACGCGAATATCACCACAAACAGCTGCTTCTTCATAAAAATCGGCCTTCAGTGATATAAAACCAAGATGAGCAAGTGTCAAAACAGATGCCAGGGATACCGCCAGTTGCCTTTTAGTATCTGTTGTACCAGAAATATGTTTATCAACAACAGGAGTCAAATTTGTCAAGCAACTTGACAAGGTTTCCAGGATGACATCTCCCCCAGGAAGAGTTTCAGCAAGGTTAAATGCCAGTAAAGTTTTATAGCGGGAAGAGAAATATTGAAAAGCATCTCTAACTGCACGATAGCGGAAGATTCCCAAAGCAGCCCTGGCCAGTACTTCTGATTTCTGCATCTCTTTATGGTTGTACTTCCTTATAAACTCATGAGCACGAAAGATCTCAAGACAAATTTCCAACCAGTAGTCACGACGCAAGTGTGCATTAAATTCAGGGAATTCGAAATAAACAGGCTCTGCTCTGTCAATACATTTCAAAAAGTCATAAAAGTTGAAGTGAAAAAGAAGCCCGTAGTGAGTTACACATATTGACAAGCTGTTTAATATCTATGTCACTGGATAACATACAGAGAAGTTGACTTATACATCACAGCTTTATCAAAAAGACGAGTACCAAGGGGTCCAGTTAACTCAGGCTTTATGACTTGTTTCATATCGATTTCTAAGTCATATCGAACAGCTTCCTCATACGAGCCAACTCCCAGAGGCTCGAAGTACAAAGCATAATTGGTGAGGATCAATCGTCCTACAAAGTAAATAAATTTGAGTATACATAGATATATAGGCAGTATAAGAGAAACAATAAAATCCAACCTAGACAGATAATTGCACAAAGAGAATACACTCCAGACAACTGTTCAACTATCAAGAGCTTGAAAATAATCAAGGCAGCATGCAGCGCACCACTTCGAAAAAAACATATGGGAAGCTGCCATATTTATAGGTCATAAACAGTATGGCTTACTTTGAACTTCGTGTGAGCACAAGGCTCACAATCTAATCTTTGCTAGCTACCAAGTAGATGGTCATTACAAATCCCTTATTGTGATTTTACTTCCGTGGATTCCATCATCTTGGCAACAACTACACGTCTACACCCACTTAATGTTTTTAATACAAATTCAACTAATTTGGTATAAAAGAACAAAGAATGCCAACATATATTTGTCAAAGAAAATGCGGATATGGGTGCACCAGCTGTCACGTTAACAACAGAGATTATCCATCACCCTAGCTGTGGACTAGTGCTCTTTGATCTATTCCTTGCACTCAGATACACTAGTCTGCACTAATGGAGGTACATACCCTTGTCTGCATCATGAGGAAATGATAAGTGAAATGCAGAGAGAATGTATTCAGCTTTAGAATGAATAAGTCATGGCTTTAAAAGTGAGATGCAACACCATTGATAGGCCCCTAGACCTAAAAAAAATTACAATAGTATCCCTAGGAGAAAGATTATTTAGAATAAACTAAAAACATTAAAAATACAACTTAGTAATTTCACATGCTTATATAGAATCATAGTGCAAGAACTCAGTGCTTGCACATTCTCTTTCTTTGGAGTATTATCTAAGCAAGAATACTACTATGTTCACCAAAACTGGAACACTAAGTCAATGGCTAAAATACAAGAAGACGTATTCTAATGTTCTTTTTAGGATGCATTAGAGGAGAGTCCAAACAACATCAATTTTCCATCATTTGGTTTGATGAAACCCATTTTCTTGGGAAGCCCACAATGGGAAATTCATATTTTCCTGGAAATGTGTTTTTGCTAATTAAAATATCCCTTAGTTTTATTCAAAATTTCCCCTCCCACCCCACTTTTCCCAGCTGTGTAACTACCTTATTTGTTTGGGCCCGCTACAATGCCAATTTGTCAGACAAATGGTGTAGAAAGAGGAAAAATGGGACGTGATGAGAGCTCTTACAGAGAGGACAATTACAGATCACATAGATTGCCAGCAAATCAACAAGGAATGTCTTATTGCATGATTAATGGTCTAACAAAAGAAGACACCTAGACTCGTTTCAAGATTGATAAGCAACCTATTTTAAGAATTCCAATGACGCACCAGGCCATGCAGAGATTCCTATGTGTTGCAGAACTGGTTGAGTTGGATTTGTTCCATCAACATCAATGACAACCTCCCCATCAGCAAGCTGAAGATTCACTATTGAAGCGCCTATCACATGTTTTGAATTCTTTATGACTCTGCATAAAGCTTCCTGTTAGAAAGAACAACAACAACAATAATCACCAATTAACAAAAGATACATTGGCATTATTATAAAAGAAAATTTAAGGACTAGATTGTCCAAACATTTTGTTTTCTCTATAATTATGAAGTTAATTATACTGTTCAAAAGGTCTTACTTGACCATAGTTAATTATATTATTCATAAGTTATTAGATAGCATGGGTTTATCCTTTTAATTAAGTTAATTATATTTTACTGAGAGGTTTGTTTAAAGAGACGTTTTGAGGATGTCACCTAAAAAAGAGACTTCTTGAAGAACTTAAAGCAATTAGTCAACTTCCCATACAGCATCCATCAATATAGCAAATAACATTGTCTACCACAACCCCCCCCCCAAAAAAAAAAAAGCACATTGCAATAGACCATGTTGCAGATGTCTCAACCAAGGCCATAGCTCAAGTAAGGTTTGAAAAGCTTGGATGCACGCTGAGGTTGATTATTATCTACTCCTCAGCAGGAGCAGCAGTGTTAGTATTCAGTAAACTGAAGCCTTGATCTACGAAGATGCGGCCCAATGCAGCCACAGCTTAATCCTAGATTTTGTGCAATCTGGGTCAATACTTTATGGAGCATTTAAGAATCTAGTTATTTTGTCTTTAATTCTATGTATCTTCCTTTCCTAGATATATGATTGCTGTGTCTTTGTGTACTGTTATTTTCTTTCCTTTTTTGTTATATGGTGTATTACAAATTTTAAGACAACTTTAATGCCTTAATTACTTATTATGTACCAAGCACTATTCCAATAACGCATGAGAACTACTCAGTTAAACAAAGACATGTTTCCCTCATATAATGAAACATTAACCAACCAAGATTGAACAATGTTATTTTCAGCATCCCATGCGCATAGAGTCATTGAAGCACGGTGTAGCAGCAATATATTAAGCATTGCCTCTGCCTTGCACAAAAAACATCGCACTTAAGGGCCCAAATAGGTCAGAGGAAGGTATGCTCAAGCTTGGGAGGTAGAGTAAGATAAAACAGGATGGCTAACAGAGAACATGGGAGAGGGTGAAGAAAGGAGGGTCCAAGTGATGAATTTGCTTAAGAGTCTCTAGACTCTCAAAAGCTTGAGGCATGCATCTCAGAATTCTTTTCCATTTTCTTTCTGAGTTTTACATCATTTTGTTATTCTCTTGGCTAATACGCTTGAGGCGCGCATCTGAGTTCTTTTCCTTTTGTTCTTGCTGTGTTTTACATCATTTTGTAATTCTATTGGCTATATTCCTCCGCTATTACTGTTCAGAAGGTGTAAACCAGCCTTGTGACATTAATACCAGAATTATCATTGGGTTCCGACAATTCTGGTACTAGAGCAGGTTTCAAGCAGGGGCATGATGGCTACAAGGATTAGGGAAGAGTTGAAACCATAGAGAAGAAGATAGAATCAAAAGGTGTGCATATAGCGGTGATACAGAGTATTTGATGGAGCTGGGCAATAATTTGGATGGGCACAAAGCAATAAAAGAAATGACAAGTTGGATCGACTTCTTTAGAATCAATTTGATATCCAATCTATTGAAGTTACAAAATGCTTACATACACAGTAAGATCTTCAACTTTTTTCTTAAAACAGAGCTTAAGGGTAGTGAAAGAAACATGATACTACCAATTCATCATTAAACTTAAATTAACAGTTTCTTATTGTTCGTCCAAAAAAAGAATAGACTCATACACAAAATTCAAATTACTTAAAAGTTCAAGTTAAAAAAATGTAACATCACTAAAGGAGAAAGAGCATACTTATCAATGCTTCTCAAGTATCTGTCATAAACAAGAAAATGAAGGCGGTGGCCTGAAGAACTTGTGAGTGCATCAAAAAGATTGTGGACAGTTATTATATCAGCAACAAGAACACAAGAAGGAGCTATGCGTGCAAAGGCTTCTGGACCAACTGTCTTGTCAACGTCAACCTGATTGAGAGGGGGAAAATAAGCATTAAAGTCATTGCATCATCAGTGAATCTTGATATTTAAGACTGGGGTGACAAAGAGCACCTGAAGCGCCATATTTGTAGAACTTGAATAAAATAAGGACCCCTCATCTTCATCCACCGTTTCATGATTAAAGGAAGGAATAGTTTCCTGCAGTTGAGGAGGCTGCAGCATGGTCGAAACCCAAGATGCACGAAATATCATGTATTGATAAACTGTTAACAAACTGAGGAAAAGAGAGTTCTATGACAGATACTAAGACAAAGAAAGAATGGGGCATCTCACGTGTCGTGGCAGATCACATTCAACGCTAGGTGCCTCCCAGGCAAGCATCATGTCATAGGTCAAACGGCGAAATTCCTTGTCACTTAAATAATCTTGATTTTGACTAGTTTTTTCAAGTGCTTTATAGGAGCAATACTCTAAGAGATTTCTAGCATAAGTCAGAAGTCCTTTGACACCAACAGGGAGCTCAGAGTCAAAGCCATGTTGCAGTTCTTCTGTAGAAACTTGAAGAATCCTACAAAAAAATTTAAAATTTGATTGGTATCTGGAAAAAATTATTTCATAGCCTACACTCCTATTAGATCTCATCTTTTCCTCTATGAGACCAATATTTGCTGATAAAACTGCTTGCGGGCCATTCCTTTAATCCCACTTCTACGCTTATCCACAAGCAAAACTTGTCATTCTCTGCTGATAACTCTTGAACTGTCATAGTAGCATATTAACTTCAAATATCGTATTTTAACAAAAATGTGAAATATGGAAACATGCAATCCGTATTGCCCTATGTCAGCAAAATTTCAGCATTCAATGTCAGGAATGAGTCCAAAACCATTCAAGTACATATTGCTTATAATTTAGACAGAGACCATTTAACGGCCTAACTAGACGCAAGATGAAATCCGAGCACTTAATACACTGGGCTAGGACTTGAACAAACTTTATATTAAAAAGACCCAGCTAATGGTCAAAAGAGTTACAAGATAACAGTGTTGATAAACTGCAGACTGTCAATAAAGAATTTAAGTTATTCTCTCCACTTAAAACTAATAATATTTTCAATATAACGCAACCATCTGATCACGATAATAGAAGAGAACTTCAAAGGAGGAGTTAGTAACTCTACCAAAAAGCTAGAAGTGGAATTTATCTCATTATCCAGGGAGGATAAATTAGAGAGCCAAAAAATATCTAGATAAGCTATTATGACTTCCGTTAGCCAAATTTCTCAGAAAATAAGGATTATCTATATCCCTGAGATGAAGATAAGAGTTGTTAACTTACGAGTTTTCACTATAATTAGACGATTAAGGCTCAGAGGAAAAGTCTGGAGAAGTATTGCTAGAGGACTAGAAAGAAGCTTAGAGGAAGTTCTGTGAGAAGAATTCGCTGAAGAATATAAAATCTGCTGCCAACCATCAAACTTCTTCATGTCTCAAAGCAGAATCATTTTCTTTTTTTCAAGCAAAGGATAGATTTTGAGTTTCGGACTCCCTTTTTCTCTACAATATACTTCCGAATCTTCCGAAATCGTTTTTTTTTTAGTTGCAATTAGCATTATGCAAGCTCCACCTATCTGAATTTTACTGGCATAATTGGCACAACTTGCTTTTAAAGAAAAATTTAATTAAGGACGAAAAGAGGTAAAGAGAACTAACAAGGCAGCAAAGTTTACCGTAAAGTATTGTAGTTCGATCGTATAATTGAAGTTTAAAGAGTCGAGCCTGTGGTTAAAAAAATCACGATGAAAGTAATTTTTAGAAAAGGATGTTTCATAAAAATAAATGGACAGAGAATTTCACGCCAATATACTGATTAAACCAAAAACAAAAAAATAAAGGATGTCAAAAGATTATTAAATTGCTGTCAGTTTAGAGGACGATTCCTAGCATACTTTCCCCCGTCATTTGCATCCACTCCCTTTGGACCTAATTTTGCGCATTATTATATGTTCATTCTAAAGAAAATCAGGATTAAACTTTCCAATATCACGAACTCAAATGGCAATAAAATATTATTTTTATTTCCCGTCTCGTGTTGTCAAGCGCACACGTTCTCTCCATTATTTTCCCCTCATATTAGGTGATAACATGATGCATGTTAAATGTAATCAGGCTCTGACATAGGCGCGTTCAAAATCACAGGTCAAGCGATGGTGTATCAGTAAGAAGAAGAGGAAAAAGCATGAAGTACCTTGAACAGCGATCGACGACGGAGTTTGCAAGGGGCGAGAGCTGAGGAATGAGATTGGGAGAATCGACATCTCCGGAAAAGGAAGACTCGTTGCTCTGGAAAAGTGATTTGAAAGGCGTGCTATGATTTCCCATGAGATTCTCCCACATCACCGCCATTGCATTCTCCATTTTCTTTCGCAACCTAACTACCTCGCGCCAAGACAGAAACAGATTCTTTGTTTAATGCTTTGATCTCCTTCCCCCCACCCTCCCCCAGTGCGAACACGGCATTAAAAACAAAAAACAAAAACAAAGAAACAAATCTTCTTCTTTCTGATGGGTCAAATCGGGCCAAATCATTGCTGACCCAAAAAAGTATCGGGTTGGTCCTTTTGCTCGAGTAGTGAAGAAATGAGAAATAACGGATTTGGTTCTTATAATTTTACTCTAATTATAACTTAATGTTTTAATTTTAACTCATTATAATTTAATCATCAAAATTTTGATTTAATTATTAATTAATTTTTAAATTTTATCTCTTATAATTTAATTCATAAAGTTTCAACCTGTAATATAAGGATCAATATCTAAGATGTTAAAATTTTATAAATTAAATTATAAGAGATAAAGTTGATGAATTGAGTTATAATAAGTTAAAGTTGAGAAGATAAATTATGATTGGATCAAAATTATAATAAAATATAGGAATCAATATTTAAGAAATTGAAACTTCATGGACTAAATTGCAAGAAGTAAAATTCAGATGTCGATGTTCAATCGAATTAAAATTTTAAAAACTCAATTATAATGAATCAAATTTAAAGAATCGAGTTACAATTGGATCAAAATTACAAAAATATTAGTTTTTCTTGAAAAAATAATACAAGGCATGTTAGAAAAGAATTTTTAAAGTAAAATTTTAAGAGACCGCTGTTTATGTTTTCCAGAGTTAATATTAGTAGTGCTTCCCAATATTATTCTTGTGTTTTTTAAAAATTTGATAATAAATTAAAAAAAACTGTGACATATATATATATATATATATATGGGGGTTGTCAATGTTGTCGCATTAAACCTACATACAGAAGGTCATGAAAAAATTTCTAATGAAAAAAATTCAATATATATGTAGCATCTCATGGTGGGTTTAATTTGAATTATTCTTCACTCTTTATTTACAAGTTATTTTTAATATATTTTATTAAAATTGAAAAAATTTCAAAGCTCTTAACTATCTAACAATTTAATAAATTTTTAACTCTATACTTATTATATATATATATATATATATATCCTCTAATAGTGTACTTACTCTCTCTCCCCTTTATTTAATGAAAGTTAAAAGAGAAGAATTATAATTAAAAAATTAATGACATAACTTATAATTAAGATAAAAAACTTTTCTCCCTACTGTAGAAATAGAACAAGAGGAAGTCACGGCCAGAGAATGATTTGGAGAGGGACTATATATAGAGCTGTCAATTAGGGCCGACTCTTGAAGGGTCAGAGCTTAAATGAGCTGGCCCTAATAAGCCCTATTATATGTTAGAGTTTCATTTTATAAGGCTCAGCCCTAGCCCTCAGGGTTTCGGCCGTATTTTTTTAAAATTATTTTTTTAATTAAAAATTATAAAAAATATATTTATAATCATAAAAAAAAGTTATTATTTATAAAATCAAGTTTAAGAAAATAAATTTAAATCAATTTACACCACAATAATAAAGAAAACTAAAACATTTAGGTCTAATATCAAATAGCAACATCAAAGTGAATATCAATAAAAATTAAACTTAGCTAATATTATCAGCTAAATCTTAATAAATAAATGAGGAATGGATGAATGCATTTAATATGTTCATTTTTTTGAGTTATGTATTTAATCTTTTATTTTTTTTATATTATAATTTTTAAAAAAACAATAAAAGGGCTGGCCCTTCTATTTTCGGACCTAAAAGGACCCTTTTAGGCCTAATTTACTTTTTTAGAGGCAAAATAGAAGCCCGGTCCTCAATTTTTTTGAACCTAAAAGGACCGGCCCTACAGGCTCGGCCCTAATTGACGGCTCTAACTATATATATATATAACACTTGAGATGGCAACCTTAGTTGAGATGCATGCTTGTGTAGATATATATATATATATATATATTATAATTTATATCTTCATAATTAAAGATCATCGATGAGATGACAACAATCAATGAGAAGTCTGATGCACGAGAACTACGTGCTTATTTACTAAAGAGCTGAGAATCTTGAGGTGGTCGGAGCTCGGATTTTGCTTGACTTCTTGTGGTACATATTCACGGAGATCAACATATCGGCTATCGCGAACTGTTTGTTATGTTTGCAGGTGGAGTTGTGTATATTTTGGAGAAGCGTGAAGAAGAAAGCTTTAACTTGATTGTCACTTTTTTTTTTAACAATAATTTTGAATTGAATAATAAAAATTACTACACCATACTGTCTTATTATGACACTTGTATCTTTTTGTAAAGACTGCAAAAGCCACGATGTCTTGCTAAGTTCAATTACAAATTTAATATAAGATAATTTATACAAATGAAGTTTTATAATTGGACTATAGCTAATTTAAGAACTAAATTGTTCCTGTGGAAAAATAAAAGTTTTTTGAAGACAATTTATTTAAAGTTGGACTTTTTCCAATTCTTGTGACAATAAATGTCTCCAAAAATGAATGATTGACTAATTCTAGAAATTTGTTATTTACATAGATTTTTTAGCTCTTGACTTATTGAAATAGTTGAATTTCAAAAGCCGACTTTGTCAATATCTCTCTAAAAAAAATGTATTTTTATTTGAAATTGAAGTTATAGCCAAACTTGTGACTTTGATCAGCATGATGCAAGATTTTGGTCCTTGAAAATGCAGCCGCTTTTGATGTTGTTTGATTGATCACACCCTAAGGAGTAAAAGATATACTTGCAAAACACTTGAATTTGAAATAACCAAACTATATCCAATATATAAAAAGGTAAAACATTATATATAGTTAGATTATTTTTAAGAGTTTGAAAATTATTTGACCAAGCTTTCCACCATTTAAATAAATTTCAAGAGAGTTGAGAATACTCCCAAACTAATAAACTTTAGTTAAACTATATTGCGCAAAAAAGTGATCCAAACTTTCATAATTTAAATTACAAAAGACACAAACTTCATCAATTGGAATATGATAATGATTTAAAGATGATAAAATTTGAAGCGTTCGAAGCAATTTTTCTAAGAAAAATCTTGATTTTTAGTTGAATTTTTAATAATCAAACGAGAGATCAATCCATGAAAAGTGGTGGATCAGACACAACAAGTTGATAACAAATATTATAACCATCATTCACAAAATAATCACCCAAGAAATTTGTTGACCATTTAAAATGGAAGAGACAATAGCAAAAAATAAAAACATAATAATAACGTAACAAAAGGAATTGAGTAAGGAGATATTCCAACAAAGGCAAAAGCCACAGGATGAGGTTTGATACATTTCAAGATGAAGGTACATCACTTGACTATTGCAAAGGCCACTGAGGCTAAGAAATCATCTCACTATTTTCAAGACTCCAATGGAGATTGCCAATGATGATATTATTAATTTTATCAATACCCTTATAAATAGGTGAAGTAAAAGCTTTTGAAATCAAAGTAGAGCCATCTTTATTTGAAAGACATTTATGCCTGGACACTTTACTGAAGGTAATCTTATTATTACTAATAATTCTCCAAATATGCTTTGCCAATAAAGCACGACCGAAAGCTTCAGTATTTTTAACTTGCAGACCACCACTCTTGTAAGATTGACCAATATGAAGCTAGTTAATTAAATGAATTTTGCCAGAGCCCTTGGAATCTCCCTAAGAGAAATCAGCAAACTTCACGTGCAACTTACGACATATAATGATTCAGGGAAAAGCCAAAGTGCAAATTGATAAACGAGATTTTCAAGAACGAGAACCTTAAGAATAGATGCTGCTGGTGTCTTGTTTTAACTTTTATGATAACTTTCTGTATGATGTTTGGTAATTTAAAGGTTTTATATGTTGATTCAAAATTTCTATTTTGTCATTACTATCTTTGGGTCATTAAAGTTGGTAAACACATAATAAACAACAACTCATTAAGCCATTCGATATTGTGTTGGAGGGAATAAAATTATCAATGTGCAAATTAGCACTAAGATGATGATATAACAAGTTGTTTAGCAAAAGGCATGTCATCAGTAGAATTTATGAATCATGTATCGTGAATGAGACACAATTCCAATTTTAGTTTTAATTTTCTCTTTGGTACACACCCCACTTGTAAGGATGAGCAATATCGAATTAAAATAAAAAATCAAATCAAATTTTTATTATTTAATTCAATCTATTTAGTTTTTTGATTCAACGATTGGTTGGATTTGATTAGTAATATTTAAAATTAATTGGATAAAACTAACTAAATTATCATAAATATAATTTATTAATTTATAAATTATGTTTAGTCTATTAATTACTTTATTTTATTTTATTCATTTTAATTTTATACTTAAATAAAAATAAATATATAATTTGATAAGTTAAAATCCTAACCCCTCATTAAAATGGGCTACTATATCACTTTACAAGCCTAATTTTTTACAGAAGCCTTGTCTATTTTAATAGATAAAAATAATAAAATTGGTTCAAGTCCAAGTAACCTAACATAAAACCAAAAATTGAATTAACTGACTAAATTAAATTATCAAATTTCAATTCAATCTTTATTCAATTTGATTACTTTATTCAGTTCAATTTAATTCATATTTTTGGCATTGTTTGCTTGATTAATTTTACATATTTTAACATTGAGCTGATCAAATACTCAGCCCGATTCACTTGTAATAATTTCTCCATTCTCAATTTAAGACGTTTTTTTCCCTTCACTTTCTTGCAAATATTTACATTCATGTTTAAATAATAATAATAACATTAAAAAAAAAAACTCTTGACAAACTTGATCCTATTGATCACTTGCACGTGGCAATGAAAATGGACTGTGATAACTGGGATGACAGTACTGGTTTGATGAATACTGCAAAATAAAACATAAAATTACAAATAACCCCCAGTTAAGAACTCATTTGCAAGTAAATCCTATAAATAAGTGAAAATATTCCGTTTTTAAGCCATGTTGTTTTTTTTTGTTTTTTTTTTTTGTAAAATTATACAAACATTCTCAGTGCTTTTAATTGAAGCTGAGCCCCCGACTTGTTTGACAGTCATCCAGTAAAATTACATAATTTATTTATAATTAATACTCTCTCATTTCCTAAGTACATGTGGAGTATTTTTTTAGAAACTTATCATTTAAGGAACGTCATAATATTTTTAAGTAATTAAATAATTTTATTATTATCTGAAAAAAGAATGATATATTAATTATATGTTTTACTCACCATTGTCATGATATTGATTAATAATAAGTATAAAATTAAAAAATTATTATAATTTAATGTGTTTTTAACTAAATAATAACCTATTATTGGTATATATAATTACGTTAAAATCATCTTCTATATAAAGACAGGAGAAGTAAGTCTCTTATTTGAAACTTACAAGTATTTAATTATCTATACAAAACATTTCAATTTTTACATGGCAATATTACAGCCCCTTTCTCACATATTATAAGATATGTTTTGAGGTGATTTAACATCAAAAAGAAAATAAAATTTCGTTGGTGATAATTATTTTAACATTTCTCATTATTATTTAACTCCTTAAATAAATTTATTTTTCCCTCTCTTAACAATGAAATGCATTTTTAAAAATATATTTTAAAAAATTAACTTGTAAACAGTATTTAATAAATTTTATTTAAAAAATACTCTCTTCTAAAAATATAAAATATCTTGAATTTTTTAAAGTACAATTAATGAGTCTTTTTCTTTCAAAAATATCCCAAATGAGGGAGTATATTTATTAAAATTTTTTAATAAAACGCCCTCTTAAATAAAGATAAATATAAAAAAATATATATAATTTTAAAAATAATTAATTAATTTATTAAAAATATAATTTAATTAAAAATACTATTATAATATTACATCTGGAATAGATGATAAATTGAAAGAAAGGAAAGAACACACAATAGATTTCGAAAGGTGCAATGTAAGTGGAGAATGGATGAGGATGAATGATGAGTACTGAAAGCAGAGGAAGTGATCATAAATGATCGCTTTGTTTACGGTACAGAGGAGTCCTCCAGTTACACAGTGGAGGCACGTGAATTGAAGCCCAAACTTTACCATTCTCTTCATACTCCCCACTTTGGACCTTTTTATTCCCAAATGCTCTAAATCATTCACCTACTCCTCCTCCCCCTCCTCTTCTCTCTCCCTTTCCCTGCTACAACAACAAATACCACCACCACCACACTCTCTCTCCCCCCCCCCCCCTCTCACAATAAAACCATGGCTGACCCTCCCACCACCCCGGTTCCTCCTCCAACAATCTTACCGGACCATCACCGTCAGCCCCTCCATCTGCCCATCATTCACGGAGGCTCCTCCCCCGCCGTCGCACCATCCTCCTCCGCCACCCCCAACACCAGCTTGATCCGAGAATACCGCAAGGGCAACTGGACCGTTCAAGAAACCTTGATTCTTATCACCGCCAAGAAGCTCGACGACGAGCGCAGGCTCCGGACCTCCGGCTCCGCCCCGCAAGAACCCTCCAAGCCCGGTGCTGCATGCAGTTCCGGCAGAACTAGCGGCGAGTTACGGTGGAAGTGGGTGGAGAACTATTGCTGGAGCCGTGGCTGCTTGCGAAGCCAGAACCAATGCAATGATAAGTGGGACAATTTGCTTCGCGATTACAAGAAGGTTCGTGACTACGAGTCCAAAGCTGAAGCCTCCTCCTCCTCCGGCGACTTCCCTTCTTATTGGACCATTGACAAGCACCAGCGCAAAGAGAAAAGCCTTCCTTCCAATATGGTCTTCGAAGTGTATCAAGCCATAAGCGAGGTGCTTCAGAGAAAGCACGCTCACAGAGGAAGCCCACAGCCGCCATTTTCACAACCCGCCCCTGCGGCATTACTATCTCCGTCGCAGCCAAATCCGATGACTGTGATACCGCCACCTCCACCTCCACCCCCGCCTCCTCCCCCGCCTCCGCCTCCGCCTCCACCGCAGGCTCCGGCTGGCTCTACCACCCCGGCTGTTTCAGGTAAGGCAGCAATCAATGTGCAGCCTATCGCTAAGAACGCTTTTGGGTTTTTATTTTTTATATTTTTTTTTTTTCTCGCAGTGGTGGTGCGAGTTTCGGTCAAACTTGCAGGGTCTGTAAACCCTGCCACATTTAATGGAACCCATTCATCTGTTTGTTTCCGTACAGTCAGTGTATGCCACTTAAAATACGTCCCAAAGTTGGGAATATTTTCCCACCGTTCGATTGACCCACTTAGAATCTCTCAATCCATCGTGCGGTGCTTGTTTGTGGTGCAGTGCGAGAGCTATTTGTGGTTTCTCGCACCACTTTGCTTGGCAGCTCAAAGATTCGGATACCATATAAAAATAAATATTATTCAGAAAATTGGTTGTGGTTTACTCGCTTTTGTTTCATTGTATTATTATTTTTTTAAAAAAATATGGTTTAATTAATTAATAAATAAAATTGTTAAAAAAAAGGAGCTCTATAGTAGTACAATCATACAGACCAGTGTGCTGAAGGCTACTACCATCTCATGATTGCTTTGGATTTTGTGGGCTGTCCGAGAAAATAGATTCTAAGTTGCTTAATCCTCGTGGTGTGATAATTAACTTCTATTTTATTTTAATGCTGGAAGTGTACTAATAATCAAGTCAATCCTGAGTAACGAAACCTCAAGTCCAACCCTCAATTAAAAAAATATTACTTCATTCCTCACGTACCGATTGTACTCCCCAATAAAATCTCATGCAAATCTACAGTCGATCACCTTTACATTTTACTTATTTTTAATTGCATGCCTGGATAGTTTTCATTTATTTTACCGTACACCCAATAAAATATATATAGTTTAAACCCTAGAGGTTGTTCCGTTGGAAGGTCTAGTGGTTTGTTCTTGTGTCTTTAACTTGATGACGTTGTTTGTCTGTAGAGAGGTCGGATTCTTCAAGCACAGAGTATTCTACTGAGGAGGATCACAATTCAGAATCGAAACGAAGGAAGATTCGGAATCTTGGATCAAGCATAATGCGAAGTGCGTCGGTTCTGGCTCGGGCTCTTCAGAGCTGTGAAGAGAAGAAGGAAAAACGGCACCGAGAACTGTTGGAGTTGGAGCAACGGCGGCTTCAGATCGAGGAACACCGGAACGAAGTTAACCGGCAGGGCATTGCGAACCTCGTTGTGGCGGTGACCAACCTCTCCGGTGCGATTCAGTCACTCGTTTCTGAACGCCATGGCCAAAGATGATGAAGTGTGGCTGCATGCATGCATGCTTGCTGCTCCATAGCTTATGTGAATTACAATTCAAAAATATAAATTCATCATATCATATCACCAGCCATTCTTTCCCACATTAATTTGGTTTCGGTAATCTTGATTCATCATTTGACAGCTGATCGATGAAATGATCCATTCTTTGATGAACATATTTTCAAGGGACGGTTTATTCGGTGATTATGTATATAATTAAGTGATGTGTTGCATTTGCTCCTTTCTATCTAATTGCCAAAATATTTTTGTGTGTGTGTATATATAATTATTTTTTTGTTTTACATTTTAATCATATAGGAGAAGGGATTGTGGCAATGCAAAACGAAGGACTGAATTTTCCAGAGATTTTATTTTTTGCAAGGAATTTAAGTATATTAATGTACGTTGTGCTTTGAATTATTAGGTCTCGCGCCCTTGATAATTTTACTTTTTCTTTTGCAGTTCATCTCAAATGAAAAATGAGATTCATATTAATATGTGCTTTTTAGTCATCAAACTTTAAGTATCGTGATGAACAGTTAAATAAATTTATTTTTGGAAATTAATGAAATCAAATATAAAAGATTAATTATTTCCGGAATTAATTCATTTTTGGAAATTTGTTGTTGCAAGTGATATATAATTCTGCACAAGTTTAATCATCACGAGCACTGCCTTCTCATTTTTATCTCTTTGCATTCAATATTCTTACTTTTGTACGTTTTAGCGGGCTTGTATAAGAGATTAGGAATCTCTGATTTATGGTATATTTACAGGCGATTTAATTTTACGTATTGTTTTAAATTATTAATGAGGACGAAACGGATATGCAGTGCCAGCTCATGAATATGACAAAATAGTCTTGTTTTACAAAAAAATCGTAAGTTAACTTAGGATGGTGATGTTGGGAAACAGCCAACAGGTGGAAAAAAAAAGTTGTCGTCCAGATCTAGGGCAGGCAAGTTTAATTACTTGTAAATAGTGTAAATATTGTAAATTTGTATTTTATGTATCTTGAATAATCTTGTATAATAAAAACCAGTAATCAAGCCCTATGTATTATGCACAAAACCTAAGGAATGTGTCATTATTTATCTTCTTGTTGGATCTAGCTGGACTTTATATTGGATATATACACACACAACATAAAAAACAATAAGAAAGTATAGTATTTATTATGTATGGATAGTTTAATTTATATTTTTTTGATTTCATGTGATACATCGATTGCATAATATATGCATAATTAAAGGCCGGGGAGGCAAGAAAGGATAGTGACTAATAACAGGAAAAAGGAATCTATTCTCTACCATGCTTTTGCACTCGCTATTGCATGTTATGGGTGTAATTACATGTTGACCACTGAGGATCTAACGGGATTAAGAGGAGACGGGGGAGGAGAAAATGGTAAAAACAGGGGAAGGCGGTAGGGATGGAGAGAGGAAAAGAGGGGGGCTGACAAGGGTGGCAGAGAGGAGGGGTCAGGGCAGTCAAAGGGGGTGTCAGTCAAGTCCGTTTGACCGCATTGTCCAAGAGCGAGCCCACCATGATGAAAGAGTGAGTTTCCGAAAATGCCCCCGGTCGTCCCATCTCTCTCTCGCCTCCTTGGCAGTACACTCTCCTCAGTCCGCCTTTTTCAGGCATCTTAAACTCTCCCCTCCCCGCCACTTTATCACCGACAGTATCCCCTTCCCTCATTTTCTCCCCGCGATATTTTGCTCCTTCTTTTATGATGCTTGCCCTTTTGCAAATATTACACTCAATACACCAAAACTGCTACTTTATTTATGCTCCCGGGAGTGTGCATCTCTACAACAACTTTGAAGAACCAAGGCGTTCAAGGGAAAAAAAATAGAAAAAAATTGTTGAAGAGACTTGAAAGATCCTGAAAAGTTTTTTTTTTTGTTTAAACGAGGTCCTTTGATGGTATAAATTGTTACAAGCTAAATGACAATAATGATCTAAATGGTTAACCCCAAAAAAAAAAAAGTCAAGCAACGTCTTCCACTGTCAATATATTATATAAGGTCTTTTGCATTCAGTAATTTCAATCAATATGTCAAAAAAAATCCTTCAATATTAATATATCAAGCAAGATCCTTCTCTTCATAATATGCCACGCACTTTTCAAAGAAATATAATTTAATTTTTATATGTTTGAATATGTCATTGCATATCTTAAATTATATTCAATACTCGAGTTTATACAATTAAACACTAAGGAGTGCAAAATTACAAGTTGCAAGTACAAGTATTTATTATTTGGCACTCAGGAAACGTAAATTTATGAGTCTCAGTGTGATAATTTTTGCAACTAAAAAATCACAATTTTATCCCCTTCCTTCGTTCCCAACTATTTCATTTACTGTGCTTCAAAATGATTTTCTCAAAATTTATAGAAAATAATTAATTATTTTTTAGTAGAAAGTCAGTTATTTTTATTTACAGAAATAATAATCTCAAAATTATTATTTGTATTTCCTAAATTAATAAAATATTACTAGTGGCTAGATGCTCAAGAGCAAAGTCTTGAAAGAATTGACCAGAAATATCTAATTACAAAAAAAAAAAAAATTGCCATGGAGATGCATAAATATAGCAAAAATACAATAACCATGGCTTATAATTTATCATAATTTACTTGATTTAAGATAACATTGTTACCAATGGTAATTGAGTTATAATTCATATTAATTTTATTTTTCAGTATATATTTTCAAGATAATTTTTATTTCACATGACTCTTTAATTAAAATCATGGGAAGTAAGATTACTAAAAAAAAATAAATTTTACTATACTAATTAACGTCACTTTTTAAAAAAGTGATTTAAAAAAGTACTACCTCTGTTAAAAAATGTAAGGTATTTTTAATTAAATCTTATTTTCAATAAAGTAATTATCTACTTTTAAACTAACTCTATTTTTTCATAATTACCCTTATTAAATACTCTACAATAAATATGAAGTCATTTATTAATAGGGATACTTTAAAAAAGGGGCAATGATTACATTTTAAAAGATTAAAAATACCTTACTTTTTTTAACAATCAACTTCTCAAAAAATGTCTTATATTTTTTTAACTGAGAAAATATGTGATGACAATATGGTAAATAAAAGTGTTATCCATGTATCTACTAAAAATGACGTGAATAAGCTTCACATCTTCTAATATTATTTCCCCTGATAACAGCGTCCAAAGGCTTAAAAATAACGATGAAAGTGTTTTTGGTGATAATGCAAAAAAAAAAAAAAAGACTCAAGAATTCCAAAAATTAAGGTTTTGAGTGAATACTTCAGGAACTGAGGCCCATTTGATTTGATTGCAAGCAGAATCCCCATTGATATTTAAATGCGTTGCTTATCATCATATTTAATTTCTTGATTATACACATTGATGAATCGATCGGTTGCCGAGGATATATATTGTGAATTTGCTGTGTAATGTAATCATATCAGAGGTAGCAGCTATTTACTCCATGCGAGAGGTTTGATTATCTGGTTAGAGTATGTTGTTGGATGGGTAAAATACTCAATTATGTATGTGAAGGGACATGGGATCATCATGCGGTTTGCGTGGTTGAATAACTTGTTCACTTCTCTCTCTCTCTCTCTCTCTCTCTCTCTCTCTCTCTCTCTCTCTCTCTCTCTCTCTCTCTCTCTCTCTCTCTCTCTCTCTCTCGTAAATAAACAAACAAATCAGCTCATCTAAGTTATGGCTCAGATTTATCAACATCCGAGCATGCATAATCACTTGAATAACGGTGCTTATTTTGGCCCAAAAAAAATAATAATAATAACAGTGCTCATTGTAAGAAATATTAAAAATCCAGGGTTCGAATTTTAAACCCATCAAACTAACATATTTGACAAATTAAATTACTTACACTTATGTCAAATGTGATTAATTTATGACAAGCCAATAAATTGATCCAACTCAAAGATGGGTGAGAACTGATCAGATCAAATCAACCTGAGTTTGCTTTGTCTTCTTGCTAGAAAGTATTTTTAGGTGGAAAATCTCTATACTAAAGCATGTGTACTTAATTTACTTATTTTTAATCAAATAAAAAAGTGATTTTGATACCCATTCATTGACCCTATAACCTAGTCCTTTAATATTAACATGTACCACACAAGTTTATCAAAAATAATAAAACACAAGCATACTTATTTATTCACGAACTGAACACCTGCAGATTTTAGAAATCATCACCAAGAACTGGGCTCATTGGTCTGAAAGCTGATGCAAACATATACAACGTTCGAATGACTGTATTACGGGCCAGTATTGACCTGATCGGTCCGGTTTTGGGCTATCCATGATTGTGGGGAGCTATGGGCCATGGAAAAGAAAGCTGGGAGTGATCAAGTTGGGCTACGATCACCAATGGAGCTTAGTCAAGTGAAAGGAGCTAGTATTTCACAATGTGTTAAACTAAGGTTTGAAATACTGTTAAGATAAGTATTTATATTTAGTTCCTGATAATATCTTGAACATGATTACTTTTAATAGGGAAATATTTATGAGTTAAAAAAAAGTTAAACTAGGGTCAAATCAGTTGTCTTTTAAATAGTCATGGGGAAAGCTTTTTTATTTGTTGCACTTTGGATGGAAATTATAAGCATGCCACATCAAGCATGTAACACTCTTCAGTCACTATTTTTAAGAGTCTCAAATTTTAGGTTTTTTGTGTGCCTAATTATAAGTCCCAGTTCAAAATATAAGTCTCAAGCATTCAATTTAGATTTGTTTTGCCCCTAATGATGTTTTAAAATAATCTAAAATATAATTAAATTAAATTATTTAAATGAGGCTTTTATTTGTTGAAATTAAATGAGGCATTTGATAGAGCGCATATTTGAAAACAAAATAAAATAAATTTTAGACGTAGTTTAGGTTTTAGTGTATCCATGGTCACATGTTCAGAAATTTTTTTTCTTATTACATACAGGTATTTTTTTTATTGAAAGAATTCCACTTGAGACGTCCCAACGGAGATTCGAATTTTATTTGCCACGGTGGTAATTACCAAACTCAACCCGTTGGCATTCACAATTTCATGTAACCAGAAATCACGATTATTTGTAGGCCCAATTACGGTCCATTCTTCACACAGCTCTTTTGGTCCAGGGTGAATTAACTACGTCATGTTTGAAACCCTCGCTGCAGGAGAGACTATCTTCAGCTAGCAGAGGTGAGCCAAGGAGCCATTTAGATCCTGTCTTATTTGCAAACCTGTAAGTGCAACTTTCTGAAAGTTTATTAAGAAAACGGTGTTTGGATTTTTGATTCGGGAGAGTGAATTCTGATTGCATTTTAGCTGTTTGATGGACTGTGTGAGACAGATGGAGAGAGATTTCCAAGAAGTTATTTGATCATGGCTATTTAATGGTTTAAGAGTTTCAAGGTTATATGCTGTTACGCGATTTCTTTTACCAGGAGCTAGACCAATGCATGCATGCATGCTTTTGCTGTGTAGGTGAGAGCTGTTATGACCTTTTTTAGTTAGTGATTATGAAAATGGCAGCTGATCTGAATTGGATTGTCTGAGTTATTGCCCTTTACTCTTTTGGCTCTTTATCCTGAAAAATGAAGAGGAAACTTGAAAGTTCCAGTTGTTCATGTTGTCGTGACTTTTATCATCTTGCTTTTATAAGGCTGACAACTTGCTAACAAATCTTTGCAGCTATTTGGGCTTGTCTGAACTCTGCATATAATCTAGAAAGGGGAGTGCTCGTTGTATTGTTCAATAAATATTGGAAAGACTTATTTGTTGGATATGTGGTAATGTCCAGAACGCAAATATGTTGAAGTTAAAACACTTATTGGACTCAGATTTTGTATAAAGATTATCGGCATTGACAAAGTACCTATTTATTTGAGGGAATCAAACGATTAATAAATACTTTGCAAATGGCACAGACTGCACCAAACCCCCTTTTGAGTGTGAAGGAGATGCAAGGGAGAGGAAGGGGGATGGTTGCATCTCAGCCTCTTAAAGCTGGTCAAGTTGTTCTCAGAGATTCTCCTATCCTGCTGTATTCTGCTTTGCCTTTGATCCCACAGTCATCAACCATCTCCTCTTCCCCAGCCTTCTGTGACCACTGTTTCAGAACCCTACCAAGGCCATCTTCAATGGAAGGTCCTTCATCATCCTTGGTTTTGTGCCCTTCTTGTTGTCACCATCGTTTTTGTAGCCCAAAATGTCTATCAATTGCCCAAAATACATCACACACTTCTTGGGTATGTCAAGCATTATCTCATCTTCGAGTCAATTCTGTACTGCTTGAACAGCCCCTTGAGTGTCAAGTCCAGGTGCATTTTCTCATTGCTGCCTACAATCTGGCCAGTGTCTCCCTGTCAGGCTTTCAAACTCTGCTTGCTCTTCATGGTTCTCCTGATGATACTACGATTGCTTCAGCTCAGTTCCTACACACCCTTATTTCATCCCTCTTTCCGTTTGCTCCAACAAGTCATCAGAATTGGTTTTCCTTGGAACTCACTGCTGCCCTGTTGGCCAAGGATAAGCTCAATGCGTTTGGCTTGATGCAACCATTCTCTGAAGATAATGACCAGAGATCAGTTAGAGCGTATGGCATCTACCCTTATGCCTCCTTCTTTAACCATGATTGCCTTCCTAATGCCTGCAGATTTGATTATGTGGATACTAGTGCAGCAGATGATAACCATAACATCGACATTATCATTAGAATGATTCATGATGTTCCTGAAGGTAGGGAAATCTGTTTGAGCTATTTCCCTGTGAATGAAAATTATTCTAGTCGGCAGAAGAGATTGATGGAAGACTACGGCTTCACCTGTAAGTGTGATCGATGTAATATTGAAGCAAATTGGTCAGATAACGACATTGTTGAGGATGATACAGAGGATATTGAAGAGGCAATGGATGAGGACCAATGTGAAGATATGGCAGCTTCTGACACTGAAAGTAATCCCCAAGCAGATAACAATGATTTCCCTCATGCATATTTCTTCTTGAAATTCATGTGTGATAGAAAGAATTGCTGGGGTACTTTAGCTCCTTTACCCCCACAGGGTGATACTCCATCCAATGTTATGGAATGTAATGTCTGTGGCAACTTGAAGAGGGACAATGTCCTTGATGGTGATGGAGGAGAAGATGGAGTTTCCATGGAGGACTGAGCAGCTGCGACCTCACTTTTACTACCTCTGCATTCTTCTAAATGGCTAGGTGATCACTTTCTTTTCTTGACCTTATGTTTAACTTACTCAGAATTGTTTTACTGCATTATCACGAGTAATTAGCAGTTTTGGTGCAAAAATTATTTTAGACCTTTTGGAATTGTAGCACTTTGGGCAAGCCGTTGAAGTGCTAAAACCATCCCCATTGACCTCTTGATGCTTGGTTTCTTTAGTAGCTCAATACTTAGCTTAATAATTGCCAAATGCTAATCTATTTGGCAGGTCGTTTCAGAGTTTTTCCCCCCTACAAAGAGGTTTTCTTTGAGAATCCCTATCCCAATGAGAGCGGGAAGAGACCTTAATTCTGTGGATGGACTAGAATTCGATTTTAGATGGCATGCCGCCATGATAGTCCTTCCATTTTCTGTCCTTCATTCTAAGACGCAGCTTACCTATGATCATCTCAAGCGCCTCTTCTCTCTCTCTCTCTCTAAGCAGTGCCCGCTTTTGCCCTGCAAGATTGCATCATTTGGGTTGCATAGTCAACATTTTATCTACAAAAGAATGTACTGTATGGGTTTTTTTTTTTTTGTGAATGAATGCAGAAAATCTAGATTGATTAAATGTGATGTGAAAGGTTGGTCATATTTGCCGATTTTAATTATGGCGTTATTTGCAATATTACTATTTTATGGAGAAAATTATTCTACATATAATGAAGAAGAGTGAGACGAAACACTAATTTAAGAATATAATAGATATTAAAAAAAATGAAAAAGAATCCCTGTGAACAAACCATGCCCTATAGCTTAGGATCAATCTTGTAACTCAGCAGTCATGTGGCATTTTTATGTGCTAGTTTATGTCCGAAGATTTGTTTGCTTGTTGGACAATTACACTGAAGGATCTAAATAGAACAATATTTGTCCTAAGATCTAAAAGAATTATAAGGATCAAGGGACTGAAATCGGTCCTCTCAAGCCCCCACCTCCTTTAACTTTTTTTTTTTTAACTTGCATATAATTTGTGTGTATATAGTTTTTTTATTTTAACTTTTTATCTTAATATTCTTTTCAAGGAACTTTTAAGTAACTCTACACCGTGTACTGAGAAAAAATATTGAGGGAATATCGAGAGGATCTATTTTCTATTAAGAAGCACCTCCCTTGAAATTTTATCCAAATTGTGTTTTTTTTATAACAATTATCCAATATATAGTATCGTCGATCATTTTACATTTAGGTATTATTAGGTTCTAAATGGAAATAACTCATTGTAGTTTTGAAATGTTGCTTTAAAAAAATTGGATCTTTTCCACTTGATTGAACTTCTCGCACTCCACTAAATTACAGCTAGTTAAACCCAAAGGTCTTAATCTCGCGTGAACCAATTTGGTGTTGGTTGTTTCTACTATAAATATCTTATAACCCCGCCTCATTTCGTCTGCCAAGGACGTCTTTGCTAATTCCGTTGCTATTTTGTCTGGTAAGCTTTAGGGGGCAATCGCTAGAAACAGTTGATGTGCTTGTTTCATGAACACTACATTTTTGTCATTAAACTATATTTGAACTACAACTCTATTGCATGAAAAGGTGATTCTAAACGATGATAAAAAGAAAAAGTAGTCATTCATTTATTAAATTAATTTTATAATACTTATCCGTTTTTGACAATCACATTAAACTCGACTAATTTGAATGGAGTTAAATAGGCTACATCATACATGTGTGAAACTCTTTCGACAGCAATTTTTTAGACACAAAATTTAGACTCAAAATCTTGCTTGAAATAAAACCATGGTTGGTTATTTGTTTGCTAGATGTATGTTAAAAAAATTAAATTAACTTCTATTACCAAAAAAAAAAAAACAATCTGACCTTTTTCACGTATCAACCGCATTGAGTCATCTCAAATATACTTGACCGAAATTAGCACAGCTGTCGACACTTAATAGTACAATGAAGTTTTTGTGGCCAAAAAAAGTACAAAGGAGTTTCTTTCTTTCTTTTTTTTTTTTGGAGCAAAGTACAAAGGAGCTTCAAGACATCTTAAAGGCCTGATTAGCTTTTATTCAATTTAAACTCTTTCAAAGCGTATTTAAAATTTAAAATAAGTCAGATCTCAAATAAACCAGGAACAAACCCAAACGCAGGCCTTCAAACTGAACCCAACCACACAATTTCATTTGGGCTTCGTTGGTTTGCTTGATTCACAGTTTTTGAGAACCCCTAACCCAGATGCCCTCTTCAATTATCATCAAACGGCTTCATGGATGGTTCATGAGTCCATAAGCCGATCCATTAACAACTTAACAACAGCAGGAGCATCAACAGTCACAGCTACCTTGACAGATGGTTTATCCGACCATTCAGTAACTTCACCAAACCTGGTTATACCAAAGAAAGCATACATATGCAGTTACAAATGATTAAAGATGAGTATAATGAGGGAATAGAAGATTATAATAACAATAGAATGTTGACATAAGAAGCGCCAGTGCATCAAAAAAGGCGGCATATATCAATACGTATGCTGTATTTATGCGTTGGCATTGTCAGACTCTTTTGTCTGATATATTTCAGCATACTTTGAAATACATTTATACATTTCAAAAGATGTCCAAACACTCCGAAACAGCACAATAACTCGGAGGATATTAGTATTTCAGCTCAGTAAATTTATACTTTTATTTGTATCTTGTCATGGACATCTTATTTTACATCAGAAATCTTTATTAACTACAAATCTTATTTGTTGATTTTATATAATAGTGGCTAGCACTTGTTATCGGATAGGCCTGCATATATCAAAACTAAAAATTAGATGAATGCTTTTGACCCTGAATGCTCAAGGAACACGGCCTCATAGCGTTGTTTACCTTTTCTGTTTATTATACAGTATCGTGAGCCCCCTCGTGATGCCATTAGTTTGGACTCTAACAGCACCCTCTATGTAGGTTAAAAGTGAAGGATTAACAGCTGCAAGAAGAGCCGTTGGGTCATGAAGGTAAACACCTGCATATAAGTCAACTATAATAGTTAAGCAGATCATGGGATCCCTTCTAGTTCTTAAACCAATCGACAAGACAAACCTGTAGTATCGTATGCCTCAAAATGATAAGAGAAGTACACGTCCAAGATTTTTGTCAAGTATTGCGCAAATTTGCCTTTTGAACTTGCCAACTTCTCTCGATCAGCAGCTATATAGACATTGGTGACCGGAAAAAAAAAAAAAGATAAATGATGTTTGCTACAGCATTAATTCTAATCTCATCATATTGTTCAAACTGATGCCAAGTTCTCACACCGATGGCTAAGAATGTGTATTCCAGATTTTAGGTACAACAATAATTCTTATCATAAGCTCACAAATCAAAACTTCATACGCCAGCAAGACATTCAGGCCAAGAAAATATACTAGCAAAACATGAAATAAAATGAACATCATAAAAGCAAGCAGCAGTTTTTCAGCTCATCCAGTATAATCCATGGACGAGCATCTCCTAAAACCACCCATGTGCAGGTGCAAAATCAAACTAAACATCAACAAAGCTATGTCAATTGCAATAGGAGAAAAAGGAGGGGAGGAGGGGAGAAGAATAAAATAGTGAGTAGGACTATTCACTTGATTTATCAGGCTCACTATATTTTCATTAATAATCATAAATAAGGTCAAGAGAGTGTGGTATTGCTAGTATAAGTCCAATACAGTAGTTATCAACACACTTATTTCAACCTATCAGTCTACTCATTCTAACAGCAAAACCATGCCTTTGAGACATAAAGGTATGCTTTCTAACTCCAATCAACTATAAAATAAGGGTTTATTGTGTTCTGATTAGCACACTGCTCCAGAACTCCCAGCCAAAACTTAATAATAGGCAACAAATGGGAGGGAAGAAGGTAGGAAAACCAGGAACTGCTGGTCCAATAAAAGATATATAATTAATACATGAACGATCCAGAAAAGTAGAAGAGCGAAAGAAGGGAACAGTGACAAAAAGGTTAGAGGGAGCAGTTACAGAGAATTTTAGTGGGGTATATTAGAAAATCTGAGAAGAAAGCAGGTAAGGAGATTTTTGGTCAGGTTTTCGAGAGGGCCAACCTCCCAAAAGTTGGCATGTGTATCATGTTCTTGAATTGTAAGAAATCCAAGAATGATGTTCTCTCTGATTCTTCCTTTATAAAATGGAACAAGTGCAAGCACATAAAAGGGACTGGCAGCGGACCTGCCAATCAGATCCCAGGAAAGAGGCTAACAATAAAGCTGAACTAAGCTTTCCTCTCTTTGGCAAAATACATAGGAGGAGAAGGAAATAAGCATTGACTAAAGAGACATAATGAAAGTGACAAAGCCGAGATAAAAAGCATGAAAGATATAATCTTCAACAGTCCTAGTGATTAATTTATTTGTGCTTTTAATGAGTGTTTGTCTAATGAGGTACTTGAGTGAGTCATTTTTTGTTGTGTGACCTAAAGGGAGAGATTCACTTAAAGTGAGTTATAAGCTCTTCCAAAAGACCATATTTCCATGTCAATATCAGTACCTTAGCTATTTTTCCAGTCTCTCTGTTGACCATGAGTTGAGTTCCAGCAGGTTCTTTTCATGTTCCTGCAACACCATGACTAAAGGCACTACTGCCCCCAAAAGCACAGCACTGGTAAAGAATTCTCATTTAAGCACACACTTAACAAAAGAGAAAAACCTTCATGAGACTGCCTGACCTAAGAAGCATGCCAATCAAGATCCCCCCATGTGTACAAAGATGCCATTCCCATCAAGAGAAGAAATTACTTGAATTGCCTTGAACTCATAAATATTAAATTATATGACTTCAGGCAATCCTTCTGGGTTCTTTCAGCCAACTTAAAATCCCCAAGTTGCCGTTAGAACCATCATATGGAGAGTTTCTCTCCTAATTCACTGACGCTATAGATGTAGGTTGACCCCAAGCTTATAGCCTCCCTTAGATAAGGTGAGTAAAAACTCAGCCTTCAAGGGGGAAAAAAAAACATATTTTAGCGCTTTAGGAAGGAAACATTCAGCATAAGTGCACCATGGGAACGATAAAGAATTGGAGAGAGGGAAATGAGGCTTCTTCACAGCAGAACAACCTGCTGTGACTACTCTAACCTGTAAAACTAAGCATACAACAAACTAATTGCAAGCTTGCAGAAACCTTCTATGTTCCAAGAACTGGGCACATGTCCGTTCATGGATATCTACCAAAATCTTATGACCAACCCTACTTCCTTACGAGCTACATATCCCTTCTTGTAGACACCAATCCATATGGTCGCCACTTCCCTAAGTAACATCCTGTATCTTCTAACTTGGTTGCTACTCATGCACATGCAGGCAGCTTGGGTCGACCTTCACTACTGACTTAGATAAAAATAGTCCTAACAAGTCCCTGAAGAACACAAAATTCACAGAGAAAGAACGAACAAAAACTCTTCCAAAGTCATCAAGACCAAGCTTATATTGCTCATCCATTCTTTATAGCAGGTACCTGCTTCCTATCACAATCTATCATTATTTTTCACTCCTATACCATCATGGAATCCCTATCAAGTCTGTTCGCAGAACAGGTTCAGACAAACTTAATAGAAAAATAGATTGGTTACTTGTGCATTCAGGACAAATATAACTTGTTGCATCTGAGTTCTGAACAATGATGGGCACAGTTCCGTCAATTTATCCATTAAATAATGAAGATTTTCAGACAATGACTAATTAATTGAAGAAGAAATGTAGGAGTTTAATTGGACTGAGATATTAGTTGAAAATCTCTTAAAGAACAGTAACTTTAAAAATACCCAAAAAACAAATTAAAATTGCTGATGAAATTCATTTGCAAGCCACATCGGATTTATACAAGTGAAACTATGAATACAAACACAGACAAAAGTTTATAGAATTACAACAGAAGTGAATGGAGTGGAATTTGCTGAAGGGTATACCTGTCAAGACAACTTGGTGCGTGACATTTATCCCTACTGCCACCACATCTGCCCCACTAGTAAATACAACATCCGCAGCATCTGGGTCACCGAATATCTGAAAGCAAATGAATAAAAAAGCTTAGGAATAACAAGGATCAGAGAGAGAGAGAGAGAGAGGGGCCAACAATAATTTATCAATTCAAGAAGTTATATTCAAACTCTCAATCCATGATTGAGAACGCACATTGGCCTCAGCAGCTGGATTTACATTGCCATTCACTGCAAAAGCACCACCAAGAAGAACAATCTGGCGAATGTTTTTAGAAAAGTCGGGATCCTGCTGGATAGCCTAGACAAATAGACATTTTATCATTAAATGATAAAATACATAAAGGGTAACAAGCAAACACAAAATTACCCATATATCAGACCAATGCAATATTTGTAAGTGGACCTAACGCCACTACAGTGACTTCGCCAGGATTGTTCTTTGCTTGCTGAATCAGGAAATCAACAGCTGATTTTTCAATATGCTTTCCTACAGGTGAAGCGAAATTTTGGTTGCCAAGCCCATCCGCACCATGGACAAAATCAGCAATGCGAAGTTTTGTTCCTTTCTTAAAGAAATGAAGATTAAGACAATTAGAAGAATCATAAGTAGGGTGACACTTTTTTCTAATTGAGGGGTCCAACTACATTGCACTTGCAAGGAACAAACAAGTGGAAAATATTCAGTTACTATCATTTCTCTAAAAACGTAAATAAGTCTGCCCACATTCTCGAATCGTTTAGGATGCTGGGAAATCAAATGAATCTGATGGTAATGGGAGTTATATGTTGGTGCATGCAAATCAGTGATCCCTGAACAGAGTCAATCTGACAGAGATGAAGAACTCACAGTTAACGTGACATGGGAGCCTTCAGCCACTGGTATATCAGTTCTCCCTGCAACCTCTAACTACATTGGACATATTACACAAGTAAGGACGTTTCTAACAAAATGATGAAAGTCAAGTTGTCTCAATTACGACAAACATCTAATAAATTTACAATAAGAAGCCACCCAGAACCAGGGATCAAACCCCACAACTTTACCAAATGCAAGGCATTTCTGGTGGCCAGCGTGGTGTAAACATTTCCGTAAATAGTTGTAAGTCCAATGACCTCCACCTCAGGCGATCGTAATGCCAGAAATATTGCCATGGCATCATCTACATGAAACAAGTGCCATGACTTTTGTCCTCGAGTCAACAATCTTAATGAATTTTAACACTTTATATCAACTACCAAAGAGGGAAGACAAGAATATTTTCTTCCTTTTCGGCCAAAGCAAGGATTCTAAAAAGAACACATTCAAAACTCATTGACGGTCAATTATATGATAACTGCGTATCATCTTTTGCCTTTTAGCATCTTCTAAGTTCTATCAGATGAGTTGCACTTTTTCCATTTAGCGCAAAAAAGTTGCAAATAATTAATAAAAAGGATCCAATCGAGAAATGAGAAGACCTACCAATGCCAGGGTCAGTATCTATTATGATCTTCTTTGGTTCCGATGCCATGACCGAGAATTTATAAGAGGAAAAAGGAAGATGAAAATAATTCGAAAGTACTGAAACTGAAGGGAATGTACAGTTAAAAAGCCAGAAAGAACAGAGATGAAGGGTTACGTTGGGTCCGAAGAAAGCCGATACGGCAAACTCTTTGGCCCCAGTTCTTTTGTTCTTTTAACCAAATCTGCTCCGTCACCAGAAAGATAAGATATTATAGTTCTCTGCTCGAAGAAGAAAGATAGAAAAATTATCATAAAGTTTATGCAGGATAATTTTGTTAGAATTAGATGAATTTTTTAATAGAGTAAGAATATTAAAAATTAAAAAATATATTTTTAAAATAAACATTCGCATGTCTCGTTGCTTGTTTTTTAAGAAGCGGACAGAATATGCCGACGTGGAACTGAGTGCACCGAAAAGGATACCGCCAAATGATTTAGGTGGCGCCAAACCAAATATTTCTTCATTATTGTCTGGAATATGGGAAATGTACGCATCAGATCGGAACTAGTTCGGTCAAAAAAGATCGGAACAAGTTTCAATGTTTAATAGAATAATAAAATGGAAAAATTAGAATTTTAAGTCCTAGAATTTACCCTGATTTCAAATTAATACCCATAGATTTTACTTTTCTCGATCAGCTCCATATAAGATTTAACAGTTTAGAAGTTGATCATTAAAACTTTCAGCTTGTAACAGGTCATTGTAAAGTCCACGGAGCCAAGTAGAGTGATCTGAGGATATACATGATGGGGCTAATAAATACACGAATGAATGGAAGGATTTGGGATATCATAATGAAAAATTTTTTCTGATGGCTGAGACGAGATTTGGATCATTAAAAGAGTTTTTACTTTTTATATTATAATTTTTAAATAAGAAAAATATTTTTTATAAATTTATTTTATAATTAAAAGACAAAAACTCTGAATAACTTTTTCATCAAGAGCAATCAATATCTTTAAGTTAACAAAGTACAGTACCCATTAACTTTTTTAATAAAGGTATCGTTTCACAACTTGTTAAAATAGTTAACATCCATTAATATAGACCAGAGATGTTCGCTTAGAAAGCAAAAATATCGAGAATTTTTTTAAAAGTTTTTTATATTCTTAAATTAACAATGATGTAGGGTACTCACATTTTTTTTGAATATTTTTGCATTTAATGTTTGTTTCCTTTTTAACAATCAACATTAATAAACGTTGGGCAAATTTAATAAGATAAGAAAGGATGCATTTACCAAAAAAAGTTTATGGATATCTATGTACTTTCTCTATTCAAAAATATAAGATTTTTTAAGAAGTTGAATATTTAAAAATATAAGGTATTTTTAATTTTTTGAGATATAATTATTATATTTTTTTAAAGTATCCCTATTGATAATGACTTTATATTTATTGTAGGGTGTTTAATTAAGATAAATATAAAAAATAAGGTTAATTGAAAAATAGATAACTACTTTATTGAAAGGTAAAATTTAGTTAAAATATCTTATATTTTTTGACAAACGGAGTATTATTCTTGATTTAAGGATACTAGATGTTACTTTGACAAAAAAAAATGATACTTGACATTTCAGTCAATTTTTTTTTGGATATTTTTATCTTTTAATCCTTTATTTTATATTTTGTATCTATTAAAATAACAAACAACTTTTAACAATATAAACATAAATGACATCTATCCAAATTTTACTTATACAGTAAAATTAAAGCAACAACTGGAAAAAAAAAGTGTCCGATGCTAACTAATGCCATACCATCCTAACTGTTAATTTCGTTAACCATGTAGTATATTTTTTAAATAACAAATATTTTTTATAAATTTATTTTAGAGTCAAAGGGCAAAAGCTGTCAATAACTTTTTCATCAAAAGCAATCAGTATCTTTAAGTAGCCATTAACTTTTTTTAACAAATCTCTCAACTTATTAAAATAGTTTAACATTTATTAATATGAATTAGAGATGCTTGGTTAAAAAGCAAAAATATTAAGAATTTTTTTTAAAGTTTTTGATATTCTTAAATTAACAATGATGCAGGGTACTCACAAATTATTATTTTTTTGAATATTTTTGCATTTCATGTACGTTTCCTTTTTTAACAATCAACATTAATAAATGTTGGGCAAATTTAATAAGATAAGAAAGGATGCCTTTGCCAAAAAAAGTTTATAGATATCTATGTACTCTCCCTATTTAAAAATATAAAATATTTTTTGAGGAGTTGGATGTTTAAAAATAGAAGGTATTTTTAATTTTTTGAGGTGTAATTATTGCCTTTTTTTAAAAGTGTCCCTATTGATAATGACTTTATATTTATTGTAGGTTATTTAATTGGAATAAATATAAAAAGATAGGATTGGTTATAAAATATGTAACTACTTTATAGGGGGTGAGATTCGGTTAAAAATATCTTACATTTTTTAACGGAGGGAGTATTATTCTTGATTCAAGGATACTAGATGCCACCTTGACCAAAAAAAATGATACCTAACATTTCAGTCAACAAGTTTTTGAATATTTTTATCTTTTAATCCTTTATTTTAATTTTGTATCCAGTAAAATAACAAAAAACTTTTAACAATATAAAAATAAATAACATTTATCCAAATTTTACTTATACAGTAAAATTAAGTAACAACTGGAAAAAAAGTGTCCAATGCTAACTAATGCCATATCATCCTAACTGTTAATTTCGTTAACCATGTAGTATATTTTCCCTTATCTTTAATATAAAGAAACATTGACTAATTTCATATTTACTGAGCAATTATAGTTATATTCTAAAAGTTATTAAAAAAAGACATAACTTTTTAATTTTTGTCATTTTTTGCGATTAATAACCTTGATAAATGGTTGTTTAAGAATTCAAACCATAATAAATAAAATAAATCTGAGAAAAAAAAAATTAACCACTCTAACTTTACCTTGTATCAAGAATCAAAGGAAAAAAAAAAACTTTTAAAATCTGTGTTATATCGAAAATGGCGAACGTATTCCCTGGACTCTTTTACCCATGATCAGCCTAAACTAAGTTCGCTATATGGACCCAATTACAAGCGGAATGAAAATTTAATGATTAACTTTCTAAAAATTAAAAATAAAAATAAAAACATGGGGACTCATTTTTAAATTAGCATAGGCTATAGGGACTAAAATATTAACTTTTTCCCAACATAAACCTGGATCTACAGATCTCCCGTCAAGATCATGTACAACAAGTCATCATTATTATTCATCGCTTAAATCATTGGTTCGAATGGAATGAGATTTCAGTATCTGAATTTCCACCTTCATTTGATAGACCATTGGTAGCGATATGAACAAGACTCGTTGATTAAATAGGACTCTAATTCCACCATATTTAGTGCACAAAATTAAAGCTGAAAAACAACCTAATATGGCTTTTTTCCCCCTCCAATACAGTTATTTGATATTTAATAGGATCAACATGTTAAATTTAAAAGAGCCAGGGCCTCTAACATATCTTTTCTAATGTTTCTATAATGTCTAAAATTTTTAATTTTATTTTTCATTTTTATTATTAATTTTTATATAAAATAAAAGACATTTTAATATTTTGATGTTCAATAATAGTGAATATTTTTAATTTTTAGTATTTTTAAAAATATAAATCTTTATCATTTTAAAATATTAAGATATTAAAATATCTATTATTTTATATAGAAATCAGTGATGTAGATAAAAATAAGAAATAAAATTAAGAAGTTAGGACATTATAAATGATATTAGAGAAAAATATATTAGAAGCTCAATTTAAAGATTGCCCAACTAAATTAAAAAGGAAAAAAAAAAAAACTCTTATAGTAAGACTCCCCCACCCCCCAGCTTTGAGTGTGATGGTGTGTTTGCTATTGATAGTGTTAGGAGATTGAAGATCCAAATAATTATGTGCTGTAAGTAGTTGTCAACGGGAGTTGCTATTTTTGTCTTGACCGAAACTGAAGTCCTAATCATTGTTGAAACGAGAAACACTTGTGATTGGTACGTGCGTGCAATCTCCAAGTTGAATTGGAAGCTTGGAACTTTTAACAGAAAACAAAAGATATTCTCACAACCTATAACTAGAACCAAGTGAACCCCGCTAATTAAATAACTGTTGAGTTAGTGTTTTAAATTGTTCGATAAAATGATTTATTAATGACTCATATAATCGTGATTTGATTATAATTTTTATTTTATTATTAACTTTTAAATTAACATTTTGACTGATTTAATAATGAGCCCATTTTTCAATACCTTGTTATTTAATCTCTTTAAAAAAGCGTCTCTCAACCCAGGCACCCATCATGCTAGTTTAGTTATCTATTGCTATACAAAAAATGAAATTGCTGTGGATACAAAAAAATATGTTTATTTATGTGAAATTACTTCCAATGGTGATTGTGCAACGTCAGGAAGAGACACGGCCTAATCGCGGGATGAGCTTTACTACCAGGCCTGTCCAATTGCACGCATTGGATGGTTTATTATTATTTTTTTTTTTAACCAGTGCACGCATTGGATGGTTAGAGGTGGAGTTATTTTGAGTTCTGGTGGTCCGATCCTTATCCCTCATTTTGGTAACACGTGGTCTCGTCCTTATCTCTCAAGCCTCCTCCGGTGTCCTCATCTGCACCGTGCAGTGGTACGGCCACTTCCCGCCGGGTTTGTTGCCTGCTCTTTCTCTTTTCTTTTCTCTCGTCTCCATCACTTTCAGATTTTGTTATTGTTGACTCATGCTCTTTCTCGCGGCTTCTGGATCCTGAGTCCCCTCTTTACCGTATTTCCAAATTCCATCTGTTTGTTAACCTCTCTATTTATGGGAATCCAGTCGGATTACCGCTTCGAAAGTTGAAGTTCCTCTCCGCAGCAATTTTGATAGGTGTATGAACTTGCAAATTCAAAGCTGGGCACCTGACATATCGACGAGTTTGATGACATTGAAACCTATTTGACTTTCAGACATTAAACATTGCTTCACTAAATGTTGCAGGACTTAAACATGTTCCGAAATTAACAATACGACAAAGATTATCTCTTGCCTTGAGCTTGTTGTGTTCTACAGTCTCGTTTCGTTTTCACAATTCTTCTGTTCTTGTCATTTATCTCGACTTCATCTTTTGGCTAATGTCTAAAGCACAATACATTTTTCTTGGCCTATCTTCCTCTTCATTTTGTGACTGAATGAAGTTCCTGTTTTTAGCCATTTGTCCACAAGCCCAACCGGCTTGCTTTTCCGTAAATCATTGCCTGAGTTTAGTTCCTATAACAAATTAAAACCTGATTCTGGTTTAGTGTTTGTCTGTACATGTGTTGGGTGTTCAATAGGCGGATCAAACCTATGAGCCATCATCCACTGCCCGACTCCCCAATCACTTTAGCTACTCTCTAGTGGCTGGTGGAGGGTATTTTGTTATTATTCAAATCTGTCTCTGCTGCTAAAATTCTGCTATTTGTACAGCTATTGAACGCAGATGGTATTCTTGTGCTGGCATCGACCTTCTCTCCAAGACCAGAAAGCATGCATCGCTAAGTAATTAAATGATTTCACTTTTTTTTTTAATGGATTTTTAGCCTCTTGGGGCGTTATAACGTTAAACCTTTTCCTCTTGCTCGTCAACCAGGTCTGGCACTTTCAACTACGACATTCAATATAGAGGAGCTACTGCTAAATCTCTGTCTTCCCTTAAAGAAGATGAAGGGTTCTCCAAAGATGGATTTTTACTAAATCATGCTCGAGTATTGGTAGGTTCTGGTCTTGATACTTTTGAAAAGGGCAAGAGTGCTCTGAAGAATTGGAGGTTTGCTTATGCCTTGTGTTACTCCTGTTTACTGATGCATACGTACATTTATAGGGGCAAAATGCTGAAACATGACTGATATCACTTGCAGACATTTTGGATTGGATTGGGCATTTGTTGATCCAAAAACTCCAGTTCAACAAGGAGTGAAGTTTTGTGCTTGTGTAAAGGAGTTCTTCCCATGGCTCATGATGCCTCTTCAGGTCGTATATGTGAATGAAAGCAGAACTAAAAGAAACCGCAATGCCTCCTTTGGTTTTGGAAGTGGCACTCAGGGTGGTCACTTACTGGTGAGTGTTTTCCTCTTGCTGCTTTCCTTTTTCTTGGAGCTGCACGGTTGTTAGTGGAGTCTTTTTTTTTTTTTTTTTTTTAACACGAGAAAAAACAAAACAAAGCAAGAAACAAAATTACGTCACATGCTCAAAATTAAATAGGCTCAACGAATCAGCTAAAATAGGATGTAATCCCAGCAGAAGTTGCGAAGCATGCTTTGCCAACGTATTAGGCTCCATATTCTGTGCTCGATCAACATGAATCAGGCTCACACACCACTCCTTCTTTAGCTGCACCTGAATCTCTTCGATCAGGTCAGCCTCTTCATGCATTTCATTGAGGGGGCTCAAAATAAGAGAAACGGCTTCTATGCAGTCACTCTTCATCAGAATCTTCCCAAATCCTTTATCCCAAGCTAGTTTCAGTCCCATATAGCCGGCCCAAAGCTCACCAGTCAAGCTATCACCCGATTTTAATCTAAGCATAAAAGCTTCCAAACTTCTTTCCTACCGGTCTTAAATATTTGTGATTAAGTTCCTTCAGCTATGGAGATGCAGATGTGACGCGTGACCTTCTAAAAGTACCTCCTCATCCAAAGCTTTTGTTGCATTTATAAAACATCCAATATGTCTTTGGCATATCTTTTTTTGTGAGTCTGGCTCTGTAATTTCCCTGTGCTGCCGGCTACAGCAATGTTCCTTTAACTGTGTTCTTATGTTTTCTGAGACCCAAACACACTTCTGTTTTCATATCTAATCATGTAATTAGTGCCTGGGGCTTTTCTTGAGAACTAGCTGCAACCACCAGTAGCAAACAAAGAAACTCGACGCCCCGGGGGGGGGGGATCTTAACTCTTAAAGGGCCAACATCTCTTACCATAATCTTCACCTCATGCTGGTATTAACATCCCCTACCTTTTCGGATTCTGCTAAGTCTTGCCATTTAATAAGAACTTCAAGATTTCCATTAAAAATCTGTCTCTGAGGCATGACTTCCTTTAACCGGACCATCTTTTTTTTATCTTGAGTGTGAAAAGTGGACTGTTGTTGGCATGGATCCGTGGTATTAAAATACTGGTTGGCCGTGACAAACGTGGTGCTGGAAGTAAATGGGTAGAAGATAAATTCAGTTGGTATGCCTCTCAGCTAACTGTCTCAAGAATTTCATAGGTACCATAATACCTTAAGCTCAGCTTTCTATAGGTGTTTCTGGCCAAAGACTTGAGCTTGTGTTGGTATTAAAATTAAAGCATTCCTTTGTCTCAAGTCTCAACTGTTCTTCACTTTTTAGCTAATGAAGCCCCACCGCTATAATTTGTTGAATCCACGCTCATCTATAATTGTATCTTAAAATTTTAATTTTTTTTCATATTTCACGTAACGTATTATGTATGTGGGATCAAATATGTGTACTTCGTATTGACGACTCTTGGCTAATCAGTTTTATTTGAAACATTAATCTCTGTGGGAACAGGCTGGAGAAGAGAGATTTTCAATTGAGATGGATGAGAAAGGCCAGGTATGGTATGAAGTACTTTCATTCTCAAAGCCTGCCCATATTCTGTCATTTCTTGGATACCCCTATGTTTTGCTGAGGCAAAAACATTTTGCTCATGAATCTACCAAGGTGATGCTGAAACATATCGATTCCTCAAAATCCTGATTGTTGTCTACCATCATTTTCTTATATAGTTAAGTATAGTTCTCTCATGTATTTGTTCTTAAAACGCTGTTGGTATGCTGCTTTGTAAATTGAGATGGCGGATGCGAAGCCTTGTAAATTGAATATAGTATATCATAATTTTTACAAGATGTGAACAATGCGGCTTAGTTCATATACTTTGCGTAATTTACTGTAGTTAACCATGGGCCACCCAATTTTAAGGATATTACTGAATGAATCAGCGTAATTGCCTTCTAGCTGCCGCCATGAATCCCACATTGGTTAGGTTAGGTATCACGGCGTCTAAGCAAGGAGCAGATATAAAAGCCTACGACTGCGTATGGCAGGAAGCAGATAATAAATAATAAAATTAATTGTTAATTGATAACAAGTACCAGTGGTAAATCAATGATATCTCTTATGACCGTTTGGTACAGTTGAATTGAAAGGAGAGAAATGGAAATGGAGGTAGAACTGAGAGTTTTTTGTGTTTGGTATCATAGAAGTGACTTCCCTTCATTCTTTTAGCCCAACTCTCATCTTAATTCATCCTATATATAAGTACAAGGAGCAAATCTAAAAAGGTGTCTGTTTGTTGGGCATTCAATGATTTCCAACTGGAGTTCATGCCCTGTGTTGTGCAGTGATGGTGGTGACTTGCGAAGAACATGAAATCTTTTTTCTTTTAATTTGATGAGTATGTTAGTCATTTCAAAATATAAACATATTTTTTTAGATAATTTTTTATCCCATTTTCATTTATATACAAAACATACTTTTAAAACTCACTTTTATCTTCATTACTACTGTTATTTTCATTTTGATTTTCATCAAAATCATTTCTCCATAACAAACACAGCCTTGGACTTTTACAATTGAAGTCCATCTTTACTTTTGTTGAAGTCTATCTTTACTTTTCCTTTACTGAAACAAATCAACTATTTATTTTCACATATCATGCCAATTTCGTCTCGAGGTTAATTTGATAATAAAACCTGGCGGACCAAAGTCTTCCAAGTCATCAAACAAAGCTCTTCATCAGCACAATCCGAACCTTCTGATTTCTTCTTTTCCTCATCACCCTTTTTATGTAGATATTATTGTAAGTCCTTGAACAGCAAATTACATGCCATGAACTGCTCGCGTTCTTTCCTCGTTTCCACGGACAGAAACCATCCTAGCCGGGTCCAAGGTTCTGACTGTAATATCTGAAGCAAATCATATCGCCCTCTAGAAATGTCGTACAATAAGCTAAACAGTAAAACAGACCTGAAAATAATACAAGCCTACCCTTCTACTTGCTATCTTCCCCGAGAATATAAACTTCATTGCTTACTCCATTCTGATGCAGTTATTTGGAGAATTCCAGGAGGTGATTTCTTCGTTTAGGTGTTGGAGATTGCAGCTATGGATCGAAGATGCCGTTTGCTCCACGTCCAACGAACAAAAACTTTCAACATAAAAATCTCACACGCTAAAGATACATTGAAGAAATGATCGCGAATGAAGCTAAGGTGAACCCAACTCGCCACTAAGCTTAAACCTGTGGATAGGCAAAATAAGTTGCCTTGGAAGCAACAGCAAGTGACAAAGACAATTCACCGAGATCCCCTACGAACACGACAGAGCTCCACACGAATCACAAACTTCGGCTGTTCCATCCGCGTTTCTTTGTTTAATTCTAATCCACCTTGATGGGCGTTTCTGAATCGAATGAGATTTTTCATGACCAAAAAAGAATAAATGGTGATGAACTAGAACTTTACAGTTTACACGGTAAATGAATGTCAATTTCTGGATAGTGTGACGATTCCCACCAGAACTTCAAATGACACTCAGACTTTAATATTGCATAACAGCCAAAACTACAAGCCCTGACTTTAAATAATTTTAGTATAGAAGTGCGATATTTAAAATTCAAATTTTTACGATAGTTGAAGTTTAAGATGACTTTTTGGCAAGAGTTGAAAGAAATCAGTTGTTACCCGGGGAACCGTAGTTGCTTGCGACTGCTAAGAGTCCCACAACGGGAAGATGCAAAGAAGGCGAGGCATCGAGCAAATATAAAACCCAAACACCGTTAATCGTTGAACTCCCAATCGATAACCTCTTGGCCTTCTTGGTTAAAATCAAGTGCAGTATTTGCTTTCATCAGTATAATGTGATGTCTAATTTTTATCAGTGCAATGTCTAATAAGTGGGTCATGCTTCCACATAATATTAAATAAAAATATTTTTGGGGAGGGTCCAGCTTTCTGCGCCATGCGTTGCACTCCCACTGCACGGGCCTAACACGCACCACTAAGCTCAAGTTAAAGATCCACTCTAAAAGTAAACAAGTTATTAAAATTATTAAATATTAAATTAAATAAATGAATTAGGAAAGTAATTGAATTAAATTAAAATTTCTTGGACTTATACCAAGCACAATTGTTAAATTAATTTTTGTTGCCACACACAGCGTCATGGTTTGGGCTGTCGACAATAAACACGGTAGAGAACAAAACGTATTATTCACCTTACGCTGTTATTATGTGAAACTATTACAATGTTTAGTCCAAATACAATTGGGTGCAATTTTTTTTCTTTTTGTTCTTTTATCTTTGTTCTTTCATTTTATTTTTCGCATTACATACTTTCCGTTTGATTTGTCCTTTTAAATGAAAAGAAAACTTGCAAGGTTTTTTTCTGGGGTAAGACAAAGCCTTGACATGATTTTAAATAATACTGTTATTTGCTAAAGGGGTTGACTAACCCTACATATTTCTCTGGCCAAAATAAACCCTGCATATTTCTAGGAATATTTCTTCACATTAACTGAGTTTTTATATTTTGCGATCACTTATTATATTAATATTTATACTTATATTACATTCAAGTTTGGATCAACTGCATTATGCTCAAAGTTGAAATCAACTTTTCATAAAATAGTTTGTCATTTTTCAGCAAAACAAAAAAAAGTGAGATACTTATGAAGCCAATTAAGAACTTAATTTGTGACGTTGGAAAAAATAATAAATTGTTAGAGGACATCAAAAGCATTGAGAACTTTAAAGTTCACCCCCGTGAGAGGTTTAAATTAAAAAAGAATTGATAGTGTATTCCCCCAAAAATAAAAAAGAATTGATAGTAAAACTTCTAAATAAAAAAGCCATAGATAATCAAAATCTAATATCTCATAAAATACCCAGAATACATACAACTGGTTGTGAAAGCAATACAATTAAAATTAGATTGGCTGCTCCTGAACTTTGAACTTAACATCATGAGTAAAAACATATGGAGCAGAAAAATCTGCAGCTTCAAATAAACTTAAACGTTGCTATTAGTTAACAACATCCACTATTGCGATCAGACAACAACTCAAGCAACTTCTGCCCTTTGGGGCTTCAAGAAAAATGAGTGCAATACAGTGGTTAATCATTACAATGATATTCATACTCATTCTCCTATTGATACTCAAAACATGACTAATCATGTGCCATCTATAGATTAATGTTAATGTACACCTTGTGATTTTCTCACCAATTTATCAGGGTTACCAATCCTCTTTCCCCTACCTCTTGGGATGGTTCTGAAAAACTAGGAGTGTCAACTTTGGGAGGCAAGAAGGGAAAATTTTCTTCTTGTCTTCCATACTTTAACCCAATAAAATTGCAGACAATATCTCTCCCATGGTCTTCTCAGGCATGTCACCTTTATCGTCCATCTCCATGCCAGATTCAAGGACCGCAGCATCCAATACAAGCTTTCTTTTTGCAATCTCATATACATTTTCATCAACCGTACCCTTAGTCACCAGCCTGCGATGGAATACATCAGAAGCATTAGTCCATCAACACATGCAACACTATTTTTTCGATAACCAAGCGAATAACAATTGTGATGAATGAGTACCGATAAATAGTTACAGGCTTCGTTTGACCTATCCTATGACAACGATCTTCTGCCTGTCTATCAATCTGTGGATTGAAATCCATGTCATGAATTACAACAGTATCAGCTCCTGTCAAGTTCAAGCCTTGTCCCCCAGCTCTCGTAGAAAGCAAGCAAGCAAATATTGAAGTATCGTTATTGAACGTATCAACTATTGTTTGCCTCTCTGTTACCTGCGTACTGGTAATCAAAGTTGGATTCAGAGGAAGGAAAAGTTGCACCCATCCATCAGTGTTTAAAAATGGTGGGCATGCACACATGCATACCTCACTGAAAGAGATACAAATCAACAAGACACTCCTGTGCCCTTGACTATTTAAAACTCAGCACTGCATAGGCATACATCATAAAGGAAGCATACTTAATTTCAGCATGTACCTTCCATCAAGCCGTCTGTAGGTCAATCCAATGACATCAAGTGTCCACTCCAATATATCAAGCATAGATGTCCACTGACTAAATATTAAAACACGATGACCACCCTTTTGAAGTGAAGGAAGAAGGTCTGCTAAGGCCTACATAAACCAAAGGAGCAACTCAAATTGAGCACGTCTAACCAAAAATTATGCTTGCCTCTCAATAATTGATGATAAAATAACTTGCTTAAGTCAATCAAATCATACCCGACATTTTGCAGAAGACATAACATTTCTATCTGGAAGGACACCCTTTCTATCATTGACACCATAATGACGTAAAAGCTGCCAAGCATTCAAACAGACAATGATTTAAATGCATTGGACTATTCACCAAAATATCTCATCTGATCAATTAGTGCAATAGGAGTTAAAATTTGATATCTTGTCTCCTTGGGATTGAAGAAGATCCATCAGGAAATAATCTATAAGAAGTTTAAAATAAAGGAAATTTGAATTTCATTATTCCTTTTCAGGAGAATACTGGCTAGAATGATCTAGTAATAAGCCAAGTAGCCCATTTCATGAATTTGCAATTATACTTGAATCCCACGCCCTCATGTTTAGGGATTATCCACCTTCAATAACATCTATGCAAGGTTCAAAACAAATATTTGGGGATTCACGTCAATATCGAGAGCTTTGTTGCTCGTAAATGAGTGGATATAATATGGTAGAGCTGCTGAGTGTGCTAAGACCTACACGAGCAAATTAAGAAGAAAAGAATAGATGGGGCAAAAACTGAAGGGTTAAAAGATTATACCATGGGTCCTAGCTGTAAGGGAAAAGAAGTGACATAGGAGTAGGGTTTAGGTGCAGCTAGAATGTAGGCAGTATTTTTGGTCTTTAAATCCTCCAATTCTGCCTGAGAGAAGGACGTTCAGTCTTGTCGAAGTATAGTGAGGATTGGGAGGGTTTTGGCCTCTCAAATGCCAGGTTGGGGGTGGAGGAAGATCATCTTTCTTCATCATTTTCTCTTTCTGCTTTAGCATGTGTTAGTGAATGGCTTATGTTTTGTGGTGTGTATTTTGTGCTGATCCATGTCCTCAGTAAGCATTATTTGTTTCTGGTTTCAGTGTATTGGTGTGAGGGGATGACATTCACTGAAATCATTATTTCCCTTGTAATTCGACTTCATTATTCAGCAATAGTATTATCAGCACCACTTGTAGTGTATTTCTGTTTTTTTTTTTTTTTTGGCTTCTTATAAGCTTAAGTAGAGGGCTCGATCATGATACTTGTACATGAGATTGTCCATACTGTAAATAAACTTCACCAGCAGTAAACATTTTAGCTCTTCAAACAAAATCAATTGCCATATCAATAAAACATAAATGGGTTAGAACTCTTGTGCTCTGGATGTGTTTGCATCAAGAAACAACTTGTTAAATGCCTATGTAACACTGTTTGCATACTTCATTAAGTAACGAACAACAAATTATACAAGCTGAATTTCCCTTATTCAAAGGAATAGGATGTTTCTGGCTGTACATTGTTAAGAGACATCCAGTTTAGGAAAGTTTTGCATGTACATCAACCACATAGTTACAGTATTGCAAGTAAAGTAAAGGAAAAGTGTCTGCGTTGTCACAAGATTTTAGAGGTTGGGGGATTGATCGTATGACAAGAAGTCTAGAATTCTCCCTTCTATTATGATGAATAGGGCTCAGTCCAAACAAAAAAGAAATTACGATGAAAGAGACAAAATAAATGGGTATATTTATGGATAAAGAAGGCTACTTTAGAAGACAATAACAACCAAGTAAATAAAGAAAAATGAAATCACTAAAATATGATTAAAAATGCCCCTCGTATTAAAAATATTCCCCAAGCTATTTTCTCCCACGTATTATGAGGTCTAATTTCAGGAAGCAAGATGTAACTCTCCCTAGTTTCTTTGTGTTGGTTTATTGTTATGTGTTTCTAGAGATGCTGCACGCACATATGGAATAAAATTCTATTTCATTTTAAAATATAATTATTTATCAAATGTAAGCCATAGAATTGTTGGAAAAGAAATGCATTTTCATGGGTGGAAGTCTTACCCGGTGAATAGAGAAGTCATTGTAACTTTTAAGCTCCTCAATAACTCTGTCCAAAGTACATTCAAAGCCAAAAGCACCCACTGGATGTAACTTCGTAGCAAAGCGAATAACATCCTCATCACTATAGATTCGCCTAATCAACAAGGGATGGTTTGCAATCTGAAAGAAGAACAAAAATATGCATGACTACAAAAAGGAAGCAATTTCAATGGAATAAGAATAGCTGGAGTATATCAAAGCTTAAATATGTTTAGCATCCAGAACCTTCCGAAACTGTACAAAATAATTGTTGATTTGTCGACGAGGAAGAACTTCAAGAATATTGTTAGAGTTAGGCCCAGAACATTTTGCCATACGACCTTGTGAAATAGCACGGTACTCCTCGATGGCTTCCTTATAAGCACTTTCCTGCTGCACTTCCATTGCAACATATTCAACCTGCAGTAACACATCTTTGCCTTGTGAAAGGCAAGCTTATAATGAAGTAACAGTGTTAAACAAAATCAGCACTAAAGGTGATCCACACACTCGTTGAATTTTAGGAACAAGTTGCTGCATCACATCAGATTTTAGTCGCCGTAAAATAAATGGCCCCAAGATGGACTTCATGCGACCAACTAAATCTCCATCTTCTGTATTCAGTAACCTTTTCAAGTCAATATCTTCGGTAGCAAAAATATCTGGCATCATAAACTCCAACAATGACCATAATTCCTGCAACACATTCAATGAAAGATCACAAGGCTTTGCAAGAAAAGTTATAGAAAAAAAATATAAAAAAAAAAATTGATGCAGCAAAGCTAGCACATTAATAAGCATGGAGAGATTGTTAATACATGCTTGCCACCTTTTAACTGAGATAAGTTGTTTTCTCTCTTAATCCAAGTTCTAATTATTCTTATATAAGCCACTAGACATTTTGAAAATGCATCTTGGAAGATTTATGTATCCTTAATTGCTACTTTTTTGGAGGTTCATTATGGGACTCCAGTTTCCCCAAACCTTTCACTTGCAAATCGTCATCATATAATGCACTTGTCTTGCCACTGACAATCTTCAGTTTTAATCAACATTCACAAAACAGTTATGGGAAATTACATTTTACTTATTGATGTATCAATCACATGTAAGGAGGATAAACCAGTGAAAAGAGAAGAAAGCAAAGAAATAAAAAGAAAAGAACTTTTGATTTTAAACAAATGGCGAAGCCCAGTAATCATAACATTTAGGCACTTTGAACAACTGGAAGTAAACTTAGGGTTACCACCGAAAGGGAGAAAACAAAGATTTCTGTCCACATGCAGCCTGACCAAATCTACTTTTAACCCAGACGATGAAAAGAACATTCTTTAAACCATTCCTATTCATCACCAGGAAAAGAACTGTGCTACTATCAGTAGTCATATGAACAGCCCCAGAAAGCAATCTACTAAGCACATCAAGGTATTGATCACAAGAATAAAAAGGAAAGAAGATAAAAAATCCCCTTGTCTCTCTCATTCATCTCACTGAAAGAAACCAAGATTTAGGCTCAGAAATGACAATAAAAAAAAAAAAAAAAAGGCTATGGAGAGACAACTAGAAATCCATCTTATCCAATTCTCCTATAAACTCTTCCTATCAAAATCATTATCGGTAAAACTCCAAGTAAAACTATTTAGAGTTTTTCAAAATCCAATTTAAACACGGTGTTGTCACTCTTCTTACCCTTAAGATCATCAACCACCTCATTGCTATCAAAGCCACAACTAGAACTTGCCTACCTGGGATAAAAGCATTCTGATTAGCGAAGACCATACCTAACAAAAATCTACTAACCCTACTAGAAACGATTTGTGCAATCATTTTGTTAATAGAAGACACAAAACTTATTGATATCTGATCCTTCAACGCAGATGATATATCTCTTTTTTTCCCTCAGCACAAGAGTGGTAAAATTTAAATTCCTAATTAACTCCAATCTTATCATTTTGGCAGGACTTTTTAACATGTTTGTGAGAACAATTTATGCAACAAGACTGGAAAATTAACAATAGAAAAACCATGAGGCTGACTTATTTTTTCTAATGTCACAGGCAGCATTCCATACTTCCTCCTCCTCAAAGGTCTCTCCAAGCAAATTGCTTTTTCGTGTGCAATGGGATGCCAAAAAAAATTAACAATCCAATCCTTCAACAAAAGGTCTATCAGGGTAACCATTAGACAAGAGTTTAGAACAAAAGAGATCTATCATCTCTTCTTCCCTAAATATATGAAACAATAATAATAACTAAATTACATGATAAAATATGCATGTGATGTGTGTGAGAAATACACTTAAATACATTAAAAAATACAAATAAGGTCAATCCAAGACTGAGTCATGTAGCGTCAAGCTTAAGTTCTTAACAAAATAAATTTAACCTTCTATACCTAACTTGGCGGGATCTGTTATCTGTAAATAAAATCCAAATTTAACCCTTTATTCCTAACTAGGCAGCATCTATCTAAACTTAAATCCCAACAAATTCCTCCTAAATAGTTGAGATTGTAAATTCACTCAACATCAAACCACAAGAAAACAAGCCAGGCATGGTTTGAGTCTCAAATGTTCAACCCATTCATGATTGAACAGCTTCAACTCATTCCCATACAGGTTCAAAGCTTCAACTTGCCAGAAACCATTCAATTCAGCTGTTGTTCAATCATTGAGCCCTACAACATTGATTCACCAAACTACTGAAAAACGGAAGGAAAAATGGTTGGGGGCATTTAGGAGATGGTTTACCAAGTCATATTCAGCCAAAAAGATGGCCTTAAACAGGTAAGAATTGAGACTTCTAAAGCCAGTGCCCTACTTTCAATTTTGCTTGGTTTCATGTGTTTAGAGTTAGCTCACTCCAAGTTCAACAGTTGCAATTTGTGGTGTGAATTGACGCAATTTAGGGACCTAACTCACAAATGCTTGATACACCCCTAAAAAAATGGAAGACTGACATCCACGGAAACAAAATATGCAACATGTAAACTAATAACTTATCCCACAAGAGTATACATACGAATGAGCAATGACATCAATACTAGATGAAAATTTATAAGGAACGAATCATGTACCCAATGGAACTCTGGTAATGACCAAAATTCTCTTAATTGTAGAAGTTCTATTGCACTGTGATATTGCCAACCAAAAATGGTGCTTTTCTAAGGGAACAAATAAGTCCACTAATGTATGCAAAATGTTGTTTAAGAAGAAGGAAACTTGTATGTTGAATGAGCCACAACATTACAATGAATGACATTCATTCCAACGATAGGCATACATGTAGATCATTTTGAAGGGGTGTCCCTGTCAGCATCAAACGCTGGTTTGCATTGCGTGCAACAGACATTAGATTCTTCCACCTATAACTATTTTTATCCTTCAAAGCATGTGCCTCATCCATCAAAACACAGCTCCACTTCCAACGCTTCAGAATTCTGCGATCATCTTTCTGCTGTGCACTAGAGATAATATAAATTAAAAAATTTAACTCACATTCAAAAAGAACATAGAAGTGGAAGTGTTATGCAAAGAAATGAACCTGTGCCGTTCAAAAAGTGAATAACACACAAGGAGAACGTTAAATGGAGGAGGTAATCCCGCCTTAGACAAATAGCTTAACTCCTTGAAGTATGTTGCTCGTCCAGAGCCGTGGTATTGTAGAACAGGAAAGGATGGACACCACCTTTGCAGCTCCCTTTCCCAATTTTCCAAAACAGAAGCAGGACACACTATAAGATGCGGGCCAGGATCATTGTGCAGGTGTTTCAGTAAGGTTAGATATGTGATCGCCTGTTAGACAGAAACATCTCTTAATCTAATGAGGCAAGAATAAAATTTAATTTAAAATTATGCCACACAAGCAATCCAGAGGTAGTGCAAAAAACCTGAATCGTTTTCCCAAGACCCATTTCATCTGCCAATATCGCTGTATGGCACATGAAAACAAATGTCAATTTTGGCATTATACCAATCTCGAGTGTGTAAATTTATACCAAAATAAACCAGAAAGATCTGAAAAGTCTAAAAAACTGAAACAAATAAACGTAGGTCGCCAATGCATAATCTTGTTTCAATAAGCATGAACTCAACCTATAAAAGGTCAAGTACATAGAAGCAAGCCATTCTACAACATAATCCAGACAACCACATAATTCACACAAAATAGAGACGCTCGTAAAGAAATGCCTATACAATTGGTAAAATTTTTTCATATTACAGCGGATACATACCCTTGTGCATCTGAAATAAAGCCTTAAGCAACTAGATAACTAAGAAGGATCCATCCACTTGGTCAAATGTCTTCGATTTGGTTCAGCACTGGATAATATGATTAACATCAAGGGAGAGGATTCCCCCTCCAAACAGCACTAGACCTTACCTAGAGTAGGCATATTGAGCAGTTCCAGTGACAACTGTGGTGTAAGAGATAAACACTTGGGGAACAAAGTACACTGAAACATGAAATCCTAATGTCTACTTTAAGAATATTGCAGCGTGATAGCGCACTATATCAATCAACGCCAAATAATTCAACTTCAAGAGAGCGTGGAAAACTTGATGCCAAGACATGCCACCAACGGTAGACTTCCCAGTAGTCATATTAAGGAAAGATACGTACCTCCTCCAATACCCTTCCGATACAACAAAAGCAGAAAGTTGACACCAACCAACTGATACGGCTTGAGGATGGGCTGAAAATCAGAATCCTCAGACCCGCATGCCACATCAATATCATCCTAACAAACAGTTCATGAAATCCAATTTAGTTCAATCAAGCCGAAAGGCCCAGCAAACAAAACAATAAGCTACGTACATTACGTCTATTAACTCAAGCTGACAACAACTAGTGTTCGGCATGCTTGAATTAAAGCTCGAACTCAAATCAAAAATACAAAGAAACCTGAGGCACCTGATTTACAATCCTCACTGAAGAAGATTCTGACTCAGAATACCGATCGCAAGCAGTCCCCGATGACCCATATAGCTCTCTTTTCAATTCTGCAGATATTTTTGAACACTTGTACAAAGCCCTTCCCACTACATCGTTTTCATCCGCTTCGTCCTCTTCTACTTCGTCCTCATCCGTTGACTTAATTTCATACACTTCCGGAGCATCCCTATCGCTCTCCTCGTCATCGACAACGAACCGACGGCCACGATTTACTACTGCCCCAGCCTTGCCTTCCTCAAGTTCCACATCCTCATCCTCCAAATTGTCTGCCACTAGGACGCAATCATCGCTACTTTGATCAGAATTCTCTTGCTTAGCAGACCTATAAGCAAAGGACTCGATCGGCGGCGGAGCAGAAGTCTGTGTTTTCTTCAGAACTCGAGAAGGCTTGAAGGAATGGTTCTCCCATTCGTCGTCGGAGATTTCGTAGAAATCGCGCTTCATTGTCAAGACTTGGATATGAATAAGAAATGTGTGCCCTAGAAGGGAGAGCTCAGAAGTCCGAATGTTGAAGAAGAGAGGTTGGAGCGCAGGAGCCAGGAAGTCCCCATTTGTTCGGGGAACGTTTCGAAGTCGGGAGGAGAAATAGAAATTAGAATTGGAGGGGAAAAGGCGGTCGACGAAAGCGACCAGCGCGGGCATCGCAAGCATACACGTTGTCAGTCTTAACTCTCGAGTCTAAATGTGGCGTCACGCGAAAAGTTCTTAGATGTACCCATCCCTTCTAATCATGTTATTTTTATCTAATAAAATTATATCAATTTAATTCAATATAATTTTGTATATTATTATTATTATTATTATTATTATTATTATTATAAATGATATATTTTTATTAAATAAAAAATGAATGACATAGCACATATATAAGTCCATACAAAATTTTATAATGTCACTCATCTGCTCAACATTATTTAATGTTTCATTTTTTTAGGTGTTTTAATTAATTTTTTTATTTAGACTCTGATTATAATTTTCCTCTTAAAACTTTAGAATCAGAATTAAGACATTTAAAAAAGTAGTATATAATGATAGCTTTTCATTGAGGTAATATTACGGGAGAATTTTATCCATATTATGAGCACTACGGTGAATTTAATCTAGTTTGTTAAAAAATAACAATAAAATACACTAAACATCCTTATGGGAGAATAATAATTGAAGACCCCATTAGAAAATTAATGTAGAATAAAGAAATTTGAGTTGTGAATTTTTTATATTTTAGTTGTAAATTCTTAATGTTTTAGTTATAAGGTTCTTGATATTTTTTAAGGGTCCTTATTTTTTATTCTTTCTATTTTTTAATTACAAAAATTTCTCTTTATTTTAAAAATTCATATAAATTTCCCTTAAAATTAAAATACTTTTTTCATTGAAAAATATGAGGTGTTTTTTTAAAAGGTTAAATGCTTAAAAATATAATATATTTTTAGTATTTTAAGATATAATTATTACTTTTTTACCAAACATGCCTCTAATAAATAAATAAATTTATATTTATTTTAAAATAAAATACCTTATTAAATAAAGGTATATATAAAAAAATAATGTTAATTTGAAGATAAGTAATTATTTTATTAAAAAATAAAATTTAATTAAAAATATCTTTAATTTTTGAGTGAAAGGAGTGTTTGTTGCATAAATCTCTCTTGTGTATTTGAGATTCTATCTGTGTTTATCCAACCGTTAATTTACTGTTAAGTTTTGCTTTTTTAACTTCTAATTTGACCTGAAACCCATCTTTAACATAAGAATTATCTAAAAATTTATATTTGTCAAAAAAATTTATATACTAAAAAAGATAATAAATACATTTTGAAACCTTTATTACATTATAAAAATTGTTAATTTTATCATATTATGAAATTTAACTTTTATCAAATTTATTGAAAATTATTTATTTATATTTTTTAAAATTGCTAAAATTATATTCTAAATATATATTTTTGTTCATCACATGACATGAAATAATATAAGTTTGAGAGATTACATAAATAATTTAAATTTAAAATTTAAAATTTATGAACATGTATTTTACAATGAAATTATGTAGTTGTCAAAATAATATAATTTACAATTTATTAGAGTGAAGGGTAAATTAATAAATAAAATTTGTTTTAATATAAATTTAAATTTCAAAATAAATTTTTATAATCTTTTTATAATATTCATAATTCATAATGAAGTTAATAGATTAGACTAAATTGTACGTTTTGAAAATATAGAATAAGTCTATGTAATTAATACAAATAGATGGGTAATGAAAATATTTTAATCTAAAAAAACCATAGAAATTTTTTCTTATTGCAAATCTTAGGACACCCATAAGTTGATAGAATGAAATCGTGCATCGCCCGGGTGGAGAAACCAAGTTCTATGTTATTCTCCTGTTTTATATTCCTTCAAGAAAAATTCCTATATAAATCAAGTATATTATGTCATTTATAATCTATCCAATCAAAATATAATATGCAAATAATATTAAATATATGTGATTTTGATATTGATAATAGAAAATAGAAAAAATACAAGAAACTAAATATGAATTTTGTTAGAAAAATAAAATTAATTAAATTAATATCATATAAGATTTTATTTAAATGACTTAAGGTATTTTAATTGAACGAACCACAAATAACGTGGTGCATTCAGTTTACTTAAGAATTTCTCATTCCTTCAATTCTTAATATAATACAAATTTAACTACTTCATGATGTTAAGAAATGGTAATTATATTTTTTAAATTGTTAAAAGATAGGTAATTTTTAAATTTTATATTTCTTTACAATTAATAATCGTGATAGATTATTATCTATAAATTTAAACACAAATAAACAAGGAATAAAATTTTAAAAAATTAATAACTCTTTATGCTATATTAAAAATTAAAATGGGGTAGTGAAACTTTCAGTCTTGCAAGTTTGCTTCAAATATCAATTTGGTCAAATTTAATATTTATCAATTTGGTCCCATATATTTTTAAATATTATCATGTACTCCTTTAAATTCAAAAAAAATACTTTTGAATTAATCCAATGTGTAGAGCATTTCGATGACTTGACAGGCATATGTAGTTAAATACAAATAAATTAGACCTCATGTTAGTTTAATTCTTTATTAATCTAGTATTTTACACTGTGTTTTGTTCTTTTATTTTTTTTTAATTTTCAAGTCTATTTTTTTCCTAAATAATTACACTACTTGCCATTAATTTATATGGCTATCATCAATATTCTATTATTTATGTCAACAGATTTTAATAATATTACCTCGCTTATTTATATAATAAGGACTAAATCAATAATTGAGGTAAAATTAAGGAACCAAATCAATAATAATTAAACTTGAGGGACTAAATTGATAATTGATACAAATTTAAGGAATTAAAAATTTTATTATCCCAATTAAAATCTATCATGTATTAAAAATAGAAGGAGTAGAAGCATTGGTAGAAACAAAAGTCGTGTTGTGCATAAGTGAAAAGTAAATCAAATAAAAACCTAGTAGACAGACAAAATTCTAGTGTTGTCTCCTCCCTCCCCTCTCTCTAAAAATGCCGAACGTAGGTGAAAAAAAAATTTTTTGTTAGGAATGACATGTTGTCGGGCAATGACCTCTGCTATCATTTGTAAACCAAATGACAAATTTCATCTATTGATGAAGTCTTTAAACTTTTGGAACAGGAAATTGACTACATTTGATTATAGAAAGGGGTGAACTTTGAATCAATGCTTCAATTTTGGAGGAATAAATCCATACTTATATTCATACAAAAGATGCAATAAATTATTTAACATCCTGTGGTGGAGAAACTGATCATGCTCCGTTTATGTTTCAGAGCACATAATTATAGATCATGACAAGGGAAAAAAATCATGTGTCGGTATTTGAACTTGACTGAACTCATATGAACTGGGCCTAATTTTTTAAGCCTTTTCAGGCTAGCATGATTATAAAAAATATTTTGTGTGTGTGAACCCTATAATTTTTTGATCTTGTTTGAGTCAATTTAAATTGTCATGAAATGATATATTCTTAACATCATGCGAGTATAAATTTTATGAAATTCAAATATCATTTATTAACGTGCTCGGTTCTTTCTTGCAAGGTATGGTGTTGGGTTCACTCTCATTTCAATATACTGATAATCTCCAGATGTGTCTGACACTCTTTATAGTTAATAAAGTTACTCTATTGATCTAATATTGCTATAGATTAGTTGGCTCGATAGAGACATGATGCCTATTCATCCCCCGTGATAGCATAATGAAATAAAAGGCCATATGATATTGAGTTTTTGACTCAATCACAAAATATATACTATATTAAGTTTTTAACTATTTATTACTACTAACCAGCTAAAATAGCTAAGTGGTTTTTGAGTTTAAAAAAGAAAATTATCAAGATGAAATCCAATCAAATCAATATAGCTATTTTTTATATAAATGAATCACTAGTCAATGCTAGTATTACTAATGCTTGTAGTTTGTTATGAAATTAAAATTCAATATTCAAACCTGATTTATAAAGTGAAATTAAACTCTATGAGTTTTTCTAGACCAACTGCAATTAGGGAGGAAAAAAAACTAACATTGGTGATGCCTAGACAGTGGAATATCCTACTTGTCTGCACTTAATGGTGCACATATTTGCTCCCACAATAGTATAACATGAAAACATGCATGGCCTTTTTTTATAGTTAAAATCAAAAGAGAAAAATAATGCAAGCAATGTCCAAGTAATGAAATGTCTCCCACTCCTGCTCATCAAAACTTGCACACAAGTTTTTCATTGAGGAAAATACTAAACCCAACTAATAGTAAGTCTTATGTGATGTTTGGTAGCTTGAAATTAGGAAAAAAAGAAATGGAATTGGAAATGGAACTTAGTGACATGTGCATTTGATATGCAATAAACATACATAATTATTTGGGATCTTAAATAAAAAAATCTAGCAAAATCCAAGCTACGATACCCCATGATGAAATCTAATTCTATGCTTCCCTTTCTCCAACTTACCTCTACTGTTTTCCATGATCCACCTTCTTCTTCCTCCACAAACCACCTTCTTCTTCTCAATGTAGTGAATATTATATGTACTGCTCTACTTCTTCACATTCTCCCTTCTTCATTGACATTGGACAGTTTCTTCCTATCTCTCTATTGTCAATAATGGCCTCCCCATTCTTCTAGATCTATCAACAAACACCACTTATTGAGGAGGATGACCATGACTCATCATGAATTGTTGAGGAGTAGATGAAAGGGGCGTATGGTCATGCTCATGGCTTATCACCTTTGTTTGTCGTGTCCTTGCTCTTTTTTTCTTTTGTTGCCCATCAAGTTCTTTAGTAGCCATTAATGATAGGCTAGGGGGCAAGGAGAGAGAGGAAGATGAGATTTTTTTTAAAAGAGTGTTTTAGTCTTTTCATATTTTTAAAGCACATACTCTCTCCTATCTATATTATATGATATCTCTTAGAAGTTTTTTTTTGTTCTTAATATAAGTTATGTGAAAAGTTATCTATTATTATTTTTCCAATTTTACCTTTATTGTAAATTTAATTTTATGGCTCGTTATATAGGACCCGTTTAGTATGATGGAATTTGGAAGGTGGAAGTGGAATTAAAAATTTTTTTATGTTTGGTTGGTTAAAATGAAGTTAAATTTGGCTTCCACATGGAAACTATTTCCATCAAAATTGATGGCATTGAGTACTATAAAAAAAAGTCAGAATTGTAATTCCACATATCTTCTTTCATTTTTTTTACCCTTCCTCTCTTATCCCCTTACACCTTTTTGTGAGTAAATGATGGCAACCTCCTTAGCATCAACAGTGAGGATCAACCTTTGATGTTCATTCTCTAACTTCTACTACTCAGCTATCATCGCTCATGCTATCCCCTTCATCAACATCGACGACCTCCTTCCTCACTAATTTTACTTCTACCACCTCTTAATATCTTGTCTTCTTCCCTCCTTTTAATTATCAATTTACAGAGAGAAGTTATGCAGGACGTCACGGGTTTTGTTCTTTACTAATTCACTTTGTTGATTCTTCCTTTTGGAACCATCTAGTCAATGAAATGAAACTGATTAGATCGTCATAAATGGCAAGGAAATGAAACCCAAGATCCTCGTGAAGCCTATAGCCTGATAGGTCCAAAGCTTGTAAGTTTGTCAAGCCAATTAAATTCAACTCTTCATGAAGGATATTTTACAAGAGATTGAGATACACAAGCTTCTGGTATTGCCTCAAGTCCACTGGAATCTCGCTGAAGAGTGTATTTTGGGATAGGTCAAGGTACGTGATCTGAGTAAACTAAGAGAAGTTCTGGAATATCTCATCAATTATTTTGTTACCGGAAAGGTTAACTCCAACCACCCTTTTCATTGTTATGCTGTTGTTGCACGAGATTCTTGACCATTCACAAGGATTCAAACTGCTTACTAATTCACTTTGTTGGTTCTTCTTGTATATAGCATCTGCTCGTACGTGGAATCTGCTTGTATGATTTTTGCTTCGATCTTGGTGATTCGAGTTGGGGCAATTTTTTTTGGATAAATAGCATTTTAGTCTTTTCATGTTTTTAATATCAATATTCAATAAAAATAATCTTCCAATTCTATAAACCTACCAAACATATTTTTAAACCTGTATCCATTTTCACAGCCATATCCAACTCCACCTTCATATCAATTTTCATTTCTATCAAAATCATTTCTATTATACCAAACAAGGCAATAATATATATATCTCTCTTTCTATTTATAGTTAGGGCAAAGTTAGAATTTTTTTTATTTTAAGACATATTCAATGAGTTAATCGTCACTCATTGATTCCAATAAAATAAATAAAAGTATCTTATAATAAAGACCTAAGAGAGCATAAGATAAAATCATATCAATATTCTATCTACATGTAAAACATATTTTTATAATCCAATTATATGTCAATTTTGATTCTATTTTCAATGTCAGTTTATTTAAAAATCCTTTGATCATAGCAAGTAGCGTGGCCTTAGTTATTTGAGCATCTATGGCCATTATGATGTGACTTGTTATGAATTTTACATCATGCTTTTTAATTAAAATTCATAATTTTTCATCACAATGTTAAATACATAACTTCTTAAAATATTGGTTAAAATATTTAAAATTTCTTTAAATTTTGAAGTCATTACATTGATAACTTTTAAGTTTTTTAATCATGGACTCTTCTATTGTTATTTCTTAGTTATCTTACTAACAAGAGTTGCCAACTCATATCAAGAAAGGACTCCCCTATCATTATTTCTTAATTATCTTACTAACAAGAGTTGCAAACTCATATCAAGAAAAGACATGAGGCAAGTTTCACATGTCCTTTACACATAAGCTGCCACGTGTTTTTTCTTGATATGACACGACAACTCTCTCAAAGTTGTAGAGTTGATTTTAAACTTTTTAAAATAAGAGGATCCGGTACAACTTTCTCAAAATTTAGGAAAATTTTATATTTCATCCAAAAACATTGGGTGTACAATTTTTATAACATCTTAGAAAATTTAATCCTAATTGGTTGAGTAAATGAAGTTAATTAAGTAAATTGATGTGATATGTGGTTACAGAAAATTAATGAATGTTATGGGTTGAGATTTCAGCTCTAGGATTGACTATAGAGTGAAGTAGGGCTACTTCAACGTCAAAGGGCGAGAAAAACAAAGGCGAATAGCATCGTGCCACATGCCACGGCACGTTCAAAACATCTTGAGAAATTTAACCATTAGTTGAGTAAATGAGGTTAATTATGTAATTAATGTGGCGTGTGATGATAGAGAATTAACATATGTTTTGGGTTGTGATTTCAACCCCATAATTGAGTCTAGATTAAAGTCAGGCCACTCAAATTTCAAAAAGTGAGGAAAATAAAAGAGAATGGTTTTATATTACATACCATGACGCATAAGCCACCAGAATGCAATTGTTCTTTCTTTGTATTACATGCCACGACACATAGTGCACGATCACAAATATGCAAAAATAAAAGTTGTATTAGAGTTCAAAAAATAGAGAAAAATAAAATGAAGAAAATGTGATGAGCTCTATCAAGGCAAGCATTGGGTCACCTTTTGAGAGGCATTTAAAGCTTCTAAGTACTAAAGTTAAGTTTCCTAAGTTACTTTCTTCTTCCATTTTTCTTGAATATGGACATTAAAGTTTGTTATAAAAGATGATTTTTAATCCACAAAGGTTATAGGTTCTAAACTATTGACTTAAATAGAGTTAATGAAAATTATTTAAATTATTGAAGCCTAACATTTATGGCTTTATGTGTTTTTGATAGTTGGTAGTCATAAATATATGAAAATCTATCATAAATAGGTAGCTAGAGCAATGTGGTGCCATAAATGGCTAGTTAAGAGTTCAATGAAGCTAATGTAAGTTAGATGAAGCTCATGAACCCTATTGATACCTTTGTACGTGAGGAGATTGAATTTTTAGAGTGTTGAAGTGTTGAATTAGATGTTGAAAAATTATTCAAAAAGGAATATTGATAATTAATATTGTAATTAAATGTAGAGTGATTATATTTGGCACTATTAAAACTTCGTGAAAATTTTAAAAGTAAGTAATTTAAAGATAAACCTTTGATCTTTAAAAATTTGATGTAAGCGAAGGAAAATATTTATTGCATATTTATATGTTAATTGATTTATTGATTTAAATGTTATAATTAAAGTGTGTGAAATTATTTAAAATGCAAGTATGATATAAAATATTTAAAAATTAAATATTATATTTTTATGGAGTTTCATGACTTAATTCTTATGAAGTTTAATGAAATAATAATTGTGAAATTCAATACAAATTCTTAGAATTTAATATTTAGTATTTAAGTTAAATTAATTGATTGTTTTGCTCCCTGCATGTCATTATCCCTTCTTTGATTACCATGCTAGCTTCATTCAAATTTAAATAATGACACTTTTTTATGCAGCTCGAGGCATTATAAAAGAATTCTCTAAAAAATACTTTTAGCTAAGCAACTTGGTGCACCTTTATCACCACGAAATAATAATAACAATAACAATAACAATAATAATAATAATAATAATAGTGCAGTAGGAAGAAGACGCAGCAAACCTCGCGTCTCATTCATTTCACCAGCTGCAGAGCTGGTCCGAATTTCGGTCGGAGAGCCTTCTCTCCTCTACTTGACGGAACGGAATCTCCTTCATTCGCTGTTCTGTGCTTTGCTCATCCACTAATTCAGGCTGCACATCAACACAACCACCATCTTCGGTTCGTTTACTGGCTGTTTTCGTTTCCGAGATCCACGCTGCTGACCGTGATAGTTCTGACACCGTCACTCTTCAGGTTCTTTTCTTTCTCTACTTAAGCTGTTTTTGTTTTTACCTTTTCGAACTTTAGCTAAAGATTTAATGCTTCTCAGTGTTCTTTCATTTCTTTCTTCCAAATTTTTTGCGTAATTCTTTTCATTCCAAATCACGATGGATGCTACTGTCTCTCCACGAGCATAATTAATCCGATCTCAATGCCTGTTCAATTATATGGATTTCTTGACGTGAATCTGGTGATCGAGGTTTGACAGAGTCCAGAATTCCTAACTAGGAGTTAATTCCTCCGTGTAGAAGTTTGAAAATTGTGTTGCTGTGTTTGATTTGTTTACTGCTTGCCTTTTCTTTTTTCCTCATACATGTATATATGAGAACAAGGTAATCTGTGTAAATTGAATAATTTCTCAATCATAATGGTCATCGTCTTTTTCCCCCCTTAAATAATTTCTTAGCTGCCTGTTTCGCGCCTTGCTCTCTTTCATCGACTGGATTTGATAGTATCTTGAATTAATGACTAGGTTAAATGGCGAGGATCAAGCCTCAAGCTCTACTGCAGCAAAGCAAGAGGAAAAAGGGGCCTTCTCGGATAAGTGCTACAACTATCATATTTTACAGCTTGATTCTTGTCTTGGTTGTGTTTTTCCTGTTCAGTGCATACAGACATTGGTCCCACAGGTTAGTAAATGATTTGCTGCTTTAATGATGAGAGCCAATTTACAATGTGTGCAGTGATGTGCGATATACTTTTATCACTATTAAGAGATATAATAAAGAATGTGATAAAAATTTAGACCCGGTGACTTTGAGCTGTTGCTTGTTTTAGAAATGACTGGGATTTTTCTGCATGAATGTGAACATTGTTTGGGATGCTAGCAGATACAGAAATGCCCACAATTGCATTCCTATTAACTCATTTGTACAGGATTTATTTACTGCTTTGCTTATTGTACACCCTGGGCAGATGAAAATTTGTTCCTTTAAAACACATTTATATATTTTTCATCAAAAGAAAGAATTTGTAAGTTGATGGTGATTCTTGAGAAGGTCAGAGTAATTGTAACAGAGATTGGTAAGTTGTAGTGTGGGGAGTTATTATAATGTATGATGACCAATGAAGCATTGGTAGAAGACACAAGAATGCAGACATGCTGAAATGCCCGCAGAGACCTTTCTCTGGTGGTTCCATCCTCAAATGTTGTGTTAGGAACCAAAAATCTCTCTCTTGAAAAGATGCAATAATTACAAAGTGAAAAATAAACTTGAATTAAAGAGTGATTTTTTGACCAGGACAAAATGTGAAAGATATTAGCCTTCACACAAAAGTGAGTACGTTAGGATCCTATGTGAAGTAAAAAGTTAAATAAAATCATAATTTTAATCTTTAAGATTTGTTTATAATCCACCATAAATCTAAATCTTGTTTATAAATTTAGTTTAGAACATTTTGGCACATGTTTAATACCAAAATTCTTGTTTTTAGCTTCCCGTTCAGGAGTTCTTTAAAGAAAAAGGAGGTTGCTTTATTATAAGGATTGTGCACTATTGTTCCTTGAAACATTTGCTTAAAAGAGGGTTATTCAAATGGCTAAAGTATTCATGTAGAGCCAAAGCATCATGGAGGAAATCTTCTCTTTTCATTGAGATAGGATTTCCAGTATCTTTCTTTTCTTTGGTTCTCATTTTACCTTTCTTTTTTATTTTAACCAGTAACAAATTAATAGCATTTTTTCCTGACACGCATGTAAGTTAGTTGAGACATTTCATCACTCTATCATGGCAACTTATGTGTCTAACATGACTTTGACACCTTGACATGCCTGAGAAGTGTGTCTATTTTCTTTTATACATTCAGAACTTTAGAAGAGCATCTCCTATTTCCTAATAATTTAGTTGCTCAGGTCAAGATTTTCATCAGAGAATCACATTACAAACTCCCAGGTATGATGTGAAGTTCTGTTTGCTTGGTTTCATGATTCTTTGGTCCTCTGGTACCTGCTTGCTATATATTATCCTTCATATTTTTCTTTTGGCCAGCATGTATGCTCTGTTTTGCTCATTTTTCTTGTTCCTTTTGCGTCAATTTTGTTCTTTAACTCGCCAAACTTCATCAATGTTTTTCACCTCCCCCCACTTCATCAAAAACCTAAAGGCAAATTTGATGTGTATGGTGGTCAAAATCTACTTTCCATCCCTTAACTTTGAACCAGCCTTCATTTTTGTCCGTCAAGATTTATTGGTTCCAATTTCATCCCTTAACTCTTGAAAATTGATTAGTATTTGCCTCTCCCCACTCTCTGATAGAAAACCATAATGACTTATCTGAAATGGCATTCTATGTGTCAAAGAACTGACCTTGGATAACTCATGCCTGGCCTGGTAAACGTCTTAAAATATGGCCAAGTTCAACCCACATGATCTTTACATTTCCCTTAAATTATTGTTTGGGTTTGTAGAGAGTTTAGGGTACTGGAGCTGTTGCATTTAAATTCTCCTAGATTGCTCAAAAGTGGTCATTAACCTTCAATGTTGTTAAATTAGAGGTGGTAGTATGAGGCCAAGATTTTGCTATTACAGTGAAGTGGCCAAGATAGAAGAATCTTAATCTGAGCATTTCTTTACCAATTCATCACAATAGTAGATCATTAGCCTCTTTGAGTCACTGCTCATTGGATTGAGAGTCCATTTTTAAGAAGTCTAGGAGAGTTTCAAATGTAGCATCTCTAGCAACCAAACTCCTATGAGTTTCAAATCCAGGTTGATTTTGGCACCTGAGGTTTGTCATGTATGAATTACAAATTACCTAGGGTCAGTTTTTTCAACATGTATAATATCATGTCAGATTCTCTATTAAGTGTATTTTACAGAATGAGTTGAGAGGAAAATATTGTGTTTTGCTGACGTTGTTGTAGTTGCTAGAAGGTCAATGGGTCTTGCATTTTGAATATAACTTTTTCTGTAGGCTCTTGACTTTTATATAGATCTGTTGATATTTTCATTTCCTTTCATTTTCTTTTTTTTTTTTCCCCTTTAGGCTGAAAATTCTTTTGGAGACTCGAAAAAGTCTGAACTGCCTGGATATGCTGTATGTTTCATTCACCTGGCCGTATCACTTCTTTTCTTTAGCAAAATTTTGGATCATGTTTACTGATGTTTAAAATTATTGATTTTTTGTTTTGTTTCCTGAAATAGGTTTTAAATACGTCTAAAGGCTCCATTGTAATTGAACTTTACAAGGAAAGTGCTCCTGAAGTTGTTGATGAATTTATTGACTTATGGTGAGTGCTGGGCTCATCCCTATGCGGCTATGCTTTTTAGAATATTTTTAGGGAGTTTTTTCCATCTCCTTTTTTGTTTCTTGATTACTTCTTTCTTTGTCATCTTTTGAGGTTGGGGTTGGAAAAGAAATTTTTAGGTTCAAATTTAATCTGAAGCGATGGAAAAGAAGGAAAAATTAAAATTTGATGTTCTTTAACTGATTAGAATATTTCAAGTTGCACTGTGCCACTTTATTTGTCTACTTTGTGATAACATATAATTGAACTAATGACTAGGCAAGCCCTTAGCATGATGATGTTGTGCAATCCATATTGTTGACCACGCTTAGTAGGATGAGGCTTGTTGTTGTTGTTGACTAGGCAAACCCTTGTGCTTTTATGTGATTTATGATTTTTAATATCGCAATCAATTTTACTGTATTTCTGGATTATTTTTAGCTTAGAAATTTAAGAAAAAATTAATCATTTAATTCTTATAGTTTTAATTTAATTGCAATTCAGTCCCTAAACTTTGACTTCTTGTAACTTATTCCTTATTGTTGTAACTCGATCCCTGAAGTTTTCCTTTTGTAATTTAGTTTTTATAGTTTCAATCATTTAAATATTGATCCCTATATTTTAAAAAATAAAATTATAAAGATTAAAAATATTTTGAGCCTTTAATATTTATAAAGATTAAAAGGTTTTAATAATTTAAAATATTAGTAATAAATTTTAACATAATTTTAATCTTTATAATTTTATTACTAATATTATAAATATTAAAAGTTCAAAATATTATAATTTTGATCTTTCAATATTATAAATATTAAAGGTTCAAAATATTTTTAATCTTTATAATTTTATTTTTTAAAACATAGGGACCAATATTTAAATAGTTAAAACTATAGGGATTAAATTACAAGAGGCCAAGTTCATACATTGAGTTATAACCGAATTAAAACTATAAGGATTGAGTTACAACGAGTCAAAATTCAGGAATTGAGTTGCAATTAGGCTAAAACTATAAAGACCAAATGATTAATTTTCCTGAAATTTAATTTTGATTCCTGAAATTGGGATCAATTTTCATTTGGATTCTTATAAACTTTTCATTTCCGAATCTTGATTAAAGGATCACCGTTGCAAGGATGGAAGGTCCTCAAAATGTCATTATTTTCTCTCCTCTATAGTTTGTCCTAATATATTTGAGTGGGCCTAATTGGAAAAGCAAGGGAAATAATGCAAGAATTCAATGAGATGGTTCAATATAGATTTTAAGCATTAAAGGTGATTTATACCTTCCATATTTGCTTGGTAAAGTATTTGGCATTACAATTGCAAGACTCACTATATGCGTATCCATTGTTCAGTGATTCTGTTTAAACAACAAATGGAATGAAATAAATCTATAAATTAGAACATAGTAAATGTGGGATTATTAAGGATTAATGGCTCGTTTGGTATGAGAGGAGAGTTTTTGGTGGAAGTGAAAATGGATATGGAAGTGGAGTTAAAAGTATGCTTAGTATGTAAGTGGAAGTGAGATAAAATTTTTTATTTAACATTTATATTTATATTTTGAAAAGACTAAAATACTCATAATTTTTTTTTTTAAAAAATCAAAACCCCATAGTCATCACTATCTATCAAATCTTAGGCCATCGCCCACCATTGTATGACCATTACTATCACCGGAAATTGCTCAAAAATCAAGCAAACTGAGATGGGAGAACAAAACCAACAATTTGATCACGGTAAAACCCCAGGAATAAAAACAAACACAGGAAGGCAAAGAAATCAGTCAATTTGATCTCTTCTTCCTTGTTGTTCCTGATACTCCTCCTTTGTCTTTGATTTAGAGCCTTCAATTAGCTTGGTCCCATGATCCCCTCACCACCCTCAAGCTCGTCTTCAACGTCCAGGGTAAGGAACTGGAAAGTCTGACAAAGAAGGGTTCTATGCTGCTGCCATTTGGCTTAACATACATCATCCCAAAACCCTCATGTCATGCTATCATCGCCAGTGGGGAATCGCCGCCACTGCCACTGGTGGAGGAGTGTCGTTGCTTGTGGGGGTTCAGTAGTGAGCAGTAAAGCATGGAAGGGAGAAGGAGAAGGAAAAGTTAGGGGCAAAGGGGTCCAATGGAGACATGAAATTGGGTTCCATGGGGTAAGAGAAGGAACCCTCTTCCACCATTTTTGATGGAACCGAGTTCCATGGAGAATTGGCTTCCATTGTACCAAACACACAAAATTATCACTTCCACTTCCACTTCTCTCCCTCCAATTCCATGCTACCAAATGGGCCATAAGTTGACTGTCATCAGAAAGGCTGAACTGTATTCTGTGATTTCTGTCTAGGCTCCTGGATAACTCAAGTTTGAGGAATGTTGCAATGATGTAGCATGTTATGCCATGTTTCTGCTAATCTTTACGTTAGTTTCCATGCACATGATAGCATGATATATACAGATGATAATAAAAACATGTTTGCTAGAGGCTTTGGTTTTATTAAGTTTACAAGTCCATCATATAGTGAAACAAATTGATGGATCAATGAAGAAGTCGAGTATAAATAAAGTATATTCCATGTAAGTGGACAGGCAACAACAACAAACCTTATCCAAAACATAGCAGTGTCCTTGCTTTATAGATCATGTACATAACTTGGTCAGTACGATGATTGATTACTTATATGAAACATAGCAGTATTCTCTGTAGAATATGATAGTAATTGCTTAGCATTTTTGCAAATTTTGCTACCACATTTATGAAGTTGCCAATATTATCTTAGAACAGTTACTCTAGTTTGTGAAATCTTTAGGCACCGTCAGTTTTTGAAATTTGCACATATTCATCCTAGAAGTGCTTTTTCTTTCTTTGAAAAAAATAAAATAAAATAAAGACACCAGTAACCAGTTTTTGTAATTATGTCCTTTCTTGACATCAATTTCTGATGCTACTGAGTTTTGAAAAAATGGTCTCTCTCATGGAATTTCCTGAATTTATCTTACCTTTTGTTTCAATCTTGTTCTAAACTGCATTGCTTTTGCAGTCAAAAAGGGCAATTCAAGGGAATGCTTTTCCACCATGTAATTAAGCACTATGTGATTCAGGCGGGGGAGGACCAAGGGACTGGGGCTACAGAAGATTGGAACCTGAGAGGAAAACATTATACAAGGTTCTATTATTCGTTTGGTTTTATACTTTGATTTTTCTGAAATCTGAAGGCCACCATTTTTGTGTGTTGAATATATTTTCTTTTTGATTAATGTTGATTAATAAATTCTTTGTTGTTTACTAGTATGAAGCATGAAGCATTCATGCTTGGAACTTCCAAGGGCAAACACTTGAACAAAAAATTTGATCTTTTCATCACAACTGCACCGATACCAGATCTAAATGAGAAGCTTATTGTATTTGGGCGAGTCATAAAGGGAGAGGATGTTGTTCAGGTGACTGAATCTGCTCTATTCTCATCATAAGTCTCTGTGTGTGTGTGTGTGTTGCCCGTTTCATATGAACGACTGGGAAAGTTTTTCACTCATCTTGTATATCTTGTCACTCATTGATGTTTATCAATATTTTTTTATTTGATTTTGGAACATAATAAGCCATTGCTAAATGTCTTGCCGAATGTCATTATTATCCCACTAGCTACCATTTTGGGTCTACGTTTGGATAAATTTAGTTTAGTGTCCTGAGATTTGGACGTGTTTCGGAAAAAATATTTTTGTCCAGTTTAAATGCAGTGTCAATTAAATGTGTTTCTATGAATAAAAAGTTGTTATTGAATCTGACGATATTTTCACAATATAGCTAACGGGATTTATGTTTAAGATTGATTGATTATTGACATTCAATGCTGCGGAAACTTCCGCCAGGAAATTGAAGAAGTGGATACAGATGAACACTTCCAACCTAAAATTTCTATTGGAATACTTGATGTGACGCTCAAACAGATGATCTGATGGATTTGATCCAAATGGGAAGTATATTGACATGGGATAGTTTTCTGCCAATAACTTCTCTCGGTGCTCCGGTCAAAATTTTTCAGCAGAGATTCATAAATGAAGTTTGGAGGCTAGGTACTGTGTGGCCTGTGTGTTCCTTTGTTTTTGGGGCACTGAGACGAGCCTTAGGCATGTGGCTGTTTGGTTGAAGGTTTGGCAGTTTCTCTTTTCTTTTTCGTACTACACGTTGAATGTAACTTAGATGAGCATGATGGGATCACAATGTTTTTTTGTTGCTTTTTTGTTACGTAAATGTTGTTTAAATGGATGGTTCTTTCATTGGTGAGCTAGAATAGCTGCCTTTGTAAACTACTCTTACTCTGTACTGTAACGATGCTCATAAACGGTAACTTGATAGGCGTATAATGCACATCGCATAGGAGTCGGGTAGGACAACATTTCTGAGTCTGAAATTGAGGCTGCAGCTGTTGCATTCATTGCGCTCCTGACCTATTAGTACAGTGTAAGACGTTATGTCCCTAAGCTATGGGTCCCACGTCTTGTGTTTTTCCTTTTTTCTTTTTTTGGGGACTGAAAATGCACTTCCATTAACTATTCAAGTCGAGAGAAGAACAAACAAACCACAGAAAGAAAACAAAAAACTAGCAGAGGCCCTTTCACCATTCACCTCTCCACTAATTTTGGGGGCGACTGAGGTTTCTTTTATTTTTGTTATAAGTGTAAGCGGGGATTGAACGTTCGCTTTGTTACCAACAAGGGTGATCGGCTTGCCTTGATACTATTACAAGAGCATTAACCTTTCATAACTTCTTGAAGACACGTAGAATGAGAATTTGATTATCAGAAGATTCAGAACACAGTTTGCGTTCATCAAAAGACAATGTAGTGTTACGGTCAATGTTATGTTTGTTCACTTTCAGTTTAACAACCACTTTACTCTTGTTTACCTTTTGTAATTTTTAAGAGAAATCACATCTAGTCTCTTTCCAAGAGAATTAATAACATATAAGGATAAATGTAAAATAAATTGTTATTAAAATAGGAACATGATTCATTTTTTTTCAAATGAAATTTCTTGTTGGTCTTTATTTGTGATAAATTTTCTTGAAAGTAAATTGGATGTAATTCTCTCTAATTTTTATAAGGTTTGATTGGCACAAAACGTGAATTAACTATATTTTTTAGTTTAATTTCACTGTAAATCAACACCTTATAATTTACATAAAATAAAGTATTCTGCTAAATCTTTGAATATTTAATTATTAATATTGATAATTTAGTGTTAGTTAAAATTCAGGAATGCCGCAGACCAATGAATCAAGTATGTACAATCGTGGGCTTCTAGATTGAATGAAATTTCCAAATAGAAGATAATTTACAGTTATTATCCGTCGTGCTATTGTCTATCAAACTTCGAATGAAGGCGATCTCGCGCACACCTTATTTCTCATGCTATTGTGCTGGCACTTGGCAACGCAAGAAAGTATATGTTTGTACGTTTGGATTTAAATTTTCTAAAGTTAAGATTTGAAATTTCTGTGGGGAGGGGGTTTTCAAAGGAAGAAACATAAAATTCTACAGTTTATAAAAAAATAATAATATGAACAATATATTAGAAATGAAAAACTTCATTGAAACTCAGTGGCCTCAATTTTAGAAGATCTAAATCCTATATCTTTGTGTGTGTGTCACTGGACCATAGTTACGGATATGAACTGTACATCATATATCGGATTGCTAGTGGAGTTACTTTGGACGGCTGAGGTGATGAGGGCATGAGGCTGTGAAGATGACGGATTTTCTGAATTTCTGTTTTGAAAAACAGAAATAATTAAGAGACCATAATGAAATTTTAAATAATCAAATCAAAATGAATTAAATTCACGATTTGGTCGACATAAAAATCTCCCTGTGGATTTTACCCCCCGTGTTGTCGAGTTGATGATGTAAGAAAGGAATATGCGTGTTTATTTGGTGCGTGAAACTTATGGAGGACGTCGTGTTTAGTGTCAATCCACTTTTTTTCCAAAAAAATTAATTTTAAGGTCACATCAATTCACGTGGTCACATCATATTTGCGATGTCATGTTACGTATGATACGCTGCAAATATTTTAAAATGAATATAAATTAAAATGAAAAAATGAACATAATAAAACCTTCGTGATTTGAATCTATGTTTGTTAATGTTAGGTTGAACTGCAATGACATTATGAATAACGACCAACATTTCTCAATTTATTAATAACTTGAAGTTGACTATTAAGCTTTGATGAGATAATTTAATGGATTAAAAAATGTTAGCATGTTTTATAAAATTAATGAATGTTTATATATTATTATGTCTGTTAAAAAATGTAAAACATTTTTAATCAAATCCAATCTCTTAATAAAGTAGTTATCTACTTTCAAACTAGCTATATCTTTTTATATTTGTCCCTATTACATATCTTACAATAAATATAAAGTTATTATCAATGGGAATACTTAAAAAAAAAGATAATGATTATACTTTAAAAAATTAAAAATGTCTTACATTTTTTACCATCTAATTCCTCAAAAAATGCCTTACATTTTTGAACGAAGAGAATATTATAGACTTAATAGCACCAAAAGTAAAAAAAAAATTCTCTAAATATTTTTAATGCTAATCTATTATACTCCCTCCATCTTAAATTATATGACATTTTTGAAATAGTTTTTTAATCTCAAAATATAAGATACTTTGAATAAATTAATATTTTATTACATATATTAATTTTAATATTATCCTTTCTCTATTTATAATTAACTTATATCCCTTCTCTTTTTAATATATTAAATTATAAATATTTTTAAAATTTATATTTTTATTTTTAAAAGATAAGATTATTAAATGTATTTAATGAGATTTATTAATATATAAAATTTTATTTAAAAATATTTAATGACATTTGGAATTTATACTTTCAGCATAGTGTACAGTTACACCTCACATTCTCAACGTGACAGGAATGGAATGATACATTTTATATTTTTCTCCCCTACCAACAAAAAAAAAAAAAGAAGAGTAAACATAAATTTATAATGCAAGCAAGCTGCCTGTGAGACTGACAATTTGACATGGATTCCCAAATCCCAACTGTGGAACGCCATTCCCTCTTCCGCTTTGTGTGGAATAAAGATTCCATAGAATAATGATCAAGAAAGAGTGTTCCATGATGCCAAACATTCCCTCGTGCCTTTTGTTTCTCTTTCCATCCTCACCTTCCTCTCAATAAGTCAAATACTCCTACGATTATTTTAATAAATTATTTCTATCAATTTTATTAATATTAATATAACAAATATAATAAATAAAAATATGCAGAATTTTAAATATATTTTTATATATAAATTTTAAAAATAATGTCATGCAATTTTTGTATGAGAAATAATTTTAAAAATATTTTTAAAATATTATTTAAAAAGTTACATCACAATTTATAAATGAGATCAAATTAATTTTTTAAAATGAGAGCAGATGATAATGACCTATTTTATAATCACAGCTAAAAATTTAATTCCCTCTTCAATCCCATAATAATCTGTTTTTTTTTCCCTTTAATATCAGTGAGAAGTTGGATCTACCAACAAAAACTGGTTCATTGTAGTGTGATAAGCATTCAATGTTTAATTTTAACAAGACTGCATCCGAGAATTATGAGCACAAGTTAAAAAAAGTTTCCATTATTTTTGTAGCTGTTATTTTTTTTTTTCATGACTTGATTTTATGGTTAAATTAAAGCTCTTCAATCCCATAAGACGGAGTTTTTCTACTTAACTAGATTTTAGTCTTGTGACTGCAAAGGCATTTGTTGGAATTTTTAGGAGCTCAATTAAATGATAAGTCTAAATCTAGTTTTGTTTTTCTGTTTTCATCTTGTATGAAAATGATAAATACGCACTGTAAATAGTAATAACGAAAATAATAATGATCATGACTCCAAACAAACTATAGAAGAAGATTGGCAAGACTTCCGAATTTTTTCATTGAGAAAATAATTAGGCTATGAAAATCTTCTTCCATTAGAAAGACCTGGACATTAATATAACACAAGAATAAAGTAAAAAATGGTTTCACAATCTGTAATTTGTCAAGATAATAAAAATGAAAAGCTGACGGAAATTCAACGTTAAAAGTATACTCATTTGACATATTTTACGTACGGAAGAATGTATGAGTACAATAACACTCAATATAATTATAACCTAATAAAACTATAAGTAATTTTTCATAATTGCAAACTTAATATCACTCAATTATATTAAAAAGATCAAATTTCTTCCATTAATTCGAAGCAATTGAATCACAATTCGTTGCCTTGCATGGGATTGGGATTGTATTGGTTCAAAGATGGTGGAAGATAATAAAGATTATAAAAAAAATAAAAATTTTAAAAACTGGCCCGATCTGAGGCTATCAAAAATTCCACCTGTACACGTTACCCCATGATTCATAAAGCCTGGATTGAAACTACTGGCAGACCGGCTATCATCGGTCATCTTCCTGAGACGTCCCCATAATGTTATTTGGATTTATGCCGGCCGTTTGAGGTTCGGGGAAAAACAGAAGAAACTGTAAAAATTAAAATTCGATTATCTCATTCTGTCCTTTCCTCCTCGTCTTCAGAAATTAATCTAGGCCGCTTTTCTGATTTTGCTAACAAGATTCGCCGGCGCGTGCTTACAATCGAATCAATTAAATGGGTCGCAGCGCAGTGCCGGTGTCGACGTCTTCCGCGGTGGGGCTGGCTGTAGCCGCTATCGAGCTCACAGAATCCTCCAGTTGGTGACACGACATCAATGATATTGAGGTGTATGAAGTTCAAAAATCCAAGGTTTGATCTTTCCCGGCTTGCTACATGCACTTTTGAACTTCATTCTTGACAACTTTGGTTAACAGGTCAGTTTCTTGATATTGAGGTGTATGAAGTTCAAAAATCCAAGGAGTCGAGTTTGGTAACAGTTTTTATTCCATTATGATGCGTTGGTTCTTCACAATGCTAATAGATTCCGTGTTATCTCCTAGAAGCTTTCTAGAATTCAATTCTTCAAGAGGCCTCTTTTACCATAATCTTTCACAAATACCTTAACATAGGCCCTGCACTCACTTGTACGTTACTTATTCCTACATCTGATTACTTTTTAACTCCTCCATATAACTAGGTGACCCCATACGGAGGTACAATATAGTAGGGTTGACCTTTTATGAATAACAGAACCTGCCTATCTGGCATCAACATTCAATGCCTCTTTAGTTCCCTTCTTATAGTAAATCCTTTTGCTAGGGGCCATCTTGAATGCCTACCTGCTTCCGTGTGCTCCTTGGTGGGCTTATTTATAGAACTGAGTAATCATACCTGGGAAGTTTATATTTGGTCTAGTGTGTGAAAGATAAATGAAAATGAGCTTCTCAACTAATCTTTGATAAACAAGACTGCATCCGAGAATTATGAGCACAAATTAAAAAAATTCCATTTTTTTTCTAGCTGTTGCTCTTTTTTTTTTTTCATGACTTGATTTTATGGTTAAATTAAAGCTCTTCAATCTCATAAGATGGAGTTTTTGTACTTAAACTAGATTTTAGTCTTGTGACTGCAGAGGCATTTGTTGGAATTTTTAGGAGCTCAATGAAATGATAAGTCTAAATCTAGTTTTGTTTTTCTGTTTTCATCTTGTATGAAAATGATAAATACGCACTGTAAATAGTAATAACGAAAATAATAATGATCATGACTCCAAACAAACTATAGAAGAAGATTGGCAAGACTTCCGAATTTTTTCATTGAGAAAATAATTAGGCTATGAAAATCTTCTTCCATTAGAAAGACCTGGACATTAATATAACACAAGAATAAAGTAAAAAATGGTTTCACAATCTGTAATTTGTCAAGATAATAAAAATGAAAAGCTGACGGAAATTCAACGTTAAAAGTATACTCATTTGACATATTTTACGTACGGAAGAATGTATGAGTACAATAACACTCAATATAATTATAACCTAATAAAACTATAAGTAATTTTTCATAATTGCAAACTTAATATCACTCAATTATATTAAAAAGATCAAATTTCTTCCATTAATTCGAAGCAATTGAATCACAATTCGTTGCCTTGCATGGGATTGGGATTGTATTGGTTCAAAGATGGTGGAAGATAATAAAGATTATAAAAAAAATAAAAATTTTAAAAACTGGCCCGATCTGAGGCTATCAAAAATTCCACCTGTACACGTTACCCCATGATTCATAAAGCCTGGATTGAAACTACTGGCAGACCGGCTATCATCGGTCATCTTCCTGAGACGTCCCCATAATGTTATTTGGATTTATGCCGGCCGTTTGAGGTTCGGGGAAAAACAGAAGAAACTGTAAAAATTAAAATTCGATTATCTCATTCTGTCCTTTCCTCCTCGTCTTCAGAAATTAATCTAGGCCGCTTCTGATTTTGCTAACAAGATTCGCCGGCGCGTGCTTACAATCGAATCAATTAAATGGGTCGCAGCGCAGTGCCGGTGTCGACGTCTTCCGCGGTGGGGCTGGCTGTAGCCGCTATCGAGCTCACAGAATCCTCCAGTTGGTGGCACGACATCAATGATTCTTCGCTCTGGCAAGATCGTATCTTCCACGTTCTCGCTGCTCTTTATGGGATCGTCGCTATTGTTGCTCTGGTATACGCAAATCCTGCCTTAACGTTTCTACGTTTATAATGTCATTGCGGAGTTTTTTTTTTTTTTTCTTAATTGTGTTGCTGTTCGCTGTTAGTAGCTTTCCGGGCAGATTTGGAATTCGTTATTGGATAAGGACTTCTAGGGTTTTTGTATATCCTTTGAATACTGGTAGAGAACGAGACATGCGATTGTATACAACTGAGATTGTAGGAGCCATGCTGATTTTTTTTCCTCCATATGTGTTTAGGTTCAACTAGTCCGTATACAACTGAGAGTACCGGAGTATGGTTGGACCACGCAGAAAGTCTTTCACTTTCTCAATTTTTTGGTGAACGGCGGTTTGTATTATTTACTTTTTCCCCGTGTCTATTGATTTAATTGATAGTTCGGCTGTGAATGTGGGAATATTATCTGCAATAATGTGTACTTTTCCCTCCTCTGTAGTTCGATGTTTTGTATTTGTATTCCGCCGGAATGTGCAGAAGGTAAAGCCGGAGGTAGGCACATGACATACTCTTCCCTTATATTCCATATTGCTGTATTTGTCTAAGCATCTAATATTCAGATTGCCTGTATGTAGATTGTCCAACATATCATACTTGACTTGCCAAGTCTTGCTTTCTTCACAACGTATGCACTCTTGGTCCTATTCTGGGCAGAGATATACTACCAGGCAAGTTTAGTTTAATTTGTTGAACATTAGCTGTGGTCTAACTGTTCTGGTTTTTCTTCGATTCTAGCAATCTAGCATATTTTGCGAGTAGGTGATCTGAATACCATGCTAATGTTGATATCTTTCAGGCACGTGCTGTGTCTACTGATAGACTGAGGCCAAGCTTCTACGTAATCAATGCTGTGGTTTATGCTGTTCAGGTGAAACTTCTAGCCTGAGTTTTGTTTGGAGGTCCCAGCTATGGGCATAGTTGGACATTTGGACTGTTTTAGTCTTGAATTATTGCATGTAGTTTCCTTCGTCCTTTTGTATTTACTTTTAGAATTTGTTGATTTGGTCCCTTAAGTTTGTCTTAATTATCGATATGGTTTCCTTCGTCCTTTTGTATTTACTTTTAGAATTTGTTGATTTGGTCCCTTATTCTTAATTATCGATATGGTTCTCATTGTTTCAAAAGGAAGTACCACCTTTAAAATTTTGACGTGGACAATAGAATATTGAGTTGGTTGCCATGTAAATTAATGAAAAAGTGCAATTGTTTATGCAGTAAAAAAAAAAAAAGAACTGACTCATTTTTTTTTAAAAGAACAAAACTCAACATATAAAATAGGAAAACAAGAAAATAAGGGGAAAATAATATAAAAAACAAAGTTGATGTATTCTCATTTAACCATATATACATGTCAAATCATCAACATATTTTACACATTAGATTAATTTGAGAACCTATTGTGTTTCAAAATCTAAAGGAGTAATGTGATAATTTAAGAAAATGTATGGGACGATAATAGTGAGCCTTATCCCTCTAGGTGGGACTGGCTACATGAATTGCATGACATCATTGTGTTCTATTAAAGGTATCGCTCAACAACTTCAATCTAGTCTTTTAACCAAGAAAACATAATGGACTAGATTGACAAAGATTAAACTCAAGGGACCAAATCAGTAACTAAGACAAACTTAAAGAACTAAAATTTTTATTATCTCAACTTGAAAATTATGAATATCATGAGTTTTAATGTTGCCGGTACCTTTATGTTCAACAGTTTTAAAATTGTTTTGTTGGGGTTTTTGTTGAGTGTATGCCAGATTGCTTTGTGGTTGATATTATGGTGGAAACCCGTCCGTTTATTGGTCATCCTATCTAAGATGTTCTTTGCAGGTTTGTCTACTTTAGACTTTGCTTCCAGTATTTTTTTTAAGTCAAATTATTTATTGATGAGGACTGTCACGAATTGTTGCTAATTCATTTACGTTGCAATAGGGGTCTCTTTGTTTGCCGCCCTTGGGTTTCTTCTCTATGGTGGAAGGTATCTGTCAGTTTCTGCTTTCAGTTGTGATGTTTTGAAGTTTCCAATTTATATTCCAATTACAGAGTAAATCCTTAATTTAGGAACTGTGAATTGTAACAAAGAAACATCGTGAAGCAGCCCCATGTTGGTTTTTCAAATCTTTTCTGCCTGTTTGGAATCATGAAACTGAAAGACGATATTGTAGTTATTTATGTATGCATTCTTTTAGTATATTAGCATTTTTATGTATTTAGTCTATTTTCCTTTGATGTTATTTAATTGTCATAATTTTTACTGGCAACTAAATGAAACTCTCAGTTAAAAGTATAATTGTAAGAGTGCAACCTGTGATTTAATTGCATGAATTGATCTACTTCAGTCTTGTAGTGACATGTGGAAGAATTATAAATGAACAAAAAGCTATAGTTTAAATTGCTTGAGTTGGCGATTCAATGCTTGCCAATTCCATTGAGCGGCAAAATTGGGTTGTACGTGATTTTATCAACCCAAAGTACGTGATTTTATCAGCACAAATATCTTACATCACCTTATATCCTTTCTATTTATTAAAAAAGAGAAATCAGTAGTCATGAGTTGTGACATGGAAAGTTCATTTACTTTCTTTGGCAACAAGATGTTTTCTATATGATACACTTAGGGCTCGTTTGTTTTAGCTTTTTTTATGAAAAAAATCACTTATTGTTTTTGATTTTTTATGATCTTTGTTTAAATTTTTGAAAATAATTAGAATTTGTAAAAGAGCAATTTTTTGATTATTTTAAGAAGTTACTTTGAATAGCTTTTGAAAATAATCTAATTCGGGAGATGAGAGAGAATGTTTTAAAAATGCGAGATGCACGAAGGTATCGTAAAATTTTAAAATAATTAAATAATAAATCATTTTTATAAAGCAGAAATTAAGGAAGATATTGTAAAATTTTTAAAATAAATAACTAATGATCACTTTTTTATTGTTCTAACTAATAATCACTTATTTTTAATCTTAAACAAATGTGCCCTTAATTCTCCTAAAGAAAATCTCTTGCTTATATATGACTTGTCACTTATGATTGCTAACACCACTTACAAGGGATTGTTACTCATTTGAGTCATTATGTCACTTGGTGCACTAACCCTTAGTTGATCTTTCGTTCAGTAATGAAGCTTACCCAATCATCATCACAATACACCTGCTAGGAAGTCTCCCCTTAAGTGAACCCCTCCTATATGTTTCATTTATGGGATTTCATTCCTCCTATTGGTGCTCTTTTCTACTCCTTATGTTCTAGAGCTTCATGCTATGGATTTTTCCATTGGAAAAGCTTTATACAATTGATAATATTATTGAGATGTAAAGTGTAAGTGGACTTGACTTGATACGGGAAAGTGGAGAAGCTTTACATTTGATGTAGTTGGGCTCGAGAGGAGGTATAAAAGTGGAAAGACTCCTAAATTCATGGCCTTAATGTTTGAATTAAGATGTGATGTTGAGTCTATTTATATATGCATTCTCCCGTTGTTGTTCAGCCCATTTGGATGATATCCTTTCCTTTTTGGATGCTTCTCAGGTCCAACAAGTGGTATTAGAATCCTAGTTTAGGTTTAGTGAGGCCACGTGTGAGGACCATAAAAAGCTCATATTAAAAGCTTGCTCACCATTTAGATCGAGAGCTTAATCATCTTAAAAGTGAGTTAGTGTCTTTAAAATGTGGGTAGCATGTTTGTGTGGTCAAGTGGTAGACTCATAGTTGAAGGAGAGATTGTTGGATTGTCACGTGTAAGTGGACTTAACTTGATGCAAGAAAGTGGAGAAGTCTCACATAAGGTAGAGGGAGGTTGAAAATGAGATGTACTAGTGGAAGGACCCATAGACTTACGACAAGGTTTTGGGATAAGATGCATGTCTGCTTCATTTATATGCTCCCTCTTGTTGCTGGACCAACAATTCAATTTGTTGCTGGACCAATAATTCCTCACTGATTCTTGGACTTTAATACAATATCTTGTGATATTGCTCAAGAGAATGAGTAGTCATGACCTCGTGAGTTTTCTTTTTTTAATAGACATGAGGGTAGTTTTCTATGTGTGGGTGAGTTTGGTCATTTTTAGGTGTCAAATTAGTTTTAGATGACTCATCATGTCTGTTTTCAAGGTTGTGTTCCTTGATCTGTTATTTGTGAAACATGGCATCCATGAAGACAAGTATTTTCTTTGTGACAGGAACCAGGGTATAGTTACAGTAAGCCTTCTAGTCCCTTTTGGGTCAAGTTTGTTTTCTTGGTAGAGGTGGACAAGGGCAGTGCACCCAAAAACTCTTTTTGTTGATGAAGGTTATTGTAGGATGTGTTTTGAGAAGGGTGTAGCTAGGAGCTTAAAAGCCAAGGGTTTTTAATGACATTCTATTCATGAGATAGGTGGAGGTGGTGACTTTTTCCTGATAATGGTGAGGAACATTCATGTACAGCGCATTCAAGTTAAGCTATACCTTGGTGGTTTTCAGCTGTCTTCATTTTGTATTTTTTGGTTGCTGGTGGCTGGTGTTGTAACGTGCTAAAATCAGAATGAATGCCCAAGAGAGGAGAATTCAAACCCCAGATCTGGTTCGTCGATTAGCTGACCTATTTTGAGGAAAAGAACTGTTGTGGATTGCATTGATCCACCCTTTAGACGTGATCTGGAGAGGCAAGTCCACCAGATCTGGCATCATTTACTAACAGAATCATTCTCAGGCCTTCTCCTGGCAGCGTTAGCTTTGGAGATAAGTCTTGGCACTTGGAAATTTAGCAAATCATATATTCTAATCAAACTAGTATGAAATTAAATTATAAATTGCAAAACATAAATAGGCTTAGGACTTAGGAGAAGCATTTTTCAAGTTTCGAATGTTATGAATTATGTGCCTGTATCATGCCTGCTGTCTGTGCTGCTCTGTTGTCCAATCTGACCATAGTATGACTTTCTGACTGTTGTTTGACAGACTTTTCCTAATGTTGCAACGCTTCCCTGTTGAATCCAAAGGTCGGCGTAAGAAGCTACAAGAGGTATGCAGTTATACAAGGAAATCATTGCCTTAGTAGAATCAAATTTCCCTCCTTAACTTTCCTTTCTACTGCAGGTTGGCTATGTGACCACAATATGTTTTTCATGTTTTCTTGTCAGATGTATTATGGTGAGTTCCTTTAATTCTTATATCTGTAATTGTTGTTTCCTTGCTTCAAATTGAGTTCTATCATAATTTTGCTTTGTTGCAGATGTGTCTTAATGCATTTGATAAAGCTGCCGACCTTGATGTCCTGGACCATCCCATTCTTAACTTCATATATTATCTGGTGAGCTTAGTTGTAGTTCTTTGCATGCTGCCTTTCTTCTCCATATTGCTGATTGTTGAGCTGCTGGACTTTTACAAGTGCCTGTGTCAAGTTAGCTTGTGATGATGTATTATTTTTTGACTGATTCCCAGCCAGGGTTTTTAGCCTTCGCCAAAAGTGTGTAATTATTTTTGTTAGCTTTTCAAATTATGTTTTCTTTGACATGGTATATGAGTGTTGATATTTTAAATTCCACCTAACTAGTAGAGTTGCTAAATTGAATAATTTGATTATGATTTTGAAAATCTCTTATTAAAATTGCGATGATAGTCTTGAACTTGTTGCTCGTTGAAACTGGCCTTCTGATTTTCCATCCATTTGATAGTCTTTGAGTGAAACTTGTATTTACTTAATAGCTTAATTTTGTCCAAGAGTATAGAGTAAGTCCAACAATTATTCTTTTTATGATTATTTCAAGATTTTGTGCTGAAACATCATGCATGCTCTCAAAATATTGCAATTTATTCAATATGAGCACATACATAAATAGTGTAATTGGCCAAAAAAAAAAAAACCACCATCTCTTGAGATATTATTAAAAAATATCCTAATTCAGTATGAAGATAAAGGATACTAAAACATGCATAAAGTAACAAATATATCAGGAGAATAAAACTATAGATAAAATGAGTGACAATAAGAGATAATGGGATGAGTGGCACATAATCACAAAAACTTTGCTTCAAGCTGTAGAAAGAAGGTTTGATCTTTCCCGGCTTGCTACGTGCACTTTTGAACTTCATTCTTGACAACTTTGGTTAACAGGTCAGCTACTTGATATTGAGGTGTATGAAGTTCAAAAATCCAAGGAGTCAAGTTTGGTAACAGTTTTTATTCCATTATGATGCATTGGTTCTTCACAATGCTAATAGATTCCATGTTATCTCCTAGAAGCTTTCTAGAATTCAATTCTTCAAGAGGCCTCTTTCACCATAATCTTTCACAAATACCTTAACATAGGCCCTGCACTCACTTGTACGTTACTTATTCCTACATCTGATTACTTTTTAACTCCTCCATATAACTAGGTGACCCCATACGGAGGTACAATATAGTAGGGTTGACCTTTTATGAATAACAGAACCTGCCTATCTGGCATCAACATTCAATGCCTCTTTAGTTCCCTTCTTATAGTAAATCCTTTTGCTAGGGGCCATCTTGAATGCCTACCTGCTTCCGTGTGCTCCTTGGTGGGCTTATTTATAGAACTGAGTAATCATACCTGGGAAGTTTATATTTGGTCTAGTGTGTGAAAGATAAATGAAAATGAGCTTCTCAACTAATCTTTGATAACCTCTGACGGCCATAGGTGGACTATCATCCTTCAATTCCTATTTTTGCGCTATCTCATGAGGAGTTACAGCTGGCATACATCCAAGTTTGCCTGTTTATTACAATAGATCACAATTATATTTTCGTTGAGAAGCCAATATTCCCCTTTTCGGTTGGGATACTTGAATACCTAAGAAGTATCTTAGGTTTTCAAGTATTTTGATTTCATAATTTTTTATAATATTCTTCAACTACCTGATTTCTTCTTCAAAATCACCCTTGATAATTATATCATTAGTGCAGACTATTATGGCAATTTTACCTTGGAGAGAGAGCTTGGTTAAAAAGTATAATTTACTTTTCTTTGATATACGCATAACCCCTAAATCTGTTGGTTGACTTGTCAAACCAAGCATTGAGGGATTGTTTAATGCCCTAGAGGGATTTATGCAGTTTGCGTATCTTTTTCTCTTTTAATTCTGCTTCAAAACTGTGAGGAATATCTTTTGACACTTCTTACTGTAGATTAGAAAGTCACTCTTTACATCTAGCTGACGCAATGACTAATCTGAATTTGCAGCTAAATAAAGTAGCAGTGTAATTGTGTTAGACTTGGCTGCAAGGGCAAAGGTTTTCTTGTAGTTGACTTAATGGGATTGAGTAAAGCCCTTTGGTACTAGTTTCGGCAGATGCCACCATTTGCATTGTTTTTTGATCATAAAACTCTATTTTGAGTTTCTTCCCTCAAGGAATATCTATGATCTCCCATGTCCTCTTCTTTCAAGCATCACTGCTTTTCTCTGTGCTCATTCCTATCTATAATCTCGAGTCCTGTTCTTTAGAGTGTTAGGTGCTGTCTCGCTGCTTTTCTTTGTGTGAGTAGACAGTAAGCTCTCTGTTCTTTTACCTCCATCCTCTTTATCTATAATCTTAATAGTGGGTCAGATTCAGGTGTAAACAAAGGATTAGGTTTTAGTGTAGTTTGAGGGGCTCTTAACAGTAGAATCATGGGCTGCATCAGATGTGTGGGTGGGTGGGCAATGATTGAGATCCAGGTGGTGAGTCAACTGCTGCTAATTTCATGTCAGTGAGAGCTACACTAATGTAATAGGGGTATTGAGTAAGAACTACAACAATATAAAAGGGTATTGCAAAATTTCTTTGCCCTGCCTATCTATTGACAGATTTAACACGCTCTAGTTGGTTCTCAAGTGAGAAATATGAAAATGGTTACTTGGTGCTTAAAGATCACATGCCATTAAGCTTTCAAAGCGGATAATGTGCCTCACTACTTCTTATAATTATTAGCCAGGTCTTTTTTTGAATTTTTTTATGTAAGTTGTTTTCCTCTTCAGTTGGATTTTATTTTAACTGGTTGAACTTCTATAATCTCCAGTTAGTAGCGGTTGTACTGTTGATAAACCTGTCTAGATGAAATTAATCTCTAGAGGGACTGCCGCAGTATGCCTGTGCGCAAGCCTTCCAAAACTCTCTCTCTCTCTCTCTCTTTTTTCCCGCCTTTGCCCTGAATCTTATGTAAGGGAATTGGGCTAGTAGTGTAAAGTATCATGGTTGCATTTTGCCTCACCTTTTCTTATTCTTGGTGCAGTTGGTGGAGATAGTGCCTTCTTCGTTGGTCCTTTTTATTCTAAGGAAGCTGCCTCCCAAGAGAGGTATCACGCAGTACCATCCAATTCGCTGAAAGGATACATATGGAGGTAACTTGAAGGGAGGTTGTCATCACTCATCAATGCTTCTCTGATTTCTTGGACGCTTCTTACACTCCAAGAATAGTTTTAGAAGATAACAGAAGCCTACCTTTCCTATGTTTCCAGGGACAAGTTTAATGTCATGGTATGTAGATTTCGAAACGATTTGTCATTTGATGAATTGGTTGTCTATGTGCTGTGTGTTTTTGCTGCGATGTTCTCTGGGATAGTGGCTGCTTTTCCAGTTCAGCAATTCGACCCATGAGCGGCCACTATTAGAAGAGAACAGTGGTATGGTGTATCATATAGTCCTGAGTATTCCTATTTATCACATCCAGTTCATAGATACCAGCTATCATTCATGTCTTATGTGAAGCATAAAGTGTACCTTCTTAAATTATCTTAATGTCTCTGAGAGCGTATATAATCCCAAGTTTATATCTGGTAACCCTGGATGAATTCTTCCATGTTTCTAGGCGAACAGAACTAAGTATATTTTCACTTCACAATCTAATAATTTAGATGAAACGAAGAAAGATCAGTGCGCAAAATCCTAGACATGTTGGAATAATCTTAAAAAAAAAATTCGAAGAATTCGTACCTTGCTGCTGATTTGCAGGGCTGGGTGGATCTTGCGAGATCATCGTTTCGAAAGAGTTTGTGAATCTCGTGGTGAAGCCAATGATTCCATCGTCTTCTTGGTACCAGTCCTAACGGTCAAACTAGTTAGTATTTGAACGTTTGGTTTTACGTCGCTGCCTTCAGGAATGGTAGGTTTGAATTTCATTTCAAATTTTGGAGACTAGCACAACAGATTTCCGTTCATCGCCTTCCCCGCTGAAATGCCACTTCAAAATTAATATCGGGTCTGTTAATGTCAGTTTAGCTAAAAATCGAATCAACAAGAGATTTTGAAGAATGGAACCGAGGAGAATATGCAAATGCCAATGCCCAAGCTCACTGGTCACTAGTCCCTATTTTCCTCAGGTAGATCATATATATATATATATATATATATATCTATGTTTGTATGTATGTATGTATGTATGTATGTATATGTAGTAAGGTATATATATTCTTTTATTGAAGATAATTTTATTTGAGAAGTAATCAGGCTTAAAATGTGAACATTTCTTTCATGGAGATTTGAATATTGGTTTATTATATTGTGAGAGATTAACTTTTTTTACTAAAAGAAATTTTTATTGATAGATCAATATCTTTTTATTGGAAGCAATTTTGTTTAATGTACCGTTAGGTATCAAATGTGGGCACATTTTTTAAAAAAGATTTAAATATTGATTTGTCATATTATAAAAAATTAATTTTTTTCATTAGACTTAATTCCTGGGTAGTAGATCAAAGAATTTGTTTATATTTATAACGCCTCTAAATTCAAGATACCATGAAGTTGACCATATGCACATCAACAATTAATATACTTTTTTTTTTAAATTAATCATTTGATTCTTTAGTTTTAACTTATTTGTAATTCATTTGAAGTTTTGAATCGGTTGTAATTTAATTTTTAAACTTTGCTTCTTGCAATTTAATCCATATAATTTCAACCACTTAAATGTTAATTCATATATTTTAAAAAATACAATTATAAAGATTAAAAATATGTTAAAATTTATTATTGATATTTTAAATTACTAAATTCTTTTAATCTTTATAATTTTATTTTTTAAAATATAAGAATCAATATTTAAGTGGTTGAAACTGTAAGTATTAAATTGTAAGAGATAAAATTTAGGAATTGAGTTATAATTGAATTAAAACTATAAAAATTGAGTTAGAATGAGTTAGAGTTCATGAATTGAGTTATAATTTGATAAAAACTATGGGGATCAAATGATTAATTTTTTTATCAACAAAAGTTTATATGAATTGGATTTTAATAATTTATTAATGCCTTGGCAGGTTTTTAGGTTCAAAGAGCATTTAAAAAGATATTTATAAATTGTTTACCAATAAGGTCTTCTTATAGGCATCAAGATTTGATCCTATAATCTTATAGACTATGAATCAGATACTTACCAATTGAACTAACTTTTGTTGATCAATCAATATACTAATTTCTAAGTTTAATATAAAATTTATAATAAGTCATTCATGGGCCGTGGCAATGTAACATATTTTCAGATTCTGTACAGTACGTGGAATGCACGTCTCCATCTATACTTTGCTTATGTAGGATAAAAAAAAAAGATTAAATCTGAAAAGGTTAAAAAAAAAAGATTAAATTAAAAACATGCCAATAAACAGTTCACATGCCAAAGGCACGGGACCCATACGCCTCCGTTAAGGCCCATGGACAGTTAAAGGGATATTAGGCAACATTATTGGTTTAGTTAAAACCCTAATTTTTCCTTGTTTTGATCCAAACGTCGATTATTTCAACATGTAGGTTTCTGTCTTCTGATCTAACGACAATGGGTTCAAACTTTATTTCCTATTCCATATTTTCTTTTAAATAGAGGAAGTGAAGTTTTCGATTTGGTTGTTATTTCAAATTTGCTTGCATTCTTAAGAAGCGTATTAAATTTTGCAAAAACATTCTCCAGCCACTTCATTTTTTAAAAAATCAAAATCACAAGTAATAATTATATCATTAACTTCTATTATTATAATTTAGGTATTAAACTTCCAAACAGACTCCACTAAAATTTTCTCGTACCACATTATTCACAAATCATGAATGCAGTATTTGCCTTAAAAAATCTTTGTTGTAATTAAAGATAATTAATTTTGTTGAAAACATTACTTTTTATACCTAATATTATAAGTTATTTTGTACAATATTTCACTAAACAATACTCCCTCTGGTGTTATTTATAGGGCAGAGAGAGAAGGATTTTTTTTGTCCTATTTATAAATCATGTCATTAAATTTTCATTATAAATTTTCTCTTTCATCCTCTATTGAATATTGAAGAGAGAAAATATGTTATTGAAATATGTATATGTAATAGGGGTAAAGTTAATAATTTATTAAATTTTAAGATAGAGTTAATAAGTTTTAAAGTTTTTTTTGGTACTGGTAAAATATGTTGGAAGTGACTTATAAATAAGATTATAAGAGCACGTAGTATTGAATTTTTATCAAGCTTTATTTTATCCTTTCCAAGCAAGGCCCTGCATGCAGTATAATTAGTTGCAGAAGCGAAGTGTCACTGCAGTGTGCATGCATGCCTTCCCAATATCATCCTAATTTTTGTCTTTAACTTGAATTTTACATAATAACAAAGCATGTTAAAGTTTTGTTCATCTTTGAAATCTTGAGCCGATGATTTGAACAAATATATGTATGTATGTATATATGTATGTATGAAAGAACCCTGGTCCGTTGTTGTTTCTCCCATTGCTTGGGTTTTATTCCCAAGAATTTGATCATATCTATACAAATCTTTACAGCTTGAGTGGATTATTGCAATGTTGTTAAACCTATATATACATAACTGATATTCCGGATGGAAATATATATATATATATATATATAGAGCCTTCTTCTGCCATCCGTTTTATTCTGAGGAAGCTGAGACCTAGTTTAGGTTTCCGACAGTATCATCCGATTCGCAGAAAAATCGGAGATATGGAGGAAATTAAGTCGACATTTCCTATGTTTTCTGTGACAATTGTTTCATGCCATGGTCTGTATAAGTAGGTTTTATGCAACGAGAATGAGCTATCATTTAATGAATGTCGGCACCTGGCCTAAATTTTCTGCAATAATCGTCGTTGCTTTTCTTGTTCGTCAATATATGATTCTGTACTGTGAGTTCTAAGTCTTGTGCAGATTTTGTGAAGCTTAAAGTTTTCCTTAAGTGGATATATATAATTTTCCATTACTCTGATGACTCAAATCTTATATATGTCTTGCAAGTTCCTAGATGACATGGATTATTCATATACAAACAGAAAGGCAAAGAGCAGCATGCAAAATCCAAAACAAATGATCATGATATAATATATAGTTTCTTCGAAGATCAAAAATAAGTCGTACCTGGTGCAGATTTGTGGATCTGGATCTTGAGACGGATCGAGAGGATATAGCGGAATTTGTGTTGAAGCCAGATTAAGATTTGATCGTCGAGTTGTAATTAAACTAGCTAGAAATGAACCAGCTAGTCAATATTTGAATGTTAGGTCTTTCTTCTTCGCTGACTGCTATATAGAATGGTAGGTTTGAAATTTTGTTTCGAAATTATTCTCCAATATGGCATTTAAAGACATTTCCATTAATTCGTCAATTTTCATGGTCACTATGAAACCGAGGTTCCTCTTCATCTGGTAGTGTATAAAATGAAAGTAACATTAACTTTATCGATTTTTTTTGTTTCTTGTAAATAAAAAAACTTGACAAATAAATAATTAATTATGTAATGTTAAACTAGAAAAAAGATATATATATACACACAGACATATATTTCAATAGCATATTTTTAAAGTTAAAATTTTCCAAAAAGTGCAATTGAGTTAAAACACATAGTTCCTGCGTTTAAATCTTACATAGAAACTTGTTAATTGCAAATATTCCAACCCCTTACATAGAAAATTCCTACTACTTGTATGCGTATTGAAATAAATAAATACTATATCTAATTATATGAATTATTTGGATAGGTTTTTGAATGTCAATTTCCGTAATTTTTTTGATTAATCACATGCATATGCTTTGCAATCCTGTTTGAGGGATCATACACTAAATATAAGCACACTTCTTCATAGTTATTCAAACTTCCGTGATGTTTTAAGGAATTAACTTCTTTTATTAGATTCGATATTAGTTTAATTTCTGTATTTTAATTTGTAGATTGAGGTAAGTTAGGCTGGTCGCTCATGGTTTTGGCAATGTATGAGTTTCCATGCTGGGCCGTTGGTGGATCCTGCTTCAATTTCCCACACTGCCCTTGTTTGACCCAATCGATTTTCCTGACCAAGCAAAATATCCATTGGATTTCAAATCCGAAAAACCGACGCTGATCAACGGTTCACTGATTCAATCGAAACCCAAAATATAACGCGCGCGCGCGCGCACACACACACACAGCGACCCAAAATCTGGTGAACCCGGCACAATCCAAGTCTGAAAAGTAATATGAGTCGAGTTAAAAAGCTATGGTGAAGCTGTGAATAAGTATCTTAATTGAGCCAATGTGAGGAGTGAGTGGAGCGGAGTGATTCTCTTGAGCCGGCAAAGTACAGAGACGACTTGGACATGAACATGATAAACAAAAGAGTGGCTTCACTGCATTAAGATCCTTGTCTAGTCCACGTCAGAGCTCTCAAAAGCGTTTTTTAACATCGATACATTCTGATTTTGTTGGTTCAATAACAATTTCCACATTGAATTGTGAATCAATTCCTTAATGAATTGAATGGTCATTTTTTTATATTATCTTATCAATAACCAACATATATAAACATTTATTTGACCAAAAAATAAATACAAATATTTATAGAAAATTTCACAATTTACTCTTTAAGTTAAACTATATAATACAATTTACCATAATAGCAACATTTTTTTTTGGATAAAACAGAAACCTTTTTTATTTACCAGGTACAAATTATTTTTGTTTGAGTCCTCAAAAATAATGGTAGACAAGGCTAAATTTAGACAATCGTGAGCCGCTGGATGCGCATGCGGGAACCGAACCGTTTTAAAAGCGTAAACCTCATATCATGCCGAAACGACACCGTCACGTCCGGATCATAATTTCCCCAGAAAACCCGAAAAAAAAAAAGAGGAACATTTATCCGAATAGGGAAACACAACAGGACCTAGGCTTAGCTTAAAGCCCATCACACAGCTTGTATATTGTCTCCCTCCCCTCTTTCTCTCTCCCTCTGACTCCCAATTTCTGTGGCGGCTCTCTCTCAGATTTGGATCGAGCTCTTGTTCAAGTAATTATTCAATTCTGAGTTCCTGTTTCCGTGAGTTTATCCGATTCGATCTGTTTCTTGTTGATCTTTAGTCGGTGGTCTCTCAAGAACCGCCATGGTAGCTGGCGCGCAGCAGCATCAACAACCACAATCACAGCTTCAACCTCAATCGCAGCAACAGACTCAGCAGGCCACACCCTCTGCACAAGATGAGGCCCTAAAGAGGAACACAGATTGCGTCTACTTTCTCGCTTCCCCCTTGACATGCAAAAAGGTTACCCTTGATTCTCCTTTTCGTCTAATCTGACGCTTCTTTGAATCAATTTTCTTTTTTTCTTCTCTTGTATTTTCTTTTGTATGCATTCTTGTATACAATATCTTTGGGATCTCGTTCCGCGATTTCTACTTAGGGTTCCAGATGCGCGGCTTGGGGCTGATCGTTTGTTTCCGGAAATGATTTTAGGAGTAAATGCTTTTTAAATGAAGGATTCGAACTTTTAGAGATGCGGTGCTATCTCTCAGTCTATCTGGGGGATTGGTGTTGGATGTTTGTTGGCGAATTAATGGATATCGAGTTTCCATTTTCATAAGATATCTCGAGGCAGCTAAAAAAACCTATTCTAACCAACAAAGAACCATCGCTGACGTTATTCGATCACATGGACAATTAGCATTCTGGAGCTATTTGATGGCCTATATATGTTTGTTGTTGATTAGCTTGGTTATCTGATCTGCGTATTGTTTCATTTAATATCTTATCATTTTATGTGTTGAATTAAGTTAAGCGGTGGAGAACTTGCCCCCACTCTTATGGTGGGACAATAATCTTCATTCTGTCACCTGAGTATGGTTTACAGCCCACAGGTCTGGATTCGGTTAGGAAAATATCAATCTTGGATTAGATTATACAATAATTTTTACAGTTAGAATTTATTTGCTAGTTCGATTCGGTATTTTCGGCTTTTCTTTACGTGTTCTATTCTTTCTACACCATGTGTTTCTTTCTTTTTTCTTTTTAATCATGACTGCAGAAAGGAGTTTGTGTATATGCTGCTGTTGCAACAAGCTATATTTTGTGCAACAATATAGTTAGCACTCATGCAATGGTGTTAGCAAGGAATACTGTTTTCATGTGGTTCTAGCAGCTTCCTTTCAATGAACCTTTTAATTTGTTCTTTGCAATAAATTCAGCATTTCACCTAGAGGAAGTACCTGTTTATATAATTATTTATAACCTTGATACTGTTTTTGAGCAATCATGAACTATATCAGTGAAACTAAGGTTGATCAATCATTATGAATGTCTAGTTGCGTGTGTATGAAAAGCTAGTATGAAATTGTGAACTGCGTGTATATTGTATGGTGGTTGTTTTGATCTGATTCTCTTTATTGAAACAGGGAAGTGAATGTGAGTATCGCCATAGTGAGTATGCTAGGGTTAATCCCCGAGATTGCTGGTATTGGTTGAATGGTAATTGCTTGAATCCCAAATGTTCCTTCCGTCATCCGGTGAGCCTCCATTTTTCTCAGCACAATAAGATTTATTTCCTCAGATTTTTTTTAAGCCTTTATTTCTTCATGTAACTTTTGCTATAATTGCCTATTGTTTCCCTTGCAGCCTCTTGATAGCTTCTTATCACCACAGGCAGCCACTGCTGGTAATGGTGGATCATCCGCACCCCCATCGCAGATTGCACCAACTTCTGTATCACATGCGCCTTATAATTCTACAAAGCCAGCTGTGCCTTGCATTTTCTTCCAGAAAGGGCTTTGCTTAAAAGGTGACCGATGTGCTTTCTTGCATGGACCAAATCCTAACACCAGTAGTAAAGTTCCTCATGTTCAGGTGACTAACCAGGTTACTGAGCCTCCAAGTTTTAAGAAGGTTTTTAATGGCCCAGATAAGTCAACACAAGAAAGGAAAAATTCCCAAGCAAACATTGCAAAGTCAGTTGCAGGCTCTGGAGCTAAGCCTGCCCAAAGTGTTGAAACTGCTTCACATGGAAATTTAGTTGCTACAGGGAGGCATGCACCACCACCACCAATGGGATTTGATAATGAGGTGTCTAGGTTCAAGGTAGTAAATGCTCCTCCTGTTGCCAATGGAACCACTGTTGCCAGGCCAAACCGAGTGTATCAATCTCATGTATCAGATGATCATAGTTTCCACAACGGCAAGGAAAGTGATGAATTCTTGAGAGAATCCTCACCTGGATTTGATGTTCTTGTAGCTGATGAACTGAGGAATTCCGATTACTATAACAGAGAGGACCAATTTGGAAAAGCAAAAGGTCAAGATGGGTTGAACTTGGACTCTGTGAATGAATATGATTTAGGACATTCTGTAGATTATAAATCTGTAGCTGATTTTGACCAGGAAAGATATTGTGGCCCACAAGGTTATGACTCATACGATCACATGCAAGAGACATATTTATGGGATCAGCCCAGGAATTCATCTGAAAGAATATTCAGGGCAGCAACCCATTTAGAAAGGATGGCTCATCGCAGATCTGGCAGTCCTGAAAATGTTGTGGTCTCAGATCTCCGACATCATTTATCTAAGCGCAGGAGGGTCAATGGTTTGAAATCTGTTGTGAGTCATGATTATGCACATCAGAGCCATGATGATGAGCAAAGTCACCGATTCTCTTCTCAAAAGGATGCTCACCAGTTACCTCTGAATGAAAGCGCTCTCAGTAATCGCCTCCGAGGCAGGATAAAGCTTCCAGCAAATGGTGGTGACGAATACATGGAGAGGGAATCAGATAGGGGAAGAAGTAGAACCACATTGTCACCTGGATCTATGCAGGCTCCTCACCTGGGTAGGTTCCGAGATAGATTGAGAGGAAGAGTGCAAGAAGATTGTGAGAGGAAAAACTTCAGGGATCGACCAATAAGGAGAGAAATAGATGGGGACCAAAATGTTGATTTTGATGGACCAAAAAGTCTTGCTGAACTGCGAAATGGAAAGAATGGTAAGAATAAGGAGCATCAGTTGCTTGGGAAGAGGAAAAGTTTGAAGGAACAACAACAATCTGAAGATGATTTCTTGTTTGAAGGCCCAAAACCTCTTAGTGAGATTTTGAAGGAGAAGAGAGCAGCTGGCGTTGAAGCAGCTTCGAAGAGTGGCAAATCTTCTGAGAATAAAGGAAACAATAAAGACACAGAAGTTGCTAATGGCTCAGAATACACCTCTGTCACAGATGCACAAAATGACACTCTGCCTGCAAATAAGGAAGACGTTAAGAACCAGGAATCCAAGTTTCAGTCAACAGAGAACACGATTGAAAGAGATGCAGACAAGATTGATGTAACTCATGCTCAATCATCTGAAGAAGGAATGATGGACAACCAAGCAATAGAAGACCAGGAGTATGAAGGTGATGATCAGAAGGATGGTGATTATTACTATGAGCAAGTTGACGAGGGAGACTATAATTTTGATGAAGGTGAAAATCCAGAGCAGGAAGAATACATGGATGATGAGGATGGGGATGACTTTGCTAAGAAGATTGGTGTCATGCTCACATGATTACACTGTGTGTAAGTGAAGTGGAACATGAACATCTACTCTCTCAAGAGTATGATACAGCAGACCTCCAAAAGTTATCTAGGTGTCTAACTGTCCTGTATTTCTGCATAAAATTTGTTTGTAGAATTGGGGGATATATAAATTCGTTTTTTGTATCCATTATCCCTTTACTGTATTTGCATCTCTTATTGAATGAAGATTTTCATATTTGTAGTGGGGCATTTTGCTGTACTCTCCGCATACAAGTGTTATGCAGAGTTAAAAGCCTGCAACGTTAGAAAGTTAATAAGAAAGTCGTATTTACTCTTCAGTTCAATCTTGCCATCAAAATTTCCATTAGAAAGAAAAAAAAAATCACGACATTCAATCATCATTCAATCTAGTCTTTCACAATCAATTTCCTGTCTGTACTTTGGAAAACCGTCTACAGTACTTAAACAGTGGTTGTCCTCCTTCGGTTCCCGAGCGGTGTACACATTGTCGTTTGATTCCTTCGTGCCTTGCAGAGGGGTGCCATGCAAGGAAATTGTTTGCGGTGCCCTGAATATTGCCCTCGCCTTTCAAATGCAAGGGTGGTATCTTGTGCTCTCCCATATCAATTCCTGGGCTTCAAGTTTCCTTTTGCAATTTCCACCGTTTCTGCCATAACCTACACCATTGTGAATTTTTCCTCCTGCATTTTCCATTTGTGTTGAATGTCATTCTCACCCCTCACTCATTGGAACATTGAATTCGCCGCCATCCCCAAAGACCAAAGACTATCAAATCCTATCAACTATCTCGAAAACGCAAACCCCAAATCAGAACCAAGTCTCCCTCCCTCAAACTTGCAGTGTAGATAGCAGTTTGTAGATGGAAGCACCTTCAATCCTCACTTCGCATTGAGCCATTGACGCACTTCCTCCTCTGTTCGTCTTCGACTTCGAAACTTGACACGATAGCACCTTTGTCATTAGAGCTAGAAAGGAGATGATTCCTTTACAGTTATTGATCTTGTGAACTCTCGTGGCTTGTCCGCCAAAGATGCTACTCAGGTGTCCAGAAATGGGAAATTCAAGTGAGTACATATATTTTGTGGTTTGATGTTTGGCAAACGTGTGCTTATTGTCAGAAAACTATTGCGCGACATTTGTGTATGTTTATGGAATTAAGGCATAATTTTGAGAGAAGTCAAGTTCATGTTTTCATTTAATTCATCAGTAGAGTTTGATAAAAAAAAAAAAAATCACGAGTGGACTATCGGAACTTCTTCTCACATTTTTCTTAGTTCTTAGCTAAAAGTCTAATAATGTCGTATGATGTATAAACTATTTCTGCTTCCTTACTGCATAGGCTAGATTTCATTAGAATATAACAAATTACCTTTTTTTTTTGGTTAAATTCTATTTTATCCGAAACATGTTTCATCTCTTCCTTGCATTGTTGTCAAGAAAATTAAAGGACGCCTAAGGAAGACTTTATTTTGAGATCATAGTCAAAAGTCTCTTGTATGAATTGTTCACTGAAAGTAATTGGAAATTTTGCCCTTCTCACCCTCTCACAGTTTTAACTTTTAATGTAGCTATTGTTGATATTAGTTATAAGAAGTCTGTCCAAGCACTGTGAGTAAATATCATATTAATGTTGTATCCTTGATTAACATACGTATATGTAGCAAGTCAACTGGTAAAAAGCATGTGCACAAGAACCTCAAGGCAGTTAATGGGGCTAGTGGATGCACTTATTTAACTATTGTTCTATGTGCAGTAACTATTGTGTGCATTCTTTTTTGTCCACACATGCTGTGAGATAATGGCCAACAGCCTTTAAATCAAAGGAGATCAAAACATTACCCCAGTCTCGATGCCAGAGATAGGATGATGGTGGATATGATGATAGGGTTAATGGTGAGTAGTACATTCAATCATTTATCACACTTCGTTTTGTATAGAATTAGCATCTTATCTCAACATGAAGGAAATAATCTTAGTTGAGTTTTTTTGGGAAGACTTTGTTGCATTCATATGCTAAAAAATGCACTATTGTTTCATTTGCTAATCATACTTGAATGGTGATTAGTAATAATTAAATAGTAACTTCTAAATGAATTTTCAATAATCAATTATGTATATTATCTTATTTTTAGTTGTGTTTCAGCTCATCTTTAATATTGAAGTTAGTAATTAACAACACTAAGATCAAGTTTGATGTTTGTCTTAAGTTGTTTTGAAATCTAATTCCAGGATTAATCTTTCTTGGAGTTCAGCTATGCTAACAACAATTTATTTGATAAGAAATAGACATTCATGATGAACATGCTTTATTACTTTCTACTGCTAACTATATGCCATCTTTTGACGCGATTGAGATTGTTGTATCAGGTTTTTGTCTCACATTCAAATGGTGAAAAATATTCAAGCATACTATATCTTGGAAAGCCAAATAATTTGAAGCAAGCCTTTGCCATCTCCCTTTTGATCTTGCAATTTATATTTCTTGGTAATCGTGTTGATTTAATGAGTTGAATCTTTTATGAATGTCTTGAAATTCATTTAAAGAGAGACATAAGCAATGGGACAAATTCACTAAATGTTATGTGCCTAAGCAGAGAAAATCTAGTTTTAGGAATTGGATTGTGGGACTGAAATTTGAATAGACTGGGTTCTACCTATCATGCATTGTATCCAAGGGCCAGGACAATATATGAGGGTAACCTAGAAAACATAGCATGCTTCCAAGTCTATCATGTTATTTTCATGAATAATAACAAGTTTGACACTGATCATTCATGCTTTCAAATATACAAGAAGACCTATCATTAAGAATAGTTTGTCATCATATTAAACCTATTATGCCACACAACTATAAGAAGAGTGGCTATCCTTTATCAATTTTTACTTTCACGGTTAACTATTATCTCCTTAAAATTTTCTTTTGCATTCATATTTAATCATAAGCAGTTGATTTTATTCCACTTAGCCGAATAATTTAGGCAAAACATCAGCAGGTGTCACCTTGCTTTTCACGTGGGTTGTAAGTGATGTTTTTTGTTTGCTATTATAGTTTGATGCAGTCACTTGTCTATTGAAATTTTTGTCAAAGGTAAACCATGTAATGATGAAAGAAAGTGAAGCATGTAGATATTATAAGTAGCTTATTAATGCTGTTGATTATTGCCATAGCAGGGATGTCTGCTATCGAGACTTACAGGTAGGACCTATTCTCTTGTCTTATCAGCAAAATTTCACTTTGATATCAGAAGAAACAATCTCTTACATGGTTTTTCATTTTTTATTTAATAAAATTTTTTTAGCTAGAAAAGTTGCTTCTAGATGCTTCTAGAAATTTTGAAGTTTCTGATTTTGGGTTAAATGCTCTCTCCCAACAAGTCAAGGTAGTTGTGTTTCATTGCCTTCTAAGATTTAGTTTTCTTTGTTATTTATCTTTGTTCAATAATTGATAATCCTATTGTCAAGTCTACTGCTAATCATCCTTTAAGAAAAAGAAAATGAAAGAAGCAAAATAATTGTTTTTTAATTTATTTTAACATATATGTACATTGGCTAAATGCTTGCTTTTAACACACCATACATGCGCTTATCTATATGCATGAATCTCGTATCGGCTTTGCAAGATGGGTAATATAGGATTTGAAAAAAGAGGGGGATAGTTGAACTAGAGCTACAGTTGAGAATATAATGTGTATATGGTGGTATTAAATTGATTAATATTTTTATTAGTATACTTTCAAAGGTTTCATTCTGTTGCTTTGTTTTTTGATTTTTTTGTTGAAGGGAATTAACTATCAATGGCTGCATATGATGTTTGCAATTAGTATTTTTGGAGAAGATAACAAAATCTTTTAAAGCAGAATCTGACCTATGTCCTTCCACTAAAATGGGTTGAAATGTCTGTGTGCCTAATCTTTGAGCAAGAAATTCTAGGTCTAATTGTAAATTAAGTGTAAATGGTAATACAAACTCAGCTCACTTGGGATTACATACTTAGCTTAGCTGTTGTATGCTCAATATTTTTATAATCTTGCACGTTAAAAGTATAGCTACTTAATAACATTACATTATTGAGCTCTTCATTTCACGGCTTCAGATAATGACTGTGGAGCTAGAGACTCTAATATGGAAAGATTTTAGTTGTCTAAGCACCTTTGCTTTTCGTGGCCTACAGTTGATTTATTATAAGTTAATTAAAGCAAATGGAATCATTGCTTGAACTTATCTCAATGTCTATCTTTCTATCTATGTAGAATTGGCTAATCTTTTGCAGTCTTTGTCCCTTTGTTTTCTATAACTTATATGACAAAGAGAGGATGAAAATAGTCATAATAGTACCATCGTGTTTTGTTGGGATCATTGCTTGACCACGGAGAGATAACTTATTTGATTTTCACAATGCTTTGGCTTTCTTCCTTTTCCTTGCTATTTACTAAAATTGTTGGTCTCACATATTATGGTTATCATTGCGGACAGTGGTCTCTCTAGAGTTAGTGAGGAACTGAAAAAGATTTGGAATCTCCTTATTGTCTTTAGTATAATAGAGGTTGCATTTTTGGTTTTTGGTAGAAATAGTGTCTCCTGAACTCTAAAGCATTGGAAAAATAAAGTTACAAAAACTTGCGTTATAATTTTCATTTGCATAGAAAATTCCTCTCGTTTAAGAACAAAATAGAGGGAATAGGTTTTTACTTTTCACTACTATTGATAAGTCTCTCCTTAAGTCTTTTACTTACTAAAGCGCATATTACGCATGCTATTTATCTATTGGCTATCCGTTTGATGTCTTATCCCAGTATTACATGCTTCTCACCTACATTTTAGTTGGACTGTCAAGTTCCTTTGTGCCTTGAACTTCATGTTGCTGAGAAATGAGAATCTCCAATTTGAGGGCTTTTTCCTTGTGTAAAAGATTAACCCCAAAATTGTGTTTGATGCCCCATAGTGGTCAATAAATTATTGTGTCCAATAAAAAATTAACCAAACTACAAAGATTACCTAGAGTATAATTATACAAAAAAATTGTCACTGTTCCAAAACAACAAATTAACGCTATTCATTTCAATTATATTTATTACTATACCAAAATTCAAAAAACGTTGAATATTTTTGTACTTCAATGAGATAAAATATCAAATATTTAAACCTTCTTGATGTTAAAAAACAATAGAAGAATTCCACATGCATTGACAATTATGATTTTTTATTATTATTATTTACAAGCATCCACCTATTGGTGGCAATTTTAATCTACTTGGATAATAAGGATGAGCAAGTAAATTTTCATAACAAAAGAAAGTCCTGTAAATATAATAGTTTTATAACAATAAACAATTACAATTTTATAGAACATGATTAACTATTAGCTAAAAAATTATTATATGAATTATGTTATTAAGAGAAATTAATGAATGCTTTCAATTTACAAAATTTTGGTCTCGAAACTGATTTTTTTAAAAAAAGCATAATTGTTTTTGTTTACTAAACATGATTTTTTTTTTTTGGTATGGGCTGGGGAGGAAGTTATATTTTCAGAAAACCAAATTACAAAATAACATCAATTTTTTTTATTTTTTTATACTCTTCTAATATTTCACTAAATAATTAAAGTTCAAATACATTGAATAACTCTTGACTACTTTACTAAAGAATAAGACATTAATAAATTCACATGCAGAAGGGTTAAAAATACTTATCTACAACAAAAGTAATGATGTGTCTTCAAAAATGACTAATGTTATGTTTTAGGAGATATTTGAGAATATTGAAATGAATTATGGCTCCTTTTATGTTATATCTTACACTAATTATTTGTTTTTAGCAAAATAATGCAATCTAGCTAAAGACCACGCTCATTTAAAAAAAAAAACTAAATAACATGTTAACATTGTTAATTTCAAATACATAGCATATGCAACAATAATGATGTTCTACAGTGCAATTTATCTTAGGGTAAAGGTATAAATACGGCCATATATTATTTTTTTAAGAATATCTGGTGGCCTAAATTACTAGATGGTGTAAAATAAATTATAAACTTATAAAATTGGAGCATTCAATAGCTTGTCGATAACTTCAATGAACGGATGTTATGTGGGGTATATAATGACACATGGCACTCCACGTCAGCATCTATAAAGGTAAAAATTTAGCCACGAATTATTTTTTGAGGAGTACTATATAGCTTCTATTATAAAAAATGGATCATCCAAAACTTTTCCATCAATTTTGACCAAATATTATTTATTTTTAGACTTATGAGATCCATAATACATCAATCTCTCCAATTTTCTTATTTTTGTTTTTAGTTTCAACTCGAAAAGAAGTTTAAAGAGTTCTTATTTATAGACATTCACAAAGATGACGCTAACAAAGTAGAAGAAATAATTCATGATTAAATTAAGCTAAAATCAAGCTTATCTCGTGTATAGTAAAATCAAGTTTCTACTTCATTGGTATTGTTCTCGTAAATGCGTTAAATGCCTTCAGATAAGAATTCTCTGAACTCTTTTTTCTTAAGTTGAGGCTAAGAACGAAGGAAAGAAGATTGGAGAGATTAACACGTCTTAGGTCTCATAAGTATGAAAATAAATGGTATTTGATTAAAATTAATGGAAAGTTATTGGATGGTCCTTTTTTTTATAATATAGGCTATATAGCGCTCCTCAAAAAATAGTTCATAACTAAATTTGCACTTTTACACATACTGACATGGAGTAATCGTGGAGTGTCATATGTCATTGTGAGCCTCACATAATATCTGTCTATTGAAGTTAACGGTGAGTTATTGGATGCTCCGTTTTATAAAGTTCATAGTTTATTTCGCATTATTTGATAGTTTAGACTATCAAATGGTTAAGAAAAAATAATATGCGATCAATTTTGCTACTTTACCCTTTATTTTATAAAAAAAGTAATTTTAAAGACATACATAAATTAATATAATTAAATGCTACCTTGCCCGTGCATCGCATGGGGCAGAACACTAGTTTCCTTTTATCTTTACATGTAATAACTTCCGTATTCAGTTCGTTGCATTTGAATTTCCTCCTCCTTATTATTCTCTGCGGCCAGAGTCTTCTCTGGTGGTGTTAGACGAATGAGTCCAAAAGTTGTTTTGGTTCACAGGAGCTTTCTTTCATCCAGGCGATGAGGGCTTTCGTTCGGGGCTGACTCTAGATTTTGTAGGCAATGACTGGAACAAATTTGGTGACAAACTAGCAATTCCACGAAAACATATTTTTTTTTTCCCAACAAAGTCAAAAACCATATACATCTCTTACTAGTATTTTTCATCCAAGCTGATTCTCACCGGAGACATTTTTACTGTTCTTATGATACAGTAATTCAAGCCATGACACTTGTCATCTATTTAATAGCCAATTGCTTCTTTTAGTTTGCTCTTTTATTTATGTTATTTCAGATTCAGATGGTTAATATCCTATCGTCTCTTTTCATTGAAACCCCCCCTTTTTTTTAATTCTCTATCTTATTTTAAATATCTGATCACATCCCCAAACTCAAAATATATCCTCTTTCTTTATTTCAAAAATTTGGAATTTAAAATTTAGAGAAGTTGGAATCTTTTGCTTTTCATGTTTCTTTCCACCCCTTTCTTCTTTCTATATATTTAAAAAATATTTTAAAATTTAAAATGGACTTGAAGTTATAACTCATCTCATCCCATCCCTTTCTTACTAATTATTTTGTTATGTTGTATAATATATTTCTATGATTCATTTAGGCAAGGCATCATACACCGAAGCATTTATTTTTATTTTTCTTCATTGGAAAAGCTGTTTGGATTAGTGCCTTTTCAAACTAATTTGTTTTTGTTATAAAATACTCTCTCCGGTCCTATTTTAGTGCAAAAATTGGTTGGTTACAAGATAGCAAGTGGAAGTGAGAACTTGGAGCAAATTAAGGTGAGTTGTGGTGGACTTAAATCCTTGAAAATTGATGTTCATAAATTTATTTGAAGTTTTTCTGTTTTAGCATTTTTTATTTTTATTTTTTAAAATAAAATCTTTTTCCTCTTTCTTAAATAGAAAAATTTCATAAAATTTACAAGTTCTTAATTTCGGAGGATTCATTCCCAGTCATGGCAATATAAGGTTGAGTTGTTTATGATACTCATGACAAGGGCGCAGTCAAGGCCAAACCAGTAATTACTTCTACTTTTTGATAAGATAAATCACTCGTATCAATAAACATTTATTTCATATTTCATAAATTATCCTCATAATTTACATTAACAAGAAATAATTAATACATGATTATGTTGATTAATATAAGATATTTTAGTCTAATTATTTTATTTTTAGACATAATTATTATAATTAACCAACTTTCTTAAATTATGTGATATAATTTTTTTCTCTTATATATAAAAATAGAGGGAGTACCATTCAACATGAGTCATAGAAGAACATACTCATTCCGTTAAAAATATAAAGTATTTTTAACCGCATTTTACTCTCAAATAAAGTAGTTATCTATTTTCAAACTAACTTTATCTTTTCATATTTACCTTCATTAAACACTCTACAATAACTATAAAGTCATTCATCAATAGGGGCACTTTTAAAAAAAGGGCAATGATTATATCTCAAAAAACTAAAAATACCTTATATTTTTTAATATCTAACTACTCAAAAAATAATGCTTTACATTTTTTAAAGGAGTGAGTATATAAGTTTGAGGCGGACTAAAATGTTTATATCAACTTATCAAAGATTAATGTTGATCGGACTTGATTTCAAGTTCAAAAAAACTCAATCGCAGATGGAAAGAGCCATTTCAAATTCTTGATCAAGTCAGACCAATTGTTTATATCATCATTATGCCACCCGTCTTTTTTATATTTATATTATTTTTAATATTGTATGCTTCAGATCAAGTAATTGCCTTTTATATAATAGTTATTTGATAATTTAAGCTTGCAAAAAACGATTTCATAGTATTCTCTGTTGTGTCAAATTTTTGTGACGTTCACAGGAAAATAAGCAGAATGCGTTTTGATTGTTAATTAGCTGGTATGATCCAATATTACTTTATAAATTTCAATTCGTTAATTTATTAATTTTTATGAAAAAAATTGCTTTTTGATGAAATATTTTCTTCATGAAACTTTCTTCAAGAAGATTATTATTTTTATTCTGTGTAAATTAAATGAAATTCAAAAAGGAAAACATAAAATACAGATTAGTTAGAGTCAATCTAAACATATTTCTTAAAAAAAAAAAAGACCATAATATGCTCATATTTAAAATGGGCACAAAAATATGAAACATGAAATGGACCGTGGCCATGGTCTCTCGAATGAAGTGGCCAATCGCCATTATGTCTACTTTCTAATGATCAAGTTTACCACTTTATGCTCACTCATCTTTCTTTTGACCCCCTTATTTCTTTGCACTCACTTTTTTTAATCAATTTTGTTTTTATTTGCTTAAGCAATAAGTGGAATCTCTAAGACATAATAGAGTACGTACTAAGAGTTAATACATGTCTCGTGATTTAAAAAAAAATGCTTTAGATTACTTGTCATTCGTCAATAAAATTTGTATATCTCTAGTGCGATTTGAAATTATATCTTATAAGGATATATGTAATGTCCTTATTAATTAAACTAATGCACCCTTTCATTTAATATTATATATAAAATTGTTTTTTAAAGTGTAATTAATAAGCCAAAGTTTTTTCCAAATAAATCCTTAATTAGATAGTGTAATCAATAAAGTTTTTTAATTGAGATTTTCTGTTAAATAAGAATAAATATAAAAAGATTGTATAATTTTAAAGACAATTAATTAAATTATTGAAGGATAAATTTAATTAAAAATATCTTATTTCACAGTTCGTATTCGATGTTACTTATATTATTTCCCAAAACATGCTATCATCTTGCAATATATTTTAAACTGAATATATTACGTTATTTCTTCTGTAAATATATGATGAACACACACACAAAAACGATATAGAAAAAACAAGTTTGTGAATGTGAAATACCTTTCATATCCCTGGATTTAAAAGGAAAGAAATATATCGTATTGGATATCTTTGTCAGTGTATTAAAAAGTATCATTTTCCTTATGCTATGCCAAACTAACTTATTTTAAGCAAAAAACTTGGAATGTTCAATTAATTAATTAATTTTAAATAATTTAAATTACTCATCAGATTATTTTAGACAGTTATATTATAAGTGAAATGAATTACCACATTTTATCAGAAACGACATGTGCGCTGCTTGTTTAAGTTCTCATTACATATATATATATATATATATATAATTATTGATTAGCTAGCATGTGTGTGATGGTGGACATAAGCAAGATTTGATTGAGTAAAATGAAAAGAGAAGTTCACACAGTGAGTGGCTGAATGAAGCTACCGAAAGAAGCAACCTCTGTAAGCAGGAGTCCAGTAGTCAGGGGCAGTGTTGTCTCTGTAAGCCTGAGGAGTCCATGAAATTGGAACTAAACAAAGCCCTCTGCTCCTCAGCTCTCCCTTCATCTCTATTTCATCTTTTCTCTCCATGCTTCCCCATGTTTCCTGCATTCATTTACAAACGTTCAATTCAAGAGCTTCTTATCTGTTACGTTCCACTTTCCTCTTTTTGTCGATCTCTTTCTCTGAAAACCGATCAATCAAAATATTGGTTCAGCAGTTTACTGGCTCAACCGGCTGGGGTGACACGGTTTTCAATACTTAGCTTGCTTTAATTTTCTCGGTTATTAAAAAATCTTAGCTTGTAAGGTTAACATTACAACTCATTATCAAATACTATCTAGATACAAGTTTTTCAAATACAGAAGGCCTTAATTATTTTAAGAATTGATTACCTTGTTTGGGTTGGTCTTCATGTAAGAGTTGCTCAGTAGCTGCAAAATATTCATCAATGTAAGTTGATGTAAGACCAAACATATCCATATGCTCGAGAAGTTAATTACAGTTTTAACACCAATTTGGATCACTAATCTCACCTGGACTTGTTCTTGTAAAAATATAAATCAAAATTAGATCCTCTAAGATATGATATATATATATATATATATATATATATATATATAATATTTGTTGAGGCTAATTAAGTCTGTTTTTTTTTTCTCTGTCATTAGTTTTCTTTAGCGGTAAAAATATATAATTGTGTCACGTGACAGATTTATGAGGTACATTAAACCGTCCCAATAAATCCAAAGGTTGGAGATTGTTACTTTGGGAAAGTTTATAAAAAAAAAACCCTAATTCAAAGGATGATCCATCTTATATGAATTAAAATAAAATGAAATACAGTCGGTGAAAAAAGAAGAGCACTAAGAATTTTTTTATGATATATATAAAAAAGAAAAAAGAGAAAAAGAATAAAATGGTGTTAGTGCAATATGTAGTGACCTTTCCAAATGGCGACACAATTTGCTGAAGGGTTGTAATCTTGTCGCCTAGCTTGACTTTCGGTGCTTGCACCTATCAACACATTCAATAGAAGTTTCTTATTATTATTCTACAAATTATGACTTCTTTATACTTATATATATACATATATAATTTGTATCATAAGTTATCATTAATTTTACTACCGTGCATATGATTGAATTACCTTTGTAGAAGATGCTGTGGAAGTTTCTTGCTTTGGCTTCTTCAAGATTGCTTCTGATGAGTCATCTGTTCTTTTCTTCTTTACTTGAGTGGCGCTCCCTTGTCCTCTTCCATTGCCTGTCCTTGTCTGCATATAATTATCATATTAACTAATAATTAAGTTAATCTCAAATTAAACGTGGTATATATAAAATTCTCAGGAAATATAATGTCTCAGAAGATAGAAAGAAAAAAAGAAATTAATTAAACTGAAAATTACCGGCAATGATGTCTGGAAAGCCTGCTTCTTGGAGTCAGATACGCTCATCAACGGAGGGCGGAAACTGGGTTTCAGTGCATGAATTCCGATGACCGGCAGACCTATCCTTCCAGTGAAAGATATAACATCTGACAAATTTCTTGAACACGAAGACAAACTGGGCATCCCGTACGATTCATGACTGTTAAATAATCCATTATTTTGATATCCGAACAAACCTTGTGCTGATGGTGCTTCACTCGGATGATGATGGTGGTGGTGATGTTCTTGCTTAACATTCATGTCATGACCACCGTATGAAGAAAAACCCCCAGAATGATCCATGGAAGAATTCAAAATCACAGTATTAATGTTGTTATTATAATTGTTGTTGCCGTGTGTTTGATGGTGAGTATCAAGTTGTGGGTCTGGTGGTGCAATAGACCAAGTGCTGACCAGCTTGCTCAATCTTTCACTCTCAAGCACAGCCTCGTTGAACCCATTCAATTGTTTCTGATTATCAAAACTCGAACTGTTGATCAAACATGAAGAATTATTGTTGTGGTGGTTGTTGTATTCCCATGTCGTATCGAGTTTCTTCAAGTAATTGCTCGCTGGCTCGTTCATCATGCTTTTAGACGACAGTGCGTCCATAAAGTTCTCTCCAACTTGGCTATTTTGTGCCTCCTCGTTGCTACCAACACCCCTATAAATGTAATATAACAGAAATATATTCTTACTTGTACGTTTAATTTTTTTTTTTTTGGGATGGTAGTGATGATAATAACAATAACAATATAGTTAAAAAAAAAACAGTACTCGCATCGCCCTTAAAAGATTGTTACAATTAATTAAAAATAATGACAATAACAAGGACATAATATATGTATATACTTCCATATAAATTGCACATGCTAATTAGAATAACCAAGTGTACTTATTGAACAAAGATACACAGATTCCTTTTTTCAATCTTGCAAAACATGAATCAAACTAGTCCGAACATGTTGGTTAGTGGACTTGAATGCATAATATAGAAGCTAAGAAAACAGTTTGGCAAGGGCTTAAACGAAGGTGGAGATATAGCGGATCTTCGTATAGAGAGTTCAAACTAGCTAGTAGCTCGCCAGCGATGCCCAATAGATATAGTCATACATGATATCATGGAAGAAGCAAAGGGTAGAAGAAAATTATCGAGGGAAAAAGTGGGTAAAGAGACAAACCCTATCCTAGCAAGGTGGCATATTTAGGAGGAAGAAAAAGATATAGAGACATACAATAAGACGTGAGTCCAAAGGGGATGATCTTGTGGCTGTGAAGGGATGAAGGAATTGGAGGAAGGCGCGGAGAGGTGGATGAGGCGGCGATGAGGGGATTCGACGGCGAGGGATGATACGTCTTGATCTTCACAGCACGAGGAGGAATTAGAATCAGGGTTTGCAGCAGCAGCAGCAGGATGATGATGATGATGATGATCGCTCCAGGATGAAAGCGATGAAGTTGCATGAAGATCCCACCAGTTTATTAATGGACTCGGGGAAGAGGTTGCTATGGAATTCCCACCACTTTCTTCATCTTCCATCTCTCTCTCTCTCTCTCTCAGAGCTGTTTGCTTCCTTTGTGATGGAATGGACCTAGCTAGGTACAATAAGATGTATACATATATACACCCCCCTCTCTTTATAATTTCCTCTTCCTTGCTGCGTGAGAGAATTTTCTATTGGGTAGAGGCTGTCCCCGGATATTTCTTACAAAAAAAAATAAACATAACTTTTAATCCCTATAAATTATTTGCATTTTGTTTGTAATCCCTACACTTTTTTTAGTGTTTTAAGTTTCTATACTTTTATTTTTCATTATTTTGAATCATTCCAAGGTCTCTATACTTTTCTCATAGAGGGATTAAAAATAATAAAAAATAAAAGTGTACGGACCTAAAACATTAAAAAAAAAGTATACGAACTAAAAGCAAAACACGAGTAAAATATAAGGACTAAAAGTTATGCTTGTCCATAAAAGATTATAAAATTATTTAAGTGTGAGGGAACTATTGATCCGTTAATGTATAAAGACTAACTTTTAAGAAAATTAATCTTAATATCTAATATATATATATATATATATAAATTAAAAGAATTCATAAACTAAAATGTTAAAATTTTGAGCTAAAACAAGGTGTCCCCTCCTACTCTCGGCTCCTTTCTATAAAAGTGTATAGAGTCATGCGAAAAATAGTATCAAGTATGGGAGACATGTAAAACATACAAGTCTTATTTTACGTTGCAAACAGCGGAAGCAGGGTTGAACAGAAACACCGGTCATTTTGTAATGAATTTGAAAAAAAAAAATGAGAAAAGAAGGGAGGGGGAATAGTTGCATGGGGAGTGACGTAGAGGAGGGTATGGTGAGGATGAGGGTGAGGGTTAATTATAGGAATGATAGGGGGAGACAACAAAGTATGCAACCTGAGTTTTTCCACTAACGTTGGTGGGCAATTATTATATATTTAGAAATACTTTGATGCCCCAACCAGCCAATTTGTTTATTTCATTCATTCATGTGTCTATGTATTGCCACATTGCCTACCAATATAATGATTCCGTCGGCTTTGAGCAACTCTATATATTTTAATTTCTCCCTTTCCCATGTCAAATGAATTCTTAAATGAATCATCAGCTTGAGAGAAGTTTGTCATTCCAAGCGTGTTCTTCCCTTCCGAAATGATTCTTGAGCCACACAAATGACAAACCAGAGAAAAGCTACATGAATTTACAGTGAAGGATGGCTTCCTCTACCCCATGCTACGAAACAGTGTTTCTTTCCACGTAATTAATATTTGGGGCAAAGCACAAGGCTGAAGAACATTAGCAGTCTTATAATTAATGAGTAATTAATTCAATAAAAATAGATGTTGGTCTTGTGGAAGCTCACATGCTTCCAATTAATTCTGCAATCATTATATTCAACGATTCGTCAAAAACTCTTCCTTCTTCTATTCGTTCCTTTGATATATAATCATGACTTTCAATATAATCAGTTTTATTATTCATAGAAATTAAACTTTAGTTCTTCTTTCTTGTTTGATTACCTTTTCAAGGAATATTCCTTTATCAGTGGTTGTGAATGACAGATTTTTCTCAGACAGATTGACTCGACACGGCTTGCTGAAGAAGAGGGTGATTTAGTGAGTGATCGAAACACTTGCAGGGCTGGCCTCCACTCATGGTCAACATACCCAGCTTCACTTGCTCCACACTCAACCATTGGCTTTGCGAGATAGTATCATTCTTGTCGTTCTGTTTTCAATTAAAAAGTGGCCAAATCCTTAAATCTGGGGTTTGAATAAAGATTCTCGTGTATTGATGGCTTTAATACTAGCATGCTGTGTTTGAGAGTATGCTTCAATTTATTTTATTAAAATGCACGGTTATTTCGAGAGCATAAATTAATGATAAATTACCAAATAATTAATTATAGAGTCCTTTATTTTTGGCCGTACTGAAACTTTATGGTAATATATTATTTTGGTTTAATTTCAAGTGAATGCCTACCTAGCTTTGATTTATTTATTTGTTTGCCCAGCTTGACTTGGAATTAATGATGTAGACTCCACGAGTAAGTTGCGTTTCAGTTTCTTGACTGGCTAGATTAAACACAACAACCAGGTGTTCTCAGCCATGCAATTTCACTTTGTAATGTAATAATTAATTATTTATATATATTGGGAATTATTTATATGTATATTTAAAAGAAGATCAAAAGTTGGCCATAATAATAACCAAATAATGAATGCAGATAATTTAATTAATGGCATTAGCTTTTGACAGATACAAAGCTTGGACAGTGAGATACATTGAGTAGATAGGTAAGGTGGCTTTATTTTAATTGAAATTGTGGATGATTAACTTTACAATACTATAATGACCATGAAAAGGCAAGTCGAGCTTCTTAATTAGATTTCAATCTCTGAGCTATAACTTTACAATTTTCCTTGTGTTACTCAAAAGCCATTCATGGGATGAACTACAATTTTGGTGGAAGACGCATTTTACTATAACAATTGTTATTTGCCTAGTTAATTAAAAGATGAACTTTTTTTTTTTTTAAGTTGTCACTATAACATTAGCCACGGTCTTTAGTTAATATACTCGATCACTTGTATATTAATACTTTTTCTTATTTCTGTTATAGGTCATTTTCTTAAAAAAAATTTAGTTTTTAGTATAAGTCATATAAAAAATTATTAATTAGTATTTTTCAATTTTACCCCTATTATGAATTACTAAAAGAAGAACTTAATTTCAATTTGATTTTCTTTATAACTTGTTGAATAATGTTTCTTTCCCTCTTTTTTTCCTCCAAAACTTTGTGTTTCCCATGAGAGAGAATGCATCATATTCAAACGAAAAATATTTTTTATTTTTTAAATCCATATTTCTTAATAGGGATAAAGTTAGAATGTTTTTAAATTTTAATAAAAATTTAATGAGTTAATCGTCTTTCCTTGCTTTCAATAAGATAATTGAAAATGACTTATAATATAGATTGAAAGAAGTATAATTGTATCAAGGTAAATGGAGAGTTACTAAAATTATTAAAAAATTATTTTCACCCAAAAAAACTATAAAAATTATAATTGTATCAAAGTAAGTGACTTTTTTTTTGCCAAAAAAATAAGTGACTTATTAATAAACATTATTAAAATTAGTTGGTGTTCGAAAAATATATTTTCCTATTTTATCCACTATTACCCCACAAGTTCACATCCTTGGGGAAATGGAGAGTTATAATTAATTTAATAGTTTATAGTAATTTTCAAGGTCATTTCTTACATAGGATAGGATGGAATGATAATGACAGTTAATTAAAATAACAAGTATATATATAAAGGTTAATTAAATTGAACTTTGAATTTTTTTTCTCAAATATATCCTCTTATTAAAAGCAATGAGCAACTCTTTTAATAAGAATTTTCAATATTGGTTTGTCACATTTTGAAAAACTAGTTCTTTTAGAGCCAACTATGTGTTAATATTTTAAACTTTGGATCTTTAACTTTATAACTTTATAATTGCAAGAGTGACAAGCAAATTTCGAAGAGAGAGCAAATAAAAATAAAAATTAAATATAGGTAATTTTACTATCATCGATATCTTTTTGATGGGTAATTAATTCATAGATATCTTTATCTTGTTGATGGGTAATTAATTCATAGATATCTCTGTGAGTTCTCTTCACTAGTGTAAAAAGATAATTTCACCATAATTTAAAGCTAATATTTGTGACACAAAATGATGTGCAGTAGAAATAGTGTTTTAAAAGTACACCAGTATCATAATAATTAAATAAAAATTAATAATATACACACATATAATGATATAAGTATAAAAAATAAATATAAAATTGTTGTTTAACTTGAAAATATATGTAAACACCTAAATTGATGATGAGTTAGCAAGGTCACATGTAATAATATATATTCCAAACCACCAAAATAACTAAAAGTAACATGCTAATAATATAATCTAATCAACATAACACCAAATAAAATCTGTACACTAAAAATACATATTTCTATTATCAATTGTAGTACAACATCTACTGTATTTGCATATGCATCAATTGTACAAAATCTGTACATATCTCCGGAGTATTTCTGTCTCGGTTCATTCTTGGTGCACTCACCACTTATTATATTAATGCCTATTTACACTTGGATTAAGAACAAGTTCCATGGGGCATGCTTATCCAACTGTGAGTCACACAAGACGCAAATGGAGGATGGCAAGGCAAAAACCTAGAGTTGCAGAATGCAGAGCCAAGCATTAACCATGGCACAAAGTCAAGAATGGAGAATAGGTGATTAACAAAGCTTCAGAGCTGCGTGAGCTGTGGAGGAGGGTGCCGAACAGAGGCATGGACTCTTGTATCTAGACGAAATGAGTGTGGGAGGCCGGAGAGAAAATTTTTCAGCAATAAAAGCATTCAAGTTCAAAGCCGTCCAGTTGTTCAAGAATCGTTTCGGTTCGCAGTTTTTGATTCTTTGTTTCTATCCAACCCCTGGTTTGAGGTGGCTCAACCCAGCTCAAATGTCCAAATGGTTCAAACCTTCAAACCAACTCAAAAGACTCACCGGTTGATGATTTGACCAATTGGATTGTTCATCAGTCCGGTCCAATTCCTTAATTCCATTACACAGATCATCATAGAATTATAGCAAAAATGAAGCAGTTACAGTCACATGTCAGAACTTGATCTGTGACCATAATTGGTGCGAATAGCCATTTGCAACCACAGTTATAGCCAAAATAGCTATTTATGGTTACATTTATGATAAATAAATGTGGCTGTAATTGTTATGTTTTTTTAGGAACCACCTTTGGTAACTATATATTCTTTGCTTACAAAACTTGTATAAATATATAACAAGCAGCTTAAGAGACTAGTAGACCTATATCTAATACAAACATGTAAACTAAAACTCTGCATTTTCAATATAAATATATATAAAATATCCACTCTAATCTTTGTTAATTATAGGAAGATGAAATTAATCAAACATTGCGTATTTGTCTCAACTTTTTTTTAGAGTATAGTTTTAAACTTTTAAAATGTTGCAAATTCAATAATAATATATGTATAAATAAT